CCACCACCCCCGCCCAACCATCAGGATTGTCTCAAGACAACTTTCTCAAGATAAACTGTCTGGAACAGAGGAACTGGGACACCGTGCGATCTATCACAGGTACTATAGCATAACCTCCGTCATATCTCCCTGGTCTTGATCACTCGGACCATACAAGACCGCCAGGCACCCAAGACACCAGTTCTAGTTGTAATCTCGTCTTGGACCCTTTGTCCTGATGGATAAAGAATTTAAGATCAGTTTGCTGTCTTGTCTATGGTGTGCCAAAGGATAGTTGGCCATATAATATTGGCGGAAGATGCAGTGTTTATCCGCTAAGTCCTACGCTGTTTCTTGGATCTGTAGAAAAGAAAAAAATACTGTTCATATACGCTAAAATGATATCTTCGCAGAAAAAATGAGATCGCTAATGCCTCGATCAAGAGTCCTGCCGCTTAAGAGAATACTCTCTCGGGAAAAAACACCACCCACAGCTCAGAACAAATTTTTGAAAACGCGTCATATTTTGCAATCCGTACAGTCTACCTGTACCCCTGTAGGCACTTACTTCGATTAACGCGTAAAAAACGCGTCCCAATTGTCGTAATGGCGCCTAGGTGGCCACAGGTAAACAATGGCCCCGAAAACATCAACGAGCACGCCACATACCTCAAAGAAGCATGCAATCAACTGCAATCGGTGGATAGAGGACGGCAGAACCAGGTTCCATGGAACATAGTACAGCAGTATGTGGCCTCGACCGTTGCGCTCATTGGCAAGGTCCTGAGACAGCCTGCGTTCGACGAAATCATCCAGCACGTCCAAGACGCGGCCAAGTGCACACAGAACATCCAGAAGGACATTACGATCATCAAGAACTCTGTTGGACTGGGCACGACTCCGATAAATGCGGCCAATTACAGCGGTGGACGAGCCGCCACAACGACCTGGGCGCAGATTGCTGCTCAGGCCAAAGGCGCGCCAGCACCTCCTCCGCCAGTACCACAAGGAATACCGGCTGGCAAGGCCCATTCCACGGTCACAGCATACAAGGACCGAGTCGTTATAGTCAAACTCAAAGATTATGGCATCGCCCAGCGATACCGAACACAACCGGCCATCTGGATCCGACAAAAGGTAGAGTCCTCAATACGCGACAACATGGCCACCAGACTGGTCAAAGTTGTTGCGGCACACCAGCTCAAAAGTGGTGACATCCAAATATTTACGAGCACAACTGCCGAGGCCACACAGCTCAAACAGAACAAGGGGTGGATCAAAGGCCTCGGGGAACACGCAGAGCTCGTCGTGGCAACCTACGGCGTCATTGTCCATGGCATACCCACCAATTCTATCAACATCAAGGACCAGAAAGCAACCATCCAACGGATAATCGCAGACAACTACACAGTGATACCAAATGCAGAGATCTCACACATAGGATGGCTGACCAAGGAAGCCACTCTCAAACGGGCATCCTCGATCGTTGTTGAGTTCACGGATCCAGAGATAGCCAATGCCATAATCTATGCCGGAATGGCATGGGAGGGCCGGATACATCAATGCCAACTCTATGACCGCGCATGCAGAGTGAAGCAATGCTTCCGTTGCTACAACTATGGCCACATCGGCACTCAATGTAACGCGTCCCAAATTTGCGGCTATTGTGCAGAGCAACATGAGGCAAAACACTGCAAGCAAAAGGGAGTGGAAGGTTTCACCCCCCGATGCGCAGTATGCAAAGATGCTCATACTGCATGGAGCAATGCATGTCCTGCAAGGAGGAAGGAAATGCAAAGAGTCGAACAAGCCAAGGAAGTCCGCAGCATCTACTGGCACGTTCCATCGAAGGACACCCCCCAGCCAGTGCCACACAACTCCCGAAATACCAACCGAAGTCAGGCAGCACACGAACGACCGAGGCCCATCCCGGCACCAACGGCGGTTCTAGAGCCGCTAGATGCAACGACGGAAGAAATCAACAGCCCTTTACACCCTAGTCCTGGAACACCGCCAACCATCGAAGCCCCAGTTGTCCCATCGACAGAGCAGACACATCAGCCCGTACGGGAACCTAATGGAACAGGGGAGTCAGAGGAACAAAGAGCAATGCCAACACCTGTCGCCCTGTCTGACGGAGAGGAGTGGGCAACACCTGCAGTGCTGCAAGACCCGGCCTGGCAGCCCGATCCGTCAAACGACATTCTACCTCCCTCGCACCTGACCGACAACACCGAAGAATCAGAAACGCAAGGAGCAGATGACTGGCTAAACGACATCGCGAACGAAATTGACGATGTATGGCTTTACGGTTATCCAGATAATGGCCCGTCACCACAGACATCTCTGGTCACAGATACCTACACGGCCGGAGGGAGAATCTACAAAGGATGTAAATGCCCTGAACACCAGGAGATCTACGCCAATTGGCCAACGCGAGATGCCGAACTGAAGATCGCTCAATGCATGAGAATCTGCATGTATTGTGGCAAAGACTTCCCACAGGCATCGGAGCTTCGCAAGCACTTGCGGAAGTCAGGATACTCCAAACGAAACTTGGCAGTTCAGACAGAGACACGTAACAGATGGAGTGCCTCCACTCCTGGGTGGACTCTCCGATCCCGGATAGTGTCATCCTCTAATCGGTCAGAAGCCCGAACAACCCGGAGCCAATCACATGCGGACCGCGCCGACGTAGCTCAATGTTAGGACAACAGGAGCTACGCATCTTACAGTACAACGTCCAGAAGTCAAGAGATGTCGTCCTTGCCAGCTTATTCCAGAACCCAAGGGTTCTGAAGTACGACATCTTGGCAATCCAAGAACCCTGGCGGAACCCATTCATCGCTACGTCCTACCATCCTCTCAAAACACACTTTCACCTTATGTACTCCGCTGAGGCAGCGACGAGAGTATGCCTCTACATCAACAAAAGAATCGACCCAGGTACTTGGAATGTCTCCTTCATCTCCAAGGATATAATCTCCCTCAAAATCTCCGACTCTCGTCTTAACCAAAGCGTTCACATCTTCAACGTCTACAACGAAGTGACCTCCGACACGCTCCCGACACTAGCCGAAACCATTGGGACGCTCAACTCAGAAAGAATTGTCGTTCTGGGCGACTTCAACCTACACCACCCTCTCTGGTCAGCAGACTATCGTCGTACTCGCAGAGGACCCAGTGCCGAAAACCTACTCAGAATCATTGAGGACTCTCAGCTACAGCTCCTCACGGTGCCCGGAACTCCAACACACCGATGGAAGGATGGAGAATCCACAATCGACCTAACCTTTGCCTCCGAAGACGTAGCATCCAGGGTCACCCAGTGCAAGATCGACAAACATCTCGACTGTGATTCTGACCACCTCCCGATTGCCCTAACTGTTAACTGGAACCCGCAACCTGATGAACCGAAGAGAAAGCGCCTATGGGCAAAGACGAACATAACAATCCTGCGACAAGTGACTCAGAATCACCTCTCCAAATCGAATGATGCCACGGAACTCAGTAGCATAGAAAGTATAGACGGGTTCGTCTCGACCCTCGTTCAGGCCCTGAATGCCGGCATCGAGGCCTCTACCCCATGGTCTAACCCATCCCCACGCTCGATCCCAGGATTCAACCAAGAGTGCCGGGACCTTTGCACAGAAGTTCAGCAACTCCGGCGAAGGTGGCAACGTACAAGACAGGATGGTGACTACGAGGCCTACCGACAAGCACGTAATAGGAAGGGCCGACTCGTCCAGAAGACACTTCGAAACAATCATCGCCAAAAAGTAGAGGAGGCATCAGCGTCACCATCTGGCCTATGGAACCTGGTCAAATGGGCCAAGAACAGACACAACGCATCGGCAGCCTGCACACCGCCACTAGTGAAACAGGATGGAGGACTCGCCCATGAACCAGACGAAAAGGCCGAGGCACTACGCCAAACATTCTTCCCGCCCCCTCTCCAAGCTGATCTTTCGGACATCGAGGGATACGTGTACCCCCCACCAATTGAATGCCCAGATATCACCATTCCAGAGATCGAGAAAGCAGTGCGTAGGGCGTCCCCGAATAAAGCACCCGGCACCGACGGAATCATCAACAGTACCTTGCACCAGACGCTTGATATCCTTCTCCCGAGCCTCCATACGCTATTCAACGCATGTCTTCAACATGGATACTGCCCTGCACACTTCAAGGACACGATCACGGTAGTGCTCCGGAAACCGGGGAAGGACGATTATACGCTACCTAAGGCGTATAGGCCAATTGCACTGCTAAATACCCTAGGAAAGGTGATGGAAACCATCATTGCAAACCGCCTTTCCTATTTAGCGGATGTGCACCACCTTCTCCCAAGCCGACATACGGGGGGCCGTAAACTCACATCGACGGAACATGCCATGCACCTTCTCCTCCAACGGATACACCAAGCGTGGGCCGAGGGTAAGGTGGCCTCCCTGCTGCTACTCGACGTATCAGGGGCATACGACAACGTTTCGCCAGAACGGCTCCTGCATAACCTTCGAAAGCGCGGGATTGATCGTAGGATCATAGCCTGGACCGCGTCCTTCCTCTGCGACCGTACGACGACTCTGAAGCTGCAGGAATTTACGGCCCCGTCGGCGCCGATCCAAACCGGCATCCCGCAAGGATCGCCGGTTTCGCCAATCCTCTACCTATTCTACAACGCAGACCTGATCGAGGCATGCAAAACACAGGATACGGAGGCGGTCGGATACATTGACGATGTGTCTACGCTAGCAGTAGGACCAACGGCGCAACGAAACTGCAAGACCTTGAAAAAGATCCACGAGAGAGCCGAACAATGGGCAGTCAGACACGGTTCCCAATTTGCACCGGCAAAATACGAGCTGGTCCATTTCACTAGAGACCCTAAAAAGAAGAGCACACATGCTCTCCGCCTACCGCACGCTACCATTAAGGCCTCCGCGTCATGTCGCTATCTAGGAATTCAAATGGACACCAAGCTTCGCTGGGACCACCACCGCGAGAAGATAGAGGCTGGAGCAACGAAACGACTGTCGGCCCTGTCAGCACTCGCCTCCTCAACATGGGGCACAGGGGCCATCAATCTCCGGCATGTATACCGGGCAATGGTTGTGCCCCAGATGCTCTATGGCTGTTCGGCGTGGCACATTTCTGCAAACAGCTACACGAGCAGGGGAGGCGCTATGACAAGTGCTATCCAGAAGATCCAGAGACGTGCAGCACAGATTATTACAGGGGCCTTTCGGACAACGGCTGGTGCAGCAATGGATGTCGAATCCCATCTACTCCCAGTGCAACAGCAACTCGAGCAAACCGCGCTGGAAGCCACGATACGCATTAGAACAACACCACTACATGACGATATGGCCACAACCGAGACCGAGAGCGGTGATACTAGAACACCCATCCAAAGACGCAGCGAACAGAGCCCCCTCGATAGGTTCTCGAGTACATTAGAGAGCAAGCACGGCTTACGGCTCGAACGGCTGGAGAAACGCATACCACACGTAGTGCCACCCTGGTGGATCCCACCACCCGTCCGCATCAACGAATCTGCGGAGGGAGCCGTCAAGGAACACGATGCCACGGAACCAGAAACATTACGCATCTACACTGACGGAAGTGGCATTAACGGCCATGTCGGAGCGGCGGCGGTAACACCTGCGGTGCAGGCCAACGGAATATATTCGAAGCGGACTCAGTACATGGGCACATCGTGTACTTCAACGGTATATGCAGCAGAGCTCAAAGGACTAGCCCTGGCACTGCAGATGATACTCGACATACCACCTGCATGCGCTCCCCCGAACAAGCGCGCCGTCATATTCACCGACAACCAAGCTGCCATCCAAGCCATCCGGAACCCCAAGCACCCGTCTGGCCAGTACATTCTGGTCGAAGCGGTACGAGCGCTTGACGAGGCCCGAAGTCAAGGATGGGAGGTGCGGTTTCGATGGATCCCGGCGCACATCGGAGTGCCTGGTAACGAGGCTGCTGATCAAGCTGCGAAAGAGGCTGCCGGGGCGGATCCGAACGCAAGAGCGAGCGCCGAACCGCCACCAGAGCCAGACTCCCTGCGAACACTCACAGCAACCACCAAGTCTACCATCCGCCGAGCGATGAGAAACGAGTGGGACCTAGCTTGGGAGAAATGCAAACACGGCAGAGAGCTTTTTAGGCTTGGAGTGCGTCCGGGGAAAGCGATCCTCGATACACACGCCGGGGCACACAGAGCAATTAGCTCAGCAATCACACAGATGCGTACAGGCAAGATCGGCCTCCGGGCCTACCTTCACGCCATCAACAAGGCCGATACAAACCAATGTCAGTGTGGCCAAGGACCACAGACAGTACGACACATCCTGCTCGAATGCCGGAACTGGGTGGATGAACGACATCGAATGTGGGCAGGCAAGTCTCCATGCATTGACATCAAGCGTATTCTCTGTAACCCGCCAATGGCAGTACAAGCAGCCAAGATGATCTTGAGGACTGGACTGCTGGGACAATTCCGAGCAGTGCCGTCCACGGTACTCAAATACACATAGCGAAGACGAGTGATTTTTGGTATATAGAAGTAGAGGAGGGCCAGGAAAGGCCCGACAGGTACATGGAAACAGAACGGTTAAGAAGACTACAAGATGGGATGCATCTTACTGGAGCGGACGGAGAAGTCATTCTGGCAGGAACGGCTTGATTTCTGAAAGCGAGGGCGGGGGCACCTGTACTTATAGCCACACGCTGCATAGCTGCTAATTGGGCGGCTGGGACAGTCTATGAATTAATCAATCAATCAATCAATCAATACTCTCTCGGGAGATAACCCTACCAGGAGAAACCCCGCCCAGGAGAAGACCTTCCCAGGAGAAACCCCTCTCAGGAGATCGACAGAAAGCTGGCTAAATTACGATCTCTCGGGAGGGATCTCTCCTACATATTCTCGAAAAGGCTGAACGTCAGATGAAATCGGATTACAGTGGTTAGAAAAGGTGTTTGAGCCATTTACTAGGCCTCTTACTCTCGGCACATATCATCTTTTAATCCTAGATAGCCATAGTAGCCATTTAACACCAGAATTTGATCAAGCATGCAATAAATATAATATTGTTCCATGCTGCCTACCGCCGCATTCTTCACATCTTCTTCAGCCTTTAGATGTGGGCGTTTTCTCGGTATTGAAGCACTCATATGGAAGCGCCGTTGAGAGTCGGATTCGGAACGGGATTCGCTACATGGATAAGGAAGCCTTTCTAAAAATCCTTCCTTCTATGCGTCAAGAAACCTATACCATAAAAAATATTATGGGAGGCTTTCTGCATGCCGGGATTGTGCCTTATAATCCTAAAAAAGTGCTATCTCAATTGCAAATTAGTGTTGAGAAGAGAACGCCACCTCCCTCATCAAGGAGCACTACTTGGAGCCCCAAAACACCTTATAACGCACATACATTGGAACAGCAGACTACCTCTGTCAAAAGGCTTCTTAATATATCTAATTTAAGCCCTTCTTTGCCATCAACTCAGACACTTAATCAACTAATCAAAGGCTCCTTAACGACAATGCATAATACTGCTATTCTAGCTAAGGAAAATCATGATTTACGCGATTCAGTTGATCAACTACAGAGACGCCATGGTAGGCGTACAAGAGCCCTTCTAAATGAGGGTATTTTGACGGTTTCTGAAGGCAGAGAGCTAGCACAGTCGCTTGATGAAGTTGATGACCCCCCTCCGCCGGTTAATCAAAATGACGCTTTGCAGGCACCTCGGCGCGCACCTCCTAGATGTAGTAATTGCTGGCAACTAGGGCATAAACGTAATAGGTGCCCCAATCCTCCTAGCTAGTTAAATCTATATTTTTCTACTTCTATATACAATTTATAAGGGTTGAAAAAATAATGTGGGTCCTCGGTGTCCGGTTTACTCGGGAAATACGTTATGGATAATAAATGTGATGACTAATAGGGAAAATGGCAGTTCATCGGTGATTAACGATATGGCCACTGCTGGTTACATTTCTGGTTCCAGTGCCATTAGCGCTCCCAAGGCCAGGGACATGTTGCGGTACAACTATTCGAAGGGGAAGCAGCCGGAGTTTGAAGAGATTGTTCCGGGAACATTTGTTTGAAGTTCTACACTTATCCTCTTTTTACTCCAACTTTTGACCTTTATGTGTGCTAGTTTTCTGTTCTGTTTGTTCCAATTTTAATGTTCCATTTAAAAGGATCCACAACAGGTAACAATGCATAGATGTTGTCGATGACCAAGAACATTCAATATATCAAATCCGTTCACTCAAAACTGCGAGCAATAAAGCGTTCCAACTTGGCTAGACAACCACGTCCCTTACTAATAGGGGAACATAGATCAACATCCTCTACATGTTGGTAAAGCGCTGAAAGCTTAGGAAATTCTTTGTCACATCTTGGACATATGTATACCCAGCCCCCATCTTCAAGACCACTTATATACTTCCTGCTCTGGGGACATTCACGAGCAATACCGTCGATTTCCTCTTCAGTCGCCTCCGATGCGCAATTCCCGGATTCCAAATGTATCAATATTCCGGAGAATGTTTTGAATAACTGCTCACAGCCATAGCATTCTCTCTCTCTCGGTTGGTGCTTCTGTTGGTGCTACTAATCAGTCAGTATTGCCGGTTCTCGATATAGATGACTGTTGCACTTATTACGGTGTAAACGTACCAACTGGAGATTGTTCTTGCTTATAAAGTAGTGGTCACACTTGATGCAAAGGTGATGTTTCTCAATATCATGGTCCCGAAGCTGCTCCTTAGACTGACAGTAAATGGCACAATCTGGGCAATAATAGTGAGACACTACTAAGTGTTCTTCAAGGACTTCGCCAGTCCTAAAATCTGGGTGCTGAGGACAGGTCGTACAGATATGATGTGCGCTGGATTGCCGAAGATGCGCATCCTTGGCAGAAGCGGAAACAAACACCCGGGAGCACCTTTCACACCAGGCGTGGCGACTTGTCCGTCTGCAGTGATCGTACAGAGCAGTTTCCTCATTGAAGAACCTTTCACAGAGGCGGCATTCATACTCGGCGCCGTCATAATCGAGATACGGTCCCAATTGCATGTTGATATTAGATTGTGTTGTCTGAATATGAAGCAGGGTCAGAACGCTTCAGTAGGTGCGGTAAAGTGTATCTTCGAGTTTGCTGAGTGCTGTAAAGTTGATAACCGGATGATTTTGCAGATGATTTTGCTTTCAGATGGGGTATAAATGATTCCGCTAGGCAAAAAACATTATGATTGGAGGCTTTGTTCTAGGACGTTATGCAGATACCCCTCCATGACCGATACGTGTTCGCGAATGATTAGCCGGAGTGTGCCAAATATGTGCTAGGGCGTACACAGGGTAAGAGAGCCAGCTTTCTGAGATCTGACTGGATCATAGTTTCGAGTACTTGAACGGTGAACAGAACGCTTAGGCCAGTGTCGTCTTTGCACTTCAGCGTCAGTCATGACCCAATTTCGTAGACCCCTTTAATGATTGAATTGAATTATGATATAGCAGATAATACTGTTCAATTGAAACGATATTCAGATAGACAACCGTGGTCTTTCAAGTACACGAATTCCTGATACAGCAGCCTGCTGATAACATAGTTGTCCCCACAACCTAGAGCTTTCTCCCGAGCGCGTCCAGAGGACCAATCACTTTCGAATACTACAATATGCCAGAATATCCTGATTATCTAAGCTTTGCATCTAGTGGCTATAAGTTAGTCACTTTGTAGCTCACGATTCACATACTCTTCCACCACTTTTTTAACAGACCAAATTACGGTCTTTCCATACAACACAACTCCTCGATTATTTCTCGGCGCCGCGCCATTCCCATAGCCTAATCTATATGGACCTATGATTAGCGTGGTAGGGCGCTCGGTGGAGACCTCTGTCAAGCATTTGATAGGTTGGCTGGTACGATGAAAAGAAAGTCCGTTCCGACGGGGGGGACGAAGGAACTTCATATAGTGTCAAGCTGCTTGAAATCTGTCCCAGTTATCTCAGGATTTCATGTGCCATGATTCATAAAATCAAATCTCGCCAATGCAATGCCTGCCACAGAAGCTACGTACACAGCCATGTGTGTAGCAGAGCCCACAGAGGATATAGGCTTATATCACAGACAATGCCAGACGGCCAAATTGCTCGAAGTATCGGCCATGAGCAACCAGTTAGCTTTACATGCGATCTTCCAGAACAAAGCCAGGGAATTCAATACCACTGTTCAGTATTCGATCTGTATGTTTGCAGCGTTCAAATCTGCTCTGCTTATATCGACTTCCATCTCACTTTCGTTTTACAGGACATGCAAAGAATCAGCGCAGCTAGCAGTCCAAGAAACGTATCAAAGGAGCAGATCAATGCGCCTTAAAGGTTATGTGAAGGACTCAGAGCTTATTATCAAGACGTTCCTATCGAAATTGCGTACAACCTCGAACTGTTTGGCGTGTGAAGAGGTCGCAGTTTTGTATCGTTCGCAGGCAAATAATCACGCGTATAACTTTGAGTACTTGGAGGCACATAACCAACTCCAAAAATGGGTTCCGAAGAACTTGGATTTCATAAGTAGGCAAGAGAACCTCCTTTGGGATCAAGTTTTTTGTGCTGGTCGCGTTTATCGAGGAGAGGGGCTTTTTCTGGAGGCAAAAGCGTGTTTTGAACACTGTCATACTCCAGGACTGGGTGTATCGAGAAGCTGTCTGGTAAAATCGGCCGTTGCAGACTTGTACTGTGAGCTGGCCTATCAACAAACGGAGCAACGTATTTCATACCTCTTGCAAGCAAAGGATATCTTAGAACTACAAATCAAGTTAATTCGGCAGTCACGCCGACACACCAGAGGATATCGGCGACTACTTCTTTCTCTGATCGAAGTCGAAATTCAGTTAGGCGTCAACCAGGAAGCCGATGTATACATCACAGAGCTTCTCAGCATATATGGGCATTTGAGGGAACTGGACATAGTTGATCGACTTGGACATGTTCGGGCGCTGATAGCCTCAGCACGTATAGCCACATCTCTGAAGGATGCCACCATGAAATGGACAAGCGCGCTGGCGTGGAATAGGATCTATAATCCTATGGAGGAGGAAGTCTTTACATGCGGTGTAATATATCTTTTCCTTTGCACTGCATTCTATAGGCTTGGGAATATCAACCTTAGTATAAAATATTTTGCGAGCGCAAGGCGCGTCCTAAGGAGCCAAATACCGCGGTTTCTTATGCCAGGAGTGGGGACATATCTCTTCCACAGTGGGCATGACGAGGTGCAACGTACGCTAGGGTGTTTTTTAGCAAGGTTTGATGCTACGCTTTATTTATAGGCGTCTAAATCTGTCTGTTACTAGCTAAGTCGAAGATGTTCATTTGCTCAAAATGTCTTGTTCCGAACGGAAGATTCAGTAGAACGAGATCGCGATCGACGGCGCCTCCTGCCAGGAAGGACCAAGAGGAACTCGTACCCGTCGAGTAGATCACCAAGGGGCCAATCCATCACTTCTCGTACCCATGCAAGCGCTTGAAGGGGCTCGCCATGATCGACGAAAAACTGGGTATGGACCGCGGAACCGAGGCCGCTCTTATCTTCCGCATCAAAAGCCCTGCCGGCAAGCGGAGCGTCCCTGACATAGTCTATCGGAGACGTTCTCATAATCGGTTCTGCAAATTCGCGGATAGTATCAAGATTGACCGCGTTGATACCATCTACATCGCTCGGTCAGATCACAACACTAGAATATTCTGACGATTGTGCCTTACTGCTAAACACTTTCGCAGCCGCCAAGCATGCTGCCGGATGAGAGCTCATGATTCCATAAAAATCGTCATCATCCTGTCTGAGCTGATTCAATAACCCGACGGCAAGTCCACGCTCACGGTAGTCACGATGAACCACCAACTGGGTTATCCAGCAAATACTGAGATCCTTCCAAGTCCAACGGCACGAGAACAGATTTCCAGCTAATTCGCCATTGACGACAACTCTGACGTACGAGCAATCGGCTCCACTTGGTAGGTATTGATCTCGTAGCCTTTTCTTACCGAGTTTCACTCTCTCACCTATATAGGCTTTAGTATTTTCAAACAAAGGATCTTTATAACAGCTCACCTGGCTTCGCTGAGCTTGCTGAGCTTGCTGAGCCTGTGGTATCGACACCCCAGATACCGTAGTTCTCACTAAATAATCGAGCGGCTGCAGTCAACATGCTGTCAGTCACCTCTTCGCTGTTGAATCTCTCGTATGTCTGCGTCGCCATCTTCTGAGGGTTTGACTTTTCGAAATAACGGACCTGCTCTTCCAGCTGCCAGGTAACGTTATAAGGAGAACGACGGTCCGGTTTATTAGAAGTCATTATTTCTACTTGCTCATAGCTAAGAAAGAGCTTAGAAAGCAAAGAGGCGGAGCGGGGTGGCAAGGCACAAACTCAGGCCGACCGGCCCGCAAGGCTAATGCGTATGCAATGCAATGCGGTCAGGAAATTCCCCTTTTAAGTATAGCGTCCATGGGTGTGCATTCAACTACAGCTCCATCGTATCACGCCTGAGATTACCAAGTTACATATTAGCTGTCCTCGCTGATCATCAGTATAAATATAATCAACCAGACTAGTAGGGTAGATTGCCCGGGCGAAGTTTGGGCACTTCATCTCCAGTATGAGTCAAGTTAGCGATTATCAAGAGCTGCTAGCCAATTTGGACCGCCAACTGAAAAATGCCTTACGAGCGGCTCGGTACAATCCTGGTCAATTAAACACTAGTGTTATTACGCAAGGAGACAAGAAATTCCAAGCATATGCAGAGTTCTGTGTGCTGAATTATAATAGTGATGGGATATAGTAAGATGCTTGTCATTGTCTATTTGATGCTCCTGCTAATTCGAACAGTATCTCTAGCTGTTTTGGTTGTATGGAAAACCAAAAGCTAACTCTTTCTGTTTGGTCATCCCTGGACAAATATATAGAAAGAGTTTTGTTACGCTATCCGTACGTTGGCCAGGAAACGTGCAGTGAAATCTCAGAATAGTTTGTCTTCCCATGTTTAGATCTTTGATGAAAAATAACTAATATTCGGCAGTGATGCTAATGAAGGAAAATATAATTATACTTATTGGTACGTATTCTAGAACATAGAGACGAAAAAGGTATACTGATGAAACGAAATCAAGTTATATAAAAGTATTAAGCGACCATGTTCAAAATGGCGAGGAAATCCAAGCGTTTCGAGATTCATATCCTGAAAAAAAGATAATGGAAGGGATTCAGGACTTTATTATGAAAAGGAAAGGTTCAATTTGAACGAATATAAAAATCAAGTTAATACTGCTTGCTATACCATTGCTTTCTTTTTCTTGTTTTTCTTCCCTTTGACTTTTCCTCCTGGTAGTAATAAAGCTGCTACTGTATCATCAAATCTCTTATTCACCTATCGTTCTATTCACAAGATTTTTCAAGCAAGTTGAAATAGCGGACAAGGTGGCATGGTGTAACGAGTCCTGAGAGCTGACGCTCATTAACTAGGAAATTCGAAGTGACAGCTCTACAAACCAGCATCCTTACCTACAATAGAAACAAGTACTGTTCCACGAAGGCCAACGCTATTCAAATGCCACGGTCTTCTTTTATGATGCGAGTAGCCGTGGTACGGATGTACTGATATGAACTCTCGGGCAGATATAAGGCAGACTGCGGACGTTGCGGCTCATCCTGCTCATCCTGCTCATCTAGGTTAGTGTATCAAGAAAGGATCCTATTTTGGGCATCAGAAGCTCACCCTGTGAGATTTTAGGTATGCCATGTCCGATCTTCTGGCGTCTCTCAAATCTTGGTCAAGTTGTACCAATAACTGCTTCTGAGCATCTTGGAAAGCACAGACAGAAAGATAGGGGTGATATGGATCCATGCTTGATTCTCAGTGAGTAGTTGGTAATTGAGGAAGCCATCAGAAAGTTAAGGGGGTATAAATATACGGGCATGCATAGGTGAATAGGACAAGGCTGCAAACAACGAAGTTTCACCGGCGGACAAAGAAAGCTGTTCAGAGAACAGGAACCCGGGCAAAATTTTAATACAGGCGGGAAATATTCCTAACTAGGAGATTCTCGCATGAGAGAGATTTTCGTTTTTCCGGAAATCTCCCACTCCCGAAATGCTCGGATCAGACATGGCACCAATGCAATCCAAAAGCGGCGCACGAAGAGAACTTTCCGGATAAAGACAATTTTTGGTTATGTTACAGTTATTATGACTAAAACTATGTTACAAAGCTAGGGCATCCGTGGAAAAAGGGGTCATTCTGAATGCTAGGAGCAGATATTTCTCTTTCTCTCCCCTCGTCAATCTCTATAACCGATTTAAGCCGCTTGGTCAGAGTCCACTTTTGGCAGGAAACCAATGTTGGTTAGACTCTACAGATCATTAGTTATTTAAGGTTTGGATGACTAATCATAATCTTCTAGGATATCAAGATCTTCGGGCCAATAGAAACAGAGGTATCATACAGCGCTAGAGGAGTCCAGTTTTGGCCTGAAATCTAAAAAGCGCCTTCTAACAGACAGGGATCCTAGTTTCACCTAGGTCCTCATTTTAAAAGGGAGGATATAGCTGCCATCGTTTATCTGACACTGGCCGATGAAGACTCTGAACTAGCGTACCATCAAGTGCGATGGAACAAACGACTAAACTGCTTACCATGATGGGAGAGACGAGACTGAAGAAATAGAAAAGATAGCAGTAAAATTGTCGCGGTAATATACTCTTCAAAAAGGCATGTAAGCTAAGTATTGTTGCTGATGCCGTCCTCTTTCTTGGAATCCAATTTGAAGATGGGCGAATCAAGATATTCTGTGTAGACAAGACGAGCTTTTAGTCGTCAAAGCTGTTGCTTGGTGCTACACTATGCGTAACTGCGGAAAATAGGATTAATATTATCCTATCCCTCAACGGAAAACCCCCAGTGATTTTCTGACCAATGATGACTTGGGAGCAAGGAAGAGAATACAACCAATCAAGAAGCAGGGTAAGCAAGGAGAATAGTGTGTAATGAAAGCCTAGCGCTCTCACATATTTATTCAGTTCGGATTTGTTGATGCTGGCCTACGGGGGGATCTTGCCATCTAGAAATTCTTGAAGAAGGGTTACATCATAATGGATTTGAACATTAACTACAAGAGTCTTAATACCAAGGCTGCTTGGTTCTGACAGTCATTATTGATAAAGATGCGCCCAATTCAAGCATCATGTACATTCATATACTCCTCTGACGCCTTCAAGAATGTAACCTGAAAATCAAGATCCGATTCTGGGGGCCTTTCCACATTCAGCTGCCGTACGCACCAGATAATCCACAAGTGGATCTGAGTCTTTGAGGGCTTCGGCGATAACATCATAGTCTTCTCGCTTGACACAAATAGGAAACCCCTGGCTAGTGCTTATCCCGCAGGCAAGAACTTTCGATAGTATTATCTGACAGTAACGTAACTTCTTCCGAGAGATTCGGCGGTAAGGACCCTCCTTAGGGTTGAGAATCCTATTGCATGCCCGAAGAACATAATTCACATATTTTCTCCCATAATGAGGCATGCTGATAGATTTGATTCCGGCGGAGAAGTCAAAAATGGTATTTTTGTAGCGGATTTTGGGGCAATGGTAGGAATTTGGCTGTAAATGAGGACTCGGTCTCAGTACCCGCTGCTTCAGTCGATGTGATGACGGAGTTCTTGGGCGTCTGATGTTGGTTGCTGCCATTCTTCGAAGCTTGAATTCTGCTTCTTGAGGAAGTATAAAGGGACAAGGGCCAAGGTTTATTGCATAGGATTGTCCAAGGAGAATCAGAATTATAGGGATAACCTTCATGACTGATGCTTGAAGGAGGGTGGCATTGATATAAGGAAGGGACGGGGCGGTACTTTATACTTATACCGGTTTAACGTGGAATTCCACGCTATAATTCCTCACTTTACAAGGTACGTTCCGGTTAGCATCTATGCATTGGTTAGGTTTACGAAGTGCAAGTTCAATACGGCGACTCTCCCGTTCCATTTCGGGCATTATCCGTTTTGGCGTCGCTCTAGAACGACGGAAGTGGCTGTTCTAGCTAGCGACTTCTACCACCTGGTATCTGGGTCCACCAAGCGCATGGGAATTTCCAAATCAGCATCACTTCTCTTCGCTCCATCGAAGACCCAATGTCTCTCTGCAGGATATACGTTATGTTTAGCATAGTTAACTTGGGGATGACTATCCAGGCACACAATGATTTTGATAACCACATTGAGGAAATATACAATGATCTAGAAGAGTACCTGTCGGGGACCTTTAACGATTGGCCAAGCTAGATGGACGAAGAACTGCCTGAATATAAATTATGCTATCTGGCAAACCTACCGCTATTTAGCTGCACGAACCATGCCTCGCAATATTGAAAACTTTCCTTCGGAAATCAGAATCCTACTTCTCTCTGTGATGGACTTGGAGGCTTTGAAAAGCTTTGTTCGCGCATCTCCTGTTTATCATCAACAATATCTTCTATATCGCGAGCATTTACTCCGTCAATGTTTAGAGATTACGTTGGGTAGCATCAGCCTTGGAGCCTTTGCTGTTCACAAGTCTAGCCTAAAGACGTTTTCGAAAACACGCACCATAAACAAGGTGGCACATCTCCTCGACTCTTATAAGGCGTCATCAACCCATTACTTGATTCCCAGAGAGGAATCATCTCTGGACGATCTTATCAAAATGGCGAATTTCCATCGCCTAGTTATACAGCCTCTTGTGCGGCACTATACCGATTGGGCATTGAGGAATATTGTGAGAGATGCGAAGATATTACAGATTGAGTACGATTTAAACAAGATTGAGGAGCCTTTCAGTACGGCGGAGGGAACTCGCGTAATGCGCTCCCTGTATCGCTTCGAGCTTTTCTGTAATCTATTCGGTCTTGGCCCTCACAAGCTCGATTCAGAGCTTGATTCTTTGGATATTTGCATGCTAGTGGCAGCATCATTCGATCACTGGGAGCTCAAGGAGATCTCTTGCATTCATAGTTTTACCGTGAGTAAATGTCAAAATATCTTCGACGACGTTATCGGCGGCACACACCCCCATCGGTATAGTGATCGTAAGCTTTCCTATAATAATCCCAATGGCTCAGTGGCTAATTACGCAGATGTTCACCTGAGTGGAACTACTTCTCGGGGTCTCGCCTTCCTACAGACAATATTTCTCGAGCCCAGGGGTGCCGCAGATCGGGCTTTGCTAATACTAGACGGCTTTCCATTGGCATGGACCGTATTCTGGGAGAGTAACATGATTGTGCGCTTGAAGAACGATGGTACTCTGTGGGGATATGCCCTGTGGGATTCGAGACCGTTAAAGTGCACTCTGAAGGAGATAATAGGTAACATATAAAAGAGAAATCTAATCTAGATACACCTCGTTGTTCGGTACATTGGAAAGCTTTTGGTCTCGAGGAAAATCCAAAATCTAAATTTTTCACACATATCCGATTGATTCAGCCGTTTGCCTTGCCGTTTGTTTCGTTTGTATAACTATGAATTTGGCGAGTACATTGCGGTTGCAGGCAGCCGCTGTGCGACTCAAGCAGATTCATGAGCGATATGCGGCAAATTCACCCACATTGCGATACTGCAATTGCTTCGCTTTGCCTCCGAATGGGTACAGACCTCGTTATCTGCGACAGCCGTACACTGGTGGCTAATGCACCAGTCAAAGCGGCTCAGGTAGAAGGCACTCTGCGGCGCAACCGTAATGTAATAGGTACGGTTCGGGTCTGCCTCAAAGTATGAACGTAATATGCCGACCAGAGACGGATAAAATTGGGTGCCGATTGCGTCCTCGATATCAAAATCCCATCCATCTACGAACGTGGTGTCAAACAGTGTCTAGTGCGAGTTCCTCGCAGCCGTGAGGCTCGCCCTGTTGAGAGATATAACATGAGGGACCAATCCTTCCTGAGGCGATAGTCTGGCCGTTGCCAAATATGGATAGGAAGGAAAGAACAATCATGTCAACACCTACGGTGGGGGCACGGTATGTAGATAGGTAAGTCTCATTCGTACTCCGACCCCAAGACAACGTTATGGCCTCTGTCTGCTCGTACTGCACCAATAAGCATTGTATGAAAGGCGAAGACATGGGATACCTTCATTGTAGAAATTTGACTTAGGTTTTACGTCACAAAGGATGGAATTCAGATTGTCGCTCCGAGCCATATATATTTCCGGAATTTCTCTTTACCTAATGTAAACGGCAGAAGCATTGCTATTTTGAGTAGAACCTTATGACTAGCCACATGTCGAATCAGTACAAACACCGATCTCCAATTCGTACTTCGCTTCAGCTCATTGAATACTTATAAAACCAGAATTAACTAAGTATTGGTACTCCCCTTAGCTGTTCCGATCCGCATGTTTGGTTAATATCTTTGATAGTTATCTCAGTCCACAAAACCGGGTTTCAACAACCGACTCAGATCTGATGTAAACCAGGCCCAAGTACCATCTCGAAATCCAGACATGATCAACGACCAGTAGTGTATGACGGACTTTCCTCATATCTCACGCTCTGGCGGAATGTATCCAACTCCACCTCGCTCTGAGTGAATATTTCACTCGCTCCCAGAATGCATGATCCAAATTCCTCTTGGCTCCTTTAGATACAAGATACTGTATGCAAATCATGTCTCACATTTCCCTCATCTACGTAGATCAACCACGAGAGAGGTGTGATCCACTCATCATCTTCTGCATTAACCTCAGCTCCGTAGCTAACGAGCAGCTGGGCAGCACTCAGCTTGCAATGCTCTGCGGCCCATGACAATGGAGTTCTGCCATACAAGTCGGGTCGATCCAATTTCGCTCCATGCTCTATGAGCAGCTTCATTATTTCTATGCGGCCATGAAGGGCGGCATAGATCAACGGTGACTTGCGGTTCGGCAGGTCTTTTCTGGTAACGAAAATTTGGATCAATACCGTTGTCCAAAATTCTCTGAACTTCACGAAAATATCCCCGTTCAATGGCTTCAATCAGGGCGTTATGCATTTGCCGTTTGAACATCTCACTTGGCTAAGATCGGAAATGCTTGAAGTGCTTGAATTGTAGGAAGACTTGCGAAATTAAATACTGCACACTGCAGACAGAGTTTTTCGTGTTTGGACGGGACATAGTGGTATATAAGTTCGTCTGTCAGACACTGAGTCTGCACAATACTGCTGGACTAGTCCATCATGACCACGGAACATTGAATTTGTTTCAGGTCCTGTGGGCGATCGTGGTTTTTATTTTTCTCACATCGAAAAGCTTTCAGGATTCATTTTCCCGTCTGCTATCAGCGGGATGAACAACAATGGACCCGAACCCTGAGTCACGATGACGGGAGATCCCAAGTTGATCAGAGTACGCAGTCGTATGCATACAGGACAGGTCATTTCCATGGAATGCCTCCTCAGTTCCATTTATCTCCTGCATCCATTTCTAGCTAGGATTGGTGGTAGTACGAGTTGGTGTCTGAGCCAAGACACGATGCAGGCTGTTACCGAGGAATGTACCAGGGGTAGTAGTACGTTAAGGGGACAGGGCTTCGATTTTTAACTAGAACGGATATGCATATAAGATTTAATAGTTGCCCGTCGAGTGAGGGTGGATTCGACGCACGACTTAAAAGTCTGAACCATGGAGTCTCCTTTTACCCACGGTAAAGCTCATCTGGATATTGAGCGAAGTCGTAACTACAAAGGAACTGCTAAGATTGATCTCAACGAAATCGGCTTTCATCCTGCTTCTTCACAGTCGGTCGAGCAGCACATTATTGATTGGGTCTGTAGAAGATTTCAAAAGGAAGGCTGTCGCCGACTTGATGCTCAGAATCATGTTCCGGCTATCATTTCTCTGCAAGACCTCCGTGCGGCACTGCAAGCCGCAGGCGTGATGCACTCGTGATTATACGTATCCACCAGTGACGAGGAGACTAGCAGTGATGTACGAGGTCACAACAGGCCAAAAATGTGAATTTTATTTGTTCCATGACAACGTTCCTGATTGTACTCGAGCTACCTTGCCTCGATGATCCTCGCTTCCCAGCACAGAGACGTTCGGCTCGGTTCAATCATAGACAAGTCCTGGACGCCAGGGAGTTTCCAAAATGCGCATGCCTTGTCATAGGCTAAAATGCTTCGATTTAGAGCAGGAATGTCGACCCGTGATCAAGAAAAGTCCAACGTCTCTTCGACATTACCAAAGCCAGCTGAAAAGCCCCAACATTGTGGCGATAACTTTTAGTGCCTTCGTAGTCCTTATGACTTGGGCCAGGAGATGTCATTGGGCAGAGGCGGCCGAAAAGCTCCCTTCACAAATACAATATAATTACACGTTCAGATGAGGAGGAGATGATGTGACAGATGCTGACGGACTGGCTTTTGTTCATGGTATGTTCTAGATCGGTATAAAGTGCTATACTCGCTATTATGCTGGTGCAAGACGCCCAGGGGTTTTCGTCATGCCCTTCATAGCATCGCTTTCGGTTAGTTAGATTCAGTTACTCATAACATATTTTTCTCTTCTTTTGCCGCAGCCTTTCCTCATTTATTATGTTTCCAGTTGTCATTTAAGCTATGGATAATATCAAAGTTCTGAAATAATGAACCTAGTTGTTCGCTCATGGATGCCAGTTGCTGAGTCAATTATTATAAGACCCGCTAGTAGCGAGAGGCGAGGGTAAATGAAATCATCCATCCATAACTGTAATGTAATATTGACAATACAATTTTGATATGTCAATCTTATGAGTCTAATAAGTTCTCGGTTACGCCAGTCAAACCTAGAGCCACTGAACTGTCTGGAAACCGAACTGTGTGGTGTCTAAATGGGGCGATGCCAGCAGAGAGGACATCCCCCATGGAATCCAGACTTTTTTGAAAAGTAATCTCAAGTAATATAAGTCGTAGTAGTAGTAAAAATAGTCACTATGACAGTTGACATTGAGGATGGACTGGGTGTGATAGATGGCATAGAAGAAGATAGTGTCATGGTGCTGGACGAATCGGTGCTAGTTGAGGTAGGCTGGAGCCACACTACCGGACCAGGAGCTTCCAGCATTGTAGCCATTATTTTGCTTATGATCTCATTGTCCGAGGCGTCCAAGCTATTGATAGCAGACGAAGTTGACGTTGCAAATGTGGTTGATGTTCGGGAAGATTCGAGATGAAGCTTGCATGCATTAGGTCCGAGAATGGGACAAGGCCCGAAATTTGTTGCGCAAGATTGTCCAAGCAGAGCCAGGATTATGGGAATGGCCATCATGATCGATACTTGAAGGATGGCATTGATATGGGGCGTCACCCTATACTTATACCGGCTTAATGTGGAACTCCTTAGGGTACATTCTGATTAGCATCTATACATTTGACTCTCCCGTTGCTGCCTCGGCATGGTCCAAGGTAGGCACCAAACAGTGTTCTCAAGTTACTCTATTCTTGAGTAAACGCCGATGCTGCGAATCACTGGGTTGCCCCCATCATTCAGGGTCAGTGATGTTCTTATTTCGCGTCATTGATCCAACGTAATCCGTTCCGTGTCGGTAGGCGGTCACATTTCAAGTCAGTCAGATCCCATCTAGTAGACTGCTGAGTGCCCTACGATTCCTGCAGCAGCAGAACAGATAGTAAAATAATCCTAAGATGTACTGTTTATCATCTCACATACAACATAAATAATTGTCAACTGAAATATATTCAGTGACATCAAAACGAAGGTATTGTGCTCAGTATTGGAATGCAAGAAGCGTTCTAATCGCGAAAAGTACTAGTTGGTGAACTATCTATTGACGTTGGCTCAGATTGCATCGCCAGTCAATGGTCTATCATCGGATTCAGCTCCCACGCATCCTTCCAATACAGATGGGAACAAAATTCAAACCAGCACCATCTGATCAAAAGTCTTTGAACCAGTGTTATGTATTTAATGTGGCTGTGCCTTAGACTCAATACCTATTTGATGAATATGGGATTACTTTTAGCAAACCTTCATGTATTATCAAAAATATATTTCCAGGAATCTACTTTTCAGAAATAAGAATTGTCTGTAATCATGGGGCTATTCTTTATTCTGACCTTTTCTCTGGTGTTTGCCACAGCTCTAGGAGATAGAGGCCGAAATGTTGTCTACTGGGGTCAGAATGCAAATGATACCAGACTCTCTATGTATTGTACCGCGCGAGCTGGTATCGATATGGTTGTCCTTTCCTTCCTATCTGTATTTGGCAATGGACAGACCATTGCATCAGGCAGCTTTGGTCCATGCTCTATCTCTTCATTCAGTGAGCCTCAAGGCTGTGAGGAGCTTGCACTAGACATTCAGACTTGCCAAAACAACAATATTCCGGTTATAATCTCAGTTGGTGGAGGAGGTGGTTCCTATTCACTACAATCTCAACCCGAGGCGCAGCTGATCGGCCAGAACCTTTGGGAAGCGTATGGGAATACTACCGGAACGGGAACCGTGCCTAGACCGTTCGGGAACACATCCGTCAATGGATGGGATTTTGATATCGAAAACGCGATCGGAAGCCAGTATTACCCATTCATGATTTCCATGTTGCGTTCATACTTTATCGCAGACCCGGATAATACTTACTACATCACGGGGGCACCTCAGTGTCCTATACCTGAACCCAGCATGCAGACGATCATTGGAAACTCCACGTTCGACTATCTTTGGGTGCAATTCTGCAACAATCCAACCTGTCCCCACCCGAGTCAGCTGAGTTATGACTCATGGGTTAACCTGATCAAAGATACACCATCTGCTGGTGCCAAAATCTTTCTCGGACTGCCTGCATCCCCTCTGGCTGCGAATGGGTATCCAACGGGTTCCCAATACTACTTGGACCCAATATCCCTCGCTTCTGTTCTAAGGACTTATCAGAATGACCCTGCATGGGGTGGAGTGATGCTCTGGGATGCTGGTCTCTCCACCAATAACACGAACAATAATTGCACCTATGCGCAAGAGGTGCAGAGCATCTTGAAGACTGGCGTACCGTGTACTAGTACAGAAAACGCATAGGTGCTGACCACATAGGTTTAGATGTGATTTAGACTGGATTCGATTGATGCAGGTAATTTGGCTTCAGATAGGTAAAGGATGAAGCAATATCAAAACTGATCAGTTTCTGCATTCTTCAACGCTCCGTGCTCGTACTGGCATAAAATCGTATTAGCAGAAGCTCAAAGTAAGATAGGGAGGGACACAAAGCCATAATGAGCTATCACGTTCATTATAACTACAGCTAGTGAGGACTACGAGGGGAAAGAACATTTGCTGATGATTTCGATGAATAATGATGTGCATTACTGAGCAGTATTTGTATACGTAAGCTACCTTGAGCCTCGACAATAATCTATCATCAATGCATCGTGACATCATGAACTCCGCCGTGACAGCAGTAAACCTAGCTAAAAGCCGAACAAAAAGAGATTGACAATGCTTGGGGACGATGTTGGAATAAGCAGAGCCTAGAAAATCTAACTAAAGGTGATGCTCACTGTTGCTCCAAACATCAGAATCGAAAAGACAAATCCCACCAAGATGAGTTTGCTAGCACCACCATCCTGCACGGATATCAAGGGACTGTCGTCAATTTTTTTGCTAATATCAGACTGTACTACAATCATGACTGCTGTAGAGATCAAAAATGGGACCACTAAGCATGCAAATCCTATTGGGGTCATGATAGCCCGCATCCACAAGTCGTTCGGGAACTCCCAGAAAAGTAGCAAGAGGAAGAACAATAGGGGTAGAACAATGGCCGCAATCAGTGAGCCACGGACTGTCTCTAGTATCGCAGATACAACTTTGTTCTCGATCTCTTGAAGCTGCTGTAGGGGAACACTCAGAATTTCTGACACAGTACCGGGCACAACGGACGAGATATTGAAAGGTAGACCGTGACAGTCCGGGGTTGAGTTATTTTCCCATCCAAAACAGACTTTGCCTAATCCGATAGACATATTATTTGGTATCACTGTACTCAGGCCTAACTGTACGGCTGTCGCAGCATCTGTTGCAGCAGCCTGTAAAGCAGCACTGACAGAGGTCTGTGCAGCTTGAATATCTGACGCCGCACCTTCGACCGCAGTGGCAATTATCGGCGGCACATCTTCTGATGAAGCTTCTGGGATAGAGAGTAGTTCCACCTGTCGCTCGTAGAGAAACTGAGTGGAGAAAAGGCTTGTAAAATTGAACTTCAATCATCAGCAACGGTTGACTCAAAACTGAAAGAAGTACTTACGCGGAAGATGGAGACACCCGATTTTGCGAATTCAGGATCTAAGAGTACTGAAACTGCCAGTGTAATTGAGATAAAACCAGCCACTGCAGAAGTTATCCACAAGACACTGCTTAGCCAGGGATGAGCACCGTAGGAGGCTTTCTTGAAAAGCATGGTGGCTACCTGAAATCAATCCGCATTAAAATCACAGCCTGGGGGGCTTTCTTCACAAATATATGAGCTGGTCCTAGTCGGAACAGAAAATTATGGTACGCCTCCGTTCGCTGTGGTCTTCTTGAGTACCTGATCAAAGAGACTACGATTATCGTCTGGATAACGAAATCACGAACGACCTGGCCAACGTACTGGAAGATTTAAATAGACGCCGAGATAATGCTGGAGACGGTACTGGTACTAGAGACGGTATTGGAGATGACATTCTTTGTGTGTGATTCGTGATCCAAACAAGTATTGACGAAAAGTAGTAGTCCACCACAAGGTCTGAAGTTCAAGGCGGGAGACATTCTAAATACCAAAATACTACAATTTAACCTCGTGATTGCGAGGTTTCTGATGGGTTGAATTTATACACACAGTAGCCTCTTGAGTTAAAGATGGCAATCAATCAACTTAGAGCTGCAAACATGATCGGCAACAACACAATCAGAAACAGGTTCTATCAGAGCAGAGTTCGCGTCTAGATCATCCCCCCTGGATTTTGACTTCCTGGTGCAATTCCCCAGAGCTGTAAGTATCTCTCCTCACACTTTCGCAGCTGAGAGGTGGTTTCGGTCAAGGCTTCTCTCAGGTTTGACACTGCTTCGAAAGTCCTGCCATGTAGCTGCATAAGTACTTGTCGAGTCTCTTTATTCCATGCGAGCTCAGCTTTGAGGTAGCTGTTCTCGTACGCGAGCTCCTCCAGCTCGTCCCTGAGGCTCAGGGATCTTTGGCTTTTGGATTGCTGAAGGCGTGAAGGAAGCCGATCCAGTGTGGATGTGGAGCCTCCAGCATGTAGAATCTGGTGATCGACGGGGGTCACCTCATCTATAGGATAGAGCGGGCTGGATTTGAAACGATCCATAACAAGTTCAATAGAAGACAATGCCTGAGTATACATTAAAGGGGAAAGTTAGGAACAAGAGTTACTAATTTATATTTCTTTTGCAAATGACTGGGTCGGTAATTCTCAAACCTGCCCGCCACTTAAGCATCCAAATCGAAGATGTTTGTACAGAAACAGTGACGAAGAGACTGGGTGAGGAATATTTATGAGTAACGAACAATGATAGTGCTCGTGATGACAACCGTACGTATGGAGCAGCTCAGATGAGGAGTGAGAGAAGGCTATTGGTGGCGGTACTCCCACTGACTGAGACGAGGCATTACTGGTTGATTACTCAAGAGATTCAAGGCTCAAATGATAGCTACTCATTCCTTAAATCCGCTGAAAGAAAACTTGGTGATGGAGGATTTAATAAGTCAGTGTGTCGTATGACTGGGACGAGTAGCTCGCGCATTATCGTGATAGTAGCTTATGACATGATATTAGGTAGGATTTCAAGTTGGTATAACATTGCTGAATCTGATTTTCGAATTGGTTGATATGAACACCACACATTCAAACAAGCTTTGTGAGGTGACTGTCTTGCATGTGCGGGGCAATGCTGTATCGTTTCGAAATCACTCAGTGTCCCCGTTTGGGGTAGGCATGTTCCCGTTCGGATTCGCGAACCCGAATCCAATTCGGAGTCAACGGAACAGTCCGATTCAATAATCACCCGTTCTTGGGTCTATTTATATAGTGGAAACAGTATCAACGGCCAGAGAAGTCTAATGATTACCACTCGGCTTTATCATGTCATCCAATAGACTTCGCGCATTGTCGATGGTAAGATTGTACCCTTCTTTGTTTTCAAGCAACAACTAAGCCTCCAAAGATGAATCTCGACGCGGATAGGGAACAAATGACCGGACAGGTAAGTAAACGGCCATCACGTGTTTATTCTAACGCTGACTTTGCCCGAGCTCGCTCTTTGCCTCGTCGAAAGCCTTAAACGCCTAAAGGCACTGGATCCCACAAGCCTGCAGAAAACGATGACTGAATTACGGCAATTGTTACCTCCAGACATTCATGCCGCTCTTGCGGAAGGCAATTTCCACATTACTGTGATTCCAGATCGCTCCATCGAGAATCCAATGGCTCTACCAAGTATACTCCAGGAGCATGACTTGGATACACCTCAACCTCCCTCCCTGGAGTTGTGCAAAGATCCTGATACACCGGATGGTAGCCCGGGTACACCCAGTACACCCACCGATTTCGAAAGCTACGTCGAGGCCATGTCCATTTATCCAGAAGAATACATTTGGGACAACTTTGATGTCGTTGATTGGCCAAGTTGGATGGATAATGATATCTTTTCGAGATACGACTAGTCCTTGCGCCGCTTAATTGCAGATGTCAATAATAGTATAAATAATAGCACGTGTCAACTCAATAATCATAGGTAGTGGAGATCTGGCATATTAACAACTTATATGTGGACACTTGGTGATATACTGAATAGGCGTTTGGATCTCAGTTCTGACAGAAGACAGTATACAATTTCCAAAGCACATAGAGTAATCATTTAAACAGTGTCTGCTTCCCCAGAGAACTAAAGAGGGCGCTTACAGGAGAAAGCCTTCAAATCCTAAATCAAATATGGTAGTCTGTCAATCACGTTCCTAAACGGGCCAACCCTACTTAATCAAGACAGACTTGGGGATTCAGAAATCACGAGAGTTCCTACTCAATGGGATCTAGCACCTCAGCCTTGAATCACTGACTGCATACAATGATGATACTTGACAGTGTACTTCATCGCCTGTTTCACCAGTCTCAGTCACCTTATGTAAAAATACATTGCCGGAGCCATACCTTTTAAATAACTTTTAAAAACATCCTCTTGTGAGTAGAAGCATTACCTAGACTAATGCACTCCAAACGATAGATATGAACGTCCCGTGAAAGCGCCATTTGGGCCTGGTCAATCGTGTCAGGAATGGTCAGTGGACATATTTTCTGGATGAAGGAGCATTTATGTACCTGGTATGAATCCAATGCTTCCTCTTGTGTATCTGTAAAACACCAAGACTTCCTCTATTTGAGGCTATGCTGATTATATAAGACCCAGCTTTCTAGATACGGGTCCTTCAAACAGGGTACAGTATGTTGTGGATCTAGAACTTGATTTAAACCGAGGTGCACGCGTTCCGAAGTCTCAGGCACTGTAGCTGTGTCGCATATCAATCATTTATATTCTACCGAGACAGCTTCATTCCGTTTCTTGAACGAACCAGTCACCCAGTTTCTCGTCTCACTGCCAGTGAACAGTCATTTCGATTCATGAGTCAAAACACATTGCCCAGTCAGAATGCATTCGGGAATCAATATGCGAAGCCTCTACGTTATGGCTCAAGCGAGCTGCGTGATACTGCTCTTTATGGTGGGATGGCTATATTGGCTTTTTCGTGGTAAGGCCTACTCACACATACTCTTGCCGTGCTCACTCTCACCAGCGCCAAGTAACTCAGTGACATGAATTCTCCGTACCGGATCATATTTCAACAAAAAATTTTTTTTTAAAATCTGCCGGTGTGTGAAAAGACTACGGACCCTGAATGCGCTCGGGATAATGGTGATTGGCTTTCGGGATTATAACGTTATGGGTAACGAAAGAATGGGGCGTATCCTAACTAATTGGATCGTAACAGTCTAGGCATGTGGCGTTCCATGGTTTATAATGGCACTAGTATTGTTTGGTCCTCCAAAAAAGATCATAAAATTTGCATCACGAAGAAATTAATCTCGTTCAAAGAATAGTATAACACTAGCGCCGATGAGTGTATTGCCTTGAATAGGAAGGCAATTTAACAATTTGTCAGAAGCTTGGTACCCTAAAGAGATCTCTTCCAGCTGATTTTACATCCGATATTGTATCCTTCTGTTCCTTAGATGAGCGAAAAGATCCGCTGTAGCTTGACCCACCCATCAAGTTCACGTCTCATTCCTTCGCTTACTTCCTGAAAATCCTTGGTCAATATGTAACTTCGGCTAGTAAGCCAGCCGGTCAGTCAAAAAGGCTAATTCAACGAGATGTAGGCGAGGCAATTTTGTCTTTTTGAATATTACAACTCCAAGTAATCATGCATTATACCAGGCAAAGAGCTGCCATTAAGATGCTTGCGAATATCAAACTGAACTACGAACATGACAATCGTTGAGATCAGATAGGATATAACTAGATATGTGAAACTGTTTGAAAATTCCCACGACAGCATCACCGAGGGAAAATATAAAACATACTTTCTTCAGCTCGCGTCACTGTTAGGGATACATACAAAGACGAGCCTAATGTGACGCATTCTCGAACTCCTCTTCAACCCATGACTCATCCGTCAACACACACATAACACCTCTAAGCTGCCTCATCCGAAATCGCAATCGTTGCCCAAGTAATTCAATTGCACGGGTTTGTGCTGCATACTGTGACTCAGCCACAGCCATTGCTTCCTGAAGTGCGCGGTATTTTCTCTGCAATCCATTGAGAAGGTGTTCTAGTCTCTGTCTCTCAGCTTGCTCGTTTATTGATTGTTGACGTAGTAAAGCAAGCTCTCCTTCGGCCTTGCTTGCACGTGATAACAGACGAGTAATATTTCCGTGAGAATGATTGGTCTCTTCTGAAGAGTTCACGTCGTCTGCGTCCTTTCTAAGATGTTAGTTTCAGGGTCTGCCATATGAAGGTATACTCACGGCCATAGTGACTATATCGTAGGTAATTATCCCGATTTGACCGTATCTACTCAGAGGCTTCAGCGAAAGCTTTATGAGGCACGAGGAACTCAAATGTCGCCCTGAATATTGATATTCAATCGTGATCGGATCATCCTGGGTCGGCGTTTGACTGAGCCGTTATGAACCAACTGTGACCGCACCGTTCTACAACTAAAATGATTTGGATCAATCATCACTAAACTGTTCTTAGTCGATGTGGCCGAACCGTTCTGAATCAACTGTGGGTGAATCGATCTGGATTGACCGTGACTGAAAACCATTTTGAGTCAGCGTGACCGAATTGAACGGTATAAATTGGATGTAACGTTACCGAACGCACGGATCCTAATAAAGCGTCCCGCGTTCCAATCAGGTCACGGTGGGCAGTAGATCTTTGTACGTGGTCTCATATTATAATAATATCTAAGCAGCGTAATACCTTCTTACTTCTCAATCTAACTCAAACGACCTTCAAGATGGCAAACGAAATGGATGAGTGGCTTAATGCATATACTTTTGACAATAATTATATGCCGGCGGGTATAACCAACGAACCCAGTCCAGATCTCCAAAACCAAGTACCTCAAACAACAACTGGTGCGCCGTGGGTTGCGCCAAAGTCTGGAAGAGCACCGCCTCAGACAGCAGAATCAAATCCCGACGATAGCCAGGATGAAGAGCTATCCGATGAAAGTGAGACTGAAAACAAACTCCTAGAGGAACGTGTCAGATCTCTCGAAGAAAGCTTATAGTAAGCTGAGCATCTTTCAACTGGGAACCGAGCAGCTCACCATTACTAGCAAATATCGCAAAGGCAATGTTCGAATGAATAACAGAGTCAAGGAATTGGCCTCTAGGCGTACGCTAAAAAGCCTACAAGCCAAACTTGGCGAAATGTCCAAGAATATCGAGGACTTACAGTCCAAATTCTCCGAGATCTACGCTCAGGATAAGGCCCAAGATTTGCAGCATACGCAGCTGTCTGGAAAGGTAGAAAACCTGCAGGTTTGGGCTAGCGACATGAAACAGACTTTGGACAAGGCCGTCAATGCAATGAAGTATATGCGGGGCGAGAACGAAAACACAATTGCGTCAAGTCGTCAAAAGAACAACCACCGAATTCGTCGAAGTAGGGCATTGTGAGAGCTTGGTTTCCGGAACCGTTGATTATTTCCTTGTGTATAGGTGTTCTGACACCAGTTCGAACACTTTGAATTTGAATACGGTTGATTACATTAGTAAAATCTAGACATGAAAAACCGCTGTTTCAATTAGAATTAGCAATATAAAAGAATTGTTCCCAACGTCGACTATCATATTATTAGATAACTAGGTAACAGACAACATGCGCCGCATTCGAAGCGGCCGCTGGTTAGACGTTGCCACTGTTGGTGCGCGTGGATACGCCATTCTCGAAAGCGCTTGTCTGAAATACTTAGTGGAGGGGTTGCCAAATCCAACCAAGCAATATCCTCAATTATGGGTCTTTTTGGGCTCTGCCCAGAAGAATAAGCACTTGCGCGATCTGTTCCCAGCTAACACGTTTACTCGAGCCGATTCAGGTACAATTCGATTGCGAGGTGACGAAGCAACTGCAGCCAGTGATTCACCCATCCTTTTTGCCGATGGTGATCCGTGGAATGCTCCCGTTCTACCAGACTCAAGTCTCGCCAGGGGAGACAGGCGTTACGACCTTAACTACAATGTAGGCGCTCCCGCGGATGTCATTCACGGGTTGTATTCTAGAGTACTTTTCCTTTTTGCCGATGTCATTTGCATGTTTGCCGAAGATCTCCCAACCGGGGCCGATTTCGCTCCTCTCACAAAGCTCTGCACAGCTGATGGTCTGCCGCTTGAGGCTCGTCCCCACCTGATCATCGTAACAGGCAGTCCCTGCTCTGCGTGGTCCACCACAGCTGATTCCGCGCTACGTTCCGAGGCGTTCTCCACTGTCAGCGTTTTCTCTATAGACTCCACCCGTGACAGGCTCAGAACTTTATTGGAGACCCGCTCACAAGAGATACGTAAACTACGCAAGCATGTCATCGGACATTTGTCGGGGGTGCAGCTGCAGGGCTTTCTCTGGTCGGCGATGGCATGCTTGGCGACGAGCCCAAATCATACCTACAACTTTGTGCGTGCTTCTCGGACACAGAGCATACCAGCAGACATAGGACATAGCGTCAATGATTTTTATCAGAAGTGTATTGAGGCGGAGCTATCTGATTCGGATGCTGCTCGCTTCATCGCATCGGCTCTGATGATGGATCACTATTCACCGGAGATGCCCTGTGAGTTTTTCTTTGCTCTCCTGTCACGCACAAACTCACTATTTGAAACTAGTGATGGACCCAAGACTAGTGTTCCAGACTTTGTATCGCCCTATGATTCAAGCTACAAATTCTTTTCTAGTCGACGTGATCGAGTCTGAGATGGTCACTGAGTTTTCTCATCTTGCTGCCTATACTTCACTTGACCGACGGAAACAATTGATGACTGCCAAAAATGGTCATTACTCGGTAATAACTTCCAACCGCATATGTCTTTATTGTCTGGTTCAGGCGGCACAGCATTTTCCGCCATGTAATCATGCGCTGTGTGATCTTTGCGCCCAAAAATTTGGAAGCACCTCGGCGGAGACAGAATACCAATTTACATTAGACCAGTGTCTTCTTTGTTGTGATACCATTTCAATGACTATCGACGTCCTGCCTCCCACCATGGACCCCAGTATACTGGCCATTGACGGAGGAGGTGTTCGGGGGGTGATGCCTATTCAATGGCTGATTCTCATCCAGGAATACCTGGACGAATGTCCCCTCCAGGACGTGTTCGACTTGGACGTGAGCACTAGCTCCGGTGGATTAACAAATCTAGGCCTCCGGGCTTTGAATTTACCGATTCAAGCGTGCGCAGCGATCTTCAATCGCCTCGCTCAATGTTTGTTTGAGAAGCGCCGACGTCCTGCTTTTCCGTGGTTGTCTTCATCTATTCTGGGTCGCCCTCGCCAATGGTATTCATGGTGGAGACATGATAGCTGCTACGACGGTTTGGTGTTCGATGATATCTTGCAACAACTCTATGGTAATCAATCCCTACTTCATAGCCACTGCCGCGATCCATCCGGATCCATTAAGTCTGGGGCGAAGTTTGGAGTGGTGGCAACTAGTATCGGGGCGAAAACGAAGACGGTGATGATGGGCAATTTCAATGCCGTCAATGGCACATCTGAGGACTGCGGTAGGTTTGTTTTTGCTGCCACCACTCCACTCGCTAACGGTTCAGGCTACCAACTTATTCGACCTAAGAATATCCAACACGAACCTAAAGTGTGGCAAGCGTAGGTTTTTCCACTTACGTTGTAGTGAAATGATGCTGAAGCCGGAAATAGGGGTCGAGCAACTGCCGCGGCACCTTTGTAAGTCTCTAACGTGAGAGATTGCAAACTCGGCTAACCTGTCCTAGCATGTTTCCCCCAATTGATCTCCCAACAGGGACTTTCCAAGATGGAGGTTTAACGGACAATTTTGCTGGAGGAATTGCTCGCCGCGCAAGTCGAACCATCTGGCCAGGCTCCCGTGAGCCAGCGAGATTGCTATCCTTAGGTACAGGTAGCCCCCCACTGTCAGCCGATGATGGCTTGCCTCACTTCCGAAATTCGATTGTCGACGGGTTTCTCCGTCGCGCGTTCAACGCCTGGATGACGTCTTTGGATGGGGAAAGCAAATGGCGCGAGATGAAGAGCCAACTGGATGAATCAATCGCAGGGAATTTTCGTCGTTTGAATGTGCCTTTAGAAGAAACTTCGTCCGCATTGGATAAAGTTGCTATGATGGACTATTATCGCAATCTGGTCATACGCTATCCGAAAAGCGCACGTATGGCAAAGGAGGCTACTGTGGATTTGATTACGGCGCGTTTCTTCTTCGAACTTGACTCGGTCCCCCAACTGAATCATGTTCCGTTCTGGTGTCATGGAACCATTCGGTGTAAGGGTCCAGTTGGTCCACTTCTAGCGGCACTGCAGCAGTTAGTTCCGGATCCACTTGAGTTTGTAACTGATATCCACCGTCTTGGACCGATACGTGTTGAAAGGGACATCTGTCCATCTTGCAACCGGTTCTGCTGGCCGGTTTCGTTACGCTGTCACGACCCCACCCAATGTATTCAGGTCTACATCAAATCAGGTCGATATGGTAAATGGAGGATCAATTCATTTCCATCTACCCCTATTAAGTTGGTCAAACGGCAGCAACTAGATTCCCCGTTTGGAAAAGCCGATCATGGATGCCCTGTTCGAAAACCATGTCCTGCATGTGATTCCAGTAGGTTGCCTTTTCAGGGTAGGCGCCGGAGACGAAAGTCCAATCTCACCGCAGACCACAGACGGAAAAGGGTTTGTGTGCGCTAAATGCGTATGATATATTTTGTCTTGACCCCTTTATCTTTTATTCATTATTTCCTTCAAACGAACATATCCCTTCTCGCTCACGATGGTCCTTCACATCCACGATCGCAGAGTCCGCACCAAATATGAAAAAAGGAAACGGACTGTGTTGAAGAAACTCTGGGAATTCTTCACTTTCTGCAATGTAGAATTTCACCTCTTGATGGTGAATGGCACAGAGGCTACCGTGGTCACTGCAGGCAACTATCATCTACCTGCAGAAGAATTTCTGGTATAATCCCAATTGATGGTTGTCTCCAGCGATACTAACATCATCATAGGCAAACGCATCCACTGTTGAAAGGCTCACCATAGAGGATCTCGAGAGGACCTACGGCCAGACTACTGCCCAACCTCGCCGACAATACGTCAACTCCGAACTTGATATGGATGACTCCGCAGATGATTTAGATATGGGATACTCCACGGATGGCACTGATTTGGAGGATCTGACAGAGGAGAACAACATCTGGAACATCGTCGTCCCTGAACCACCTACCTAACTTCTGGTTCAAAATTTCATTTAAAAGGTTGCAGTGACGCATGGGCTTTTCGCTGAAATTATCTACTCGTTTGCATGTATCTAGTTTTCAAGCATGACACCTCCGAAGAGCATTGATATTAGCCAAGCATACTCATTGACCGTTGGGTGCATTGTCATCTTCCTCCTTACATTTCGCCTATGCCACACCGTTTTTGATTATCTATACCCCAGGCTTAAGCATTTGGTGCACCGTCTCAGCCTTCCACGACCACGCAGCCGTCTCTCGGGTGTTCTCCCCAAGGACTGGTCTCGGATCGCTCTAGTGGCGATTTACCTTGGTGGCACTGTAGCAAGTAACGTGATCTACGTTTCGACTCTTGCCGAAGCCAGTTCCCGGGCAGCTAAGCTTTGTCTTGCAAACGTTGTTCCTCTTATGGTGTGCAGTCATGAGGTTGGTGCTCATTTCTTTGGGGTGTCTCTTGATTTATTTCGTAGCCTTCACCGATTATTGGGAACCATGGCATTTCTTCAAGGCCTCGCCCACGGGTTTTATGAGGTAGCGTCGGCACCAGTGGATGTTCACGACAGCACTGTCGTGTATGGAATATCTGTATGTTCTTGATCGCATTCGGCAAGGCTCTGCTAAAATGATAATCGACAGGCATCGGTCATATTTGCTTCGCTCATGTTATCATCCGTCTTCAAGGCACGTGTCTACGAGCTTTTTACGCAATCACATCGTGCCTGTGCTTTGGGTCTAGTATTTGTAACTTGGAAGCACATTTACAATAAGTCAGCACTGTCGACTTGGTGCATTGCCGGTGCCACTGCCGCATATGCCCTTACGTTCTTGTTTCAGATATTACGAATAGTGGTCCGAAATCTGACATTTGCCAGACGTGCAGAATGTTTGATCAATCATCAGGGAAACAATTTAGAGGTCATCGTGTTTCCGGCTCGCCCATGGAAAATTCGAGCAGGAGAAAGGGTCAATCTCAGTATCCCCAGTGCTGGACTGATGTCCATCTTTCAACTGCACCCTTTTGTGATTACGTGGTGGGATAACAGTGAGTCGGGGAAGTTGGAATCATTCACGTTGCTCGTGAAACCGCGCTCAGGATTCACCAACAAGCTGAAAATGTTACCAAGCACTCGCCACAGGGCCTGGATTGATGGTCCATACGGACCCGATCGAGGACTAGGCACTCCCATATCAGACTACGGTCATATCTTCATGGTTGCAACAGGGATTGGAATTGGGGCTCAGATCCCTTACATCAAACAGCTTTTAGAGGGCTATCGGCGCGGAGTCGTACGGACTCAGAAGATTGTCCTGATATGGCAGATGGACTTGGAAGGTCAGTTCGAGCACTATACGTTGCTTGGTGTGTGGCACTTAAATTTTCATAGCGGATTATGATGATGTACATGATTGGCTGCAAGAGCTTGTCTCCCAGGATAGTGGATATGTGAGTGGCCGACGAAGTGGTGTGGCGATTTGCTAACTAGTGCATGAGCATTTTCGGGTCCGCATATTCAATCCCGCTCTACCACCATCTCAAGATCCGCATGACGTTGGTCAACACGAATTGATCAAAATATGGGGTGGGGATGTGGATTGGCGAGGCGAATTGCGAGAGGAACTACAGACGCAGGTGGGCGATATGCTGATAACAGGTACGACCGGGTCTCCATTTAAGCAGTTGATAGCTGACAATATGCAGTGTCTGCAAAAGCGGGAGTTCGTGACGTTTTTCGTAGAATGGCTCGAAAACGTCAACCGGTGGACTTGCTGGAGCTGGAGTTCCAGCCGTGGGAGTGGAAGCGTAGCTTTTGGTCGTATTTCTAAAACTCCACCACTGTCGAGAAGGAACCCCTACGAAACAGGCAATCCAAGTTAAGACTGGTGCAAATCATATTGTCATTATTACTAAATAGTGGATTAAAGTTATGGCGTTCTTTTTCTAATTTCATGTTGCTCTATATTTTTAAATCGAAATGAACATCGCAAGCCTAACCCTAACATGATATTAGATAACACGGCGTCGACCCGGTAGACGAGCAAGGGACTCTAGTATCGAACGAAAACCTGCCATCGCCAACGTGGAGACAACCGATAGCCAGCAAAGACATCAGTGGCTGCTAGTATCCCAGTGAATGCTAAGTTGGATGATGTGATTCAAGTCTCGAAGTGACGGGGATCACCACTTCGGGCAGATCGCTGATCATCTCTGGGAAACGTTAAAATTAGTAGCAAGATAAGGTTACGAAGACGCGCCTGCGCTAGTTCTCGAGTGACAAGAACAACCTGCGGTTGGCATTGGACTATTCTTGGTTCATTTGTTCCAACGCGCCAATTTGAAGAGCAATTTTTCGTAAATCTTGCCCAGAGGGAAGAGCAGCGGACTGTTCAGGTTCAACAGCGTTTAGCTTTATCCGCTCGAATAGGAGCGATAAGTTGATGTCAGAAGCCATGTGGGTTCAACGTACCAATGTTCCAGAACAAACCGCGTCTTGAAAGATTAACGGCGATCGCTTCTGGTGCCCATTGTGCGTATACGTTCCGGTCTCGTAACCGTTCCCTTTTGGTTTTAGACAATGCGTAAATCAGAAATGGAACGTTTCCCGTATATATTGGATACGCGTCTTGTAGAAGAACATAACTGACCACTCTCGAAACATGGCGCCAATCCTGCATTCGCATGCCTCCATGCCTAGAGCAGAACCCCAAATCGTGATTCGAACCCGATACATGATCATGCTAGAAGAATGTGATGGAAGAATTCCACTTGGTCACAAGATTCTAGCAGCGGTCTCACAGTGGGTTCTTCTAGCGGGTTACTTGGTGATTCCCGGCACGTTTACTTCGCTTCAACGATCAAATTTGCTGAGCGACGCGTCAGCTAGATTCGTTCAGACGGTGAAAAACCCGCCACTGTTAGCTATCGCCTGCATCTGTTTTGTCTTCGGTGCGGCTGTGTTGATATGGCTCGCATGGAGATGGAGGTACAACTACCTTTGGCTCTCTCAGTTATTTAGGTCGGTAGCCCATTATGATTTAGGTGTCCGGCTAACGGTCCATTAGGCCTACGATCCTCAATTCACTAGCAGGGTTTCTAACCACATTGGTCAATATCTACTCAGCGCAAGACGGGGACTGGTCTATCATGGCGCTTCTGACCGTGATTCTAACCGTCGTGGTGATGGTTGTGTCCGCGACACTGACCGCATACTTTCGTTATGTTAGGTTAGCGGATATCAAAGCAGAACACGAAAAAGAAATGAGACATGCTGCTCTTCTACGCTGGCGAAGGGACCTTGAATCGGTGTCTTAAGAATTTGTGTGTTATCGTCACCGCTTTGGCGATGTCGCTGATGCTGCTGGTTTTTATTATTTACCGTTGAAATAAGCTTATTAGCACTCTTAGAGGTCTCAGAAGCCTTATTCTTGATAGATTTACAGTAGCTGGAAATTAATTCTTTTGCTTTACTGGAGTCCTTGAAATTGATTTTATAGATGATTGGAGGCATCCTATGGTCATCACTTACGGCTCAGTGTTTGGTCTTTGCTAGAGATTTTTGCATCACGAAGTTCCTACAACAATTCATCCAGAGGAAACTATTCAATCAGCATATTTCGTTCCCAATTTCCATTTGTATATTGATGCACAAAGTCAGCTTATAACAATGGATACAAAATTGGGTTTCAAAAGACGAGGACTTGTGTCATAGTACCATGTTCATATCTGGACATGATCAGTGCCAGCATCATGCGATTTTCTCAAGTCTCACACCCTGAAGAGAAAAAAAACCAGTTCCACCTAACCATGAGTGAGATATTGCAGCCACACCCAAAAGATGCAACCCAACAATTTCTTAGCTCCCTTAGAAATGGAATATTCATGCAGTTCATGTCTCACATTTTGTTCATCTATTCATAGCAGCCATGAGCGCCACTGGTCGGCGGCTCCAGTTCTGGATATGTTGGTTTCGTATCGGTGAGATGAGTGGTATTGGTGCTCGCTCCAATAGCGAAGGACTCACGGTAGTATGAGGACGTGATAAAAAGCCTTGTTAACGATGATACCCACGTAAATTATCGAATGATGGCGACTAAACGCTCCAGGGCTAAGGTATATACACTACTCTCAAAGCGGAAAATGGTCTCCGCTGATTTCCTTTGCACGGATTCCCACGTGCTAGATCACGTAATACATTCATGTGATGTACGAGCCCTGAGATAAGATGGAATATCTAGGGCTGTGTTCCTCTTGGCTTTGTGTATTGTTACTTGCTACTGTACAGCATTTGCCTTGATATTAGCCTGATCATAGTCAATAGCTACCTCTTAAGAGTTTTGAAAACAGTAACAGAATGGCATCATCTACCAACGCCCAACGACTACACATACTAACACGAGTGATCGTTGTCGTGAACAGAAGATTGTTGACGGATCGTCACGGAATCACGTGATCTTGCCACGTGACTCTCCGACCATGTTGGAGCTCAGATCACATGACTTTGAGCGAATACAGAGCGTTCGCACCCGTCTTATATACCGTTACCAATATCGCCCCATTAAGGGGATTCCCTTCTTGGTAAAGCGGTTTCTTGCTCTGACAGGTCATACTAGATGTACCTCCACGTTAGCCTAGTCGCAATCAAGTGTTACTTCTCTTCCAGATCCTTCAAGAACCCTGAAAAGCACAAGACGGTTCATACGGCACCGAACGGGATTTCTTACAGCACAAGACGGCGCATACAGCACCAGACGGGATTTTTTACAGCACAAGACAGTTTATACGACACCATACGGGATGCACAAGACGGTGTATACGGCACCAGACAGGATTTTTTACAGCACCAAACGGATCGTTACCAAGATCAAATGGGAATAACACCAACATCGAACGTGAGCGCAAACGGAAACGTATGCTGTTGGTGCGAATTGGCGTCAGCACGACTTATTGTCTGCAGTTGTCCTTTTTGGCGTCTAATGGTTTTTTTTCTTGGTTTCGCTAGATGACTCGGTCTGTCCCTGTGTACTTAGTTCGCGAATTTGGTCGTCTTCCACTCGATCTAGAGTGAGGTATATTTATCTCAACTTCAATGGCATTAAATTTGTGCGGAAAAATACAATTGTCCTCTGCAAGCATACCGGTACCTCTATACGTATGTAGCACAACTATTGCATTTTCTAACTAACAGCCCTACAATTATAGACAAACCCTTTCCACAATACTGTAACAACAAGTGCTGCGATGCCTTCTCCAGGACCGGAACAACCCTCAAGCGCCAAACCGATTATACCCGATTCCAAGAAATGCAACAGTGGCCACCCGGGGCAGCAGCCATCCCGGCCAAAATGTACACCTTATTTCAGCACCTTGATAAAGGCTTGCTGGCACTCTTTCGGGAGGCCAAACTCCACGAACGGTTCACCCTTTAATTTTTTATCATTCCTCGCTACATTCAAAAGTGATCGTGTTTACAACCTCCTTCAAAGCCGCCAATGTATGATGCTTATTGCTCGAGAATATACGAGGGTCCAGCAAGAAGAACTATCAAAAAGGATAGGCCTAGAAGAATCGAGGACTCGTGCGATTCGGAGGCTAACGTCTGAAGAGACAAAGGAGGACCTGGGCCCAGTGGATGTCCACAAATTTGCTGATACAATTACTGAAGCACTGAGATGGCAAAGCCTTGTTTATGCCGTTGGTGTTCCCGAAATTTTTCTCATTGACTATGATGATGAGGACACAGACGTCTGGGGGGATATACCACTGCCTAATATCGAGTCAGTGAGTGACAAAGAGTGGCCTTTTCTCCTCAGCACACTACTTTCACCAACCCTGGGCCTCAAAGAAACATGTCTGAGACTCTCCGGAGTCGTAGATATGATCGAACGTTTGAGGGGGGTGGAGAAATTGGGGTCTAGAGAAAGTCTCATCAGGAATATCGAGCAACGTATTGAGCATGTGCTAGGCTCCTGGAAGGACCTCCCGGGTTATTTAAGTCAGGATGAGGATGACTACAATACGACGGACAGCGATTAGCGGACGGTAACATTCAGCACCTAGCATCCTCCATACAATCGGATGGCCCTGAAGATAAGACGGTTTGCCAACATTTTCAAATAGCGCACACAACCTTTAATATATAATTATGCGTAAATGGGACTGCAGACATTTCTTACTGCCCTGGAATGCGCGATTTAAATTTCATAAGAGGAACTGTATCTAATCTCACCTCTAGCTACTAAATTATTAAGGCCAATACAAGTGTTCATTGCAATTGAAGATCACTACGTGCATCAGTGGTACGGAAAATTGTTAGACCTTCTAAATTGGCAAAGATGGGACATGTACGACTTTAAAAAGCACGATGGTTCTCTGGCAACATTTACAAGCCACATGACACAACTAATTGAAAGTCTGGAGCGGCCTGTCGACGGTGACTTTTGGGAGGCTGATTCACAGTATGAGTCATCAGAGGACGGAACTTTGGAGGACAGAAATATATTTCTTGAATAGTATTACTTGTTCAAATAACTTTCATATAGTTCACATACATCTATACTTACCCACGGTTCTGATGCGTCTACTGACATTGTAGCATCCCATGTTAGTAGAAACGATTTGAGAATGGCGTCGGTATAAATTTTGAGACAAATCTTTGATACTTCAATTTGATATACTACAGATTCGGTTGGCCGCTGGATCACATTCGATACGCAACTGGTATCTTTCTGCCTTGATTTGATATTTTAGTTATAATTTCAAACCACTACAATTACCAGCTTATAATAATGACAGCTGATATTAGCACCAGCACGTACTGGTATTACGTTGTACCAATGCGAACCCGTCATGACTGTAAGGGTCTTCAAAACATCCTGAAGATAATTGCGATTAATGCGAAATTATTCCTAATTTGTCTATTGTATATCTTGTCTTCACTTAGTAGTGTTATGTGGCTCCGTGGCTGAATGAGGAAATTTGGTGCCAGCACCAACCCTGCAGGGCTAAACAATGAAAGCTAGTTATAGGAATACAATATAAAACAAGGGAATTAAGGCTAGAAAATGAACTATACCGAAGAATTATCACGATGCATATGCGGCAATTGACTTCGAAAGCTTATGATAGAAAGACAATGTCTATTTCAAAGTAACAATGTGACACAACCTACGTGACTCACATATATGTTCGTATCATGCAACCAGCCACTTTGCGAGGGAATATTTGATCTGACCAATCCAGTACATGTTCAGCTTCCGCTATTCCAATCAAAATCACCGACGGATGTATTTATCTTCCCCATTTTCTTCTCTTCCATCGTTGTCAGATTCTGTCTAGACCGGATCCAGTTGGACTACTCTAGTCAGAACTTATTCCCCTCCTTTAGATCTACTGGTGTTGGGGGAAGCTGGTCTGTATCGGGTTCATGTCAGGAGTGAAGGTGGTGATAACTTACGGTTAGTATGAATGCTCTCAACCCGTTTGGCGCCGTATGCACCGTCTTGAGCGGTAAGAAATCCCGTTTGGTGTCGTATGCACCGTCTTGTGCTCTGTAAGTAACATTCCTATTTCATGTCAACATCCATTTCCCACCCGCTGTCTGTAGATACAACTCGTGCTAGTAGAAATTCCAACCAAGGTCCCAGTTTACTCACAGGCAAACCCTTTCCTACTCTATGTTGACGTCGATCCGAGTTGCTGCCAAACCGAGGTGGTAATGGTTCAAGTTTGTGTCAATTAGGCTGAATCTAGCGCTGAAATTTACTTATCGGTAATGCTCGGTTCGTTTTCATGTTAATTCTCATGAATGTCTTTAAGGATATGGGATTGTTCTCGTTCTCAACCACGAGCCACTGTTGTTGAAGGTCTTGACCTCAACTACATAAGCCGTCTATCTCCGTGTATCCCCACTTCATTACTTCCCAGTCCATCCTGAGTATACCTTGCTCAAAATGACTTTACCTATTTACCGCATCTAATCTTATTGTTTGATCTTTACATGTACGCCATCAGTATGAAAATAGTATTTCTCAATATGCTACTTTATCATTACTTATCATCTTCAATGCGTAACGGCCTAACTAAAGTCGGCGTCAAGACGAGTTGGTGTCAATTCAGGTTTGTGTCAACGCTGGTAAGGCCTTTACTCTATGCTTCTCCTATGTATATCAATCTTCTTACTGTCTTGGACACCCTGCTTATATGTGTTTGAGTCATGTATTTTTCTGTTGCGAGTTGATCGACTGTAAAGCTTCACGCCTTTGCATCTGGGGTAATCTTCTGCGATTTTATCAGCTGTGGCTCGGAAAGTGACAAAGTTGCATGGGTGATCCATTTGGTCGCTGGCTCCGGTTCCGGATATGCTTTGACATCTAAATAAGTATAGCTTCATCAAATGTAGAAAAATTACTTCATCATCTCACGGCGGAAGGGGAACATGCCGATCTAGAGGGAGAGCGTGCCAATCAAGCAGAGGTAAAACGCTCCATACAGCTTTTAAACATCATCTAATGCTTGTCCAACAGTGCCTTGTGATGACCTTACTAGTCGAGTTCAATCCATACTTGGTGTTCAGCGTGAACTCCCGTTGGCCGTTTGAAATCAGCCAAATTAAGTTGGGAGCATATTGGGATGGTGTCGATCCGACTTGGTGTCAAAACCGAGTTGGTGACGGTTCAAGTTGGTGTCAAATAAACTGAAACTATACACTCGAATTTACTTACCGGTAATTCTCGGTTCGTTTTCGTGTTCTCTTGATTGCTAATTCTCACTGATGTCTTTGAGGATATGTGATCGTTTCATCTCGCCTCATGAAGAGGACAAGGAGAGTATTGTTGTTGTTCTCAATCAGGAGCCACTATTGTTGAAGGTCTTAACCTCAAGTATATAAGCCGCCTATCGCCCTACATCCATACTCTCTTAGTTCCCAGTCCATAGTGCGCAAGTTAGTCAAAATGACTTTACTTTGTGGGCCATCGATTTCTGTGTACAAGGCGACCACTCTTCCATCCAACCTTGCTCGGGACTTCAACAACAAAAACAATAACAACAATGAGCTTGTTCACGAAAGGAGGTCAATCCAGTCGCTGATCGACAGCTCCAAAAAGCCTCCGTATGCGCGAATTGATACCATTCTTACCAACTTCTTCCCGGAAGAGTACGGAGAGGGCTTCTATGGAATGGAGGTAGGAGACGTCCCGTGCCGACCGACCTTTCTCCAAAAGATGGACCTCGACGCTGTAGACAAAAACTCCAATCCTGTGCTGCGAACCAATCATCCGAATCTGCTGAATCTTCTAGATATTTCGGTCTGTGGAGATAAGTTGTTTCTCCATTATGAAAGGCCAGGAATATCCTTGGGGAAGCTCCACAAATCCACAATGTTGGATCGAGTCGCAGTAGCGACAATCTGCAAAAAAGTACTTCAAATACTATTCATATCTAAAACGAAGACTAATGCTGCATAGTTGTTACATGGACTGATCTATATCCATGAGGCTCTCAATGTCAGTCATGGCAACTTACATTGTGGTGGAATCTATCTCAGTGATGAGGGCGAAATCAAAATTGGTAAATCATTGAGAAGCGTGAAGAATTAAGACCACTCTGCTGACAACTCGATAGGAGATGTAGGAAAGAGCATGACCCTGAGAGGAAAGGCGAAAGACATTTCTTGCGATGTGCAAGCGGTTTTCCAGATTGCCAGTCAATTACTTAGTCTCGACAGGAGCACAGATACGACCAGCATGTCATGGATTATAGCAAAGAACTTCGTCACCATGCCGAGTACTGTTGATCCTCGAACACTTCTCAAGGTAAGAATGCTCTGCGAGATATGTAGATCAATAGAACTAATGGCTACATAGCACCCGTTCCTGAAACTCGGCCAGGGTTCCTGGTATCTGTCATCTATCGGTGGTTTGCTCTCATTCATGCGAACAACAGGTCCTCTCTCGCACAGCGACGAGAAGGCTAGCGAGGAGGAGATGGCGACACGGTCAGATAAAGAGTTGTCTTCCTAAAGCCGTTGACTCGGGGCTACCAAATCTGCGTATCGATTGTCACGATTGGAAAACTTTTACTGTAGTAATTCATTGATGTGGTCTTCCTATTGATAATATTCTGCAATTTCTTTTTGCAGACCATGCAAAAGATCATGCATAATTTGGATATTTATAAGTACGAAATATTATCTCCCAATCAATCGACTCCATCGTTCTTGCAACACGCCTTTCTACTTATCCAAATATTTTTTTCTGCTCTCATCTCCCAATTTCACCTTCAATTCTTCCAACACTTCTGATTGAAATTTTCAAAGCCCAGATCAATCCGACAACCAGTTCATATTTGGCAATATCGAGCGACACCAAGGGATGTACCTTTCCATCACGGATCATGAACGACGAATCATAGGTTCCACCACTGTATAAGCAAAAGTTTTGATGGATAAGATTACGTGCAAGTGAAATATAGCAATGCCGTGCGGAAAAAACTGGGGAGCTTTCTGTCCGAGGTTCTGTCATGACTTTCCTGTTCTAAGTCAATGTCTCCGCTGACCACAGAGCTGAAGAAGGAAGACTGCGAACAAACGATCGCCCGATGCACTTTAAAAATCTGACTACCACACTGTATTTCGAGGTCTGAACATTTATCACTAAACAGTTCTTCCATAAACGGAAGAGGTTTAGATGATCCCATCTTGATCTACTATGTTACTTGAGGTGATCAAGCGCGTAGTATATGATTGTTCATATTCCAAATACGGAGGATCGAGAGATGAGACTCAAATTAGGTTGGATCTTAGTGCGGAATCTCGGCCAGGTGGAGCTCCAAGAAGGACTCACCGACAGGGATGCCGCAGAAGAAAGATTTCGCCTCGCCCGCCGCGCCATGGAATGTTTTGAGCAAAGATCGTTTCGGAATCAAGGCCTTGAAGACCCGTTTACAAGAAACTGTTACCGCAAATGCGCGTGAGGCCTTCCCACATGTAGGTTCCGCTCCTGCCGGTGTACGGATGTTGTTAACGAAAGTAGGTACGGGGTGAGATTAGCAGAAAGCTCAAAGACTGTCAAAATGAGCTTGAAGGCTTAGGAGCGGAACGCGAAACTCCCGAGCAGCAACTGGGGTATCTATTAGGCATTATGAACTCTTTTCAGGCCATCACACAACAGGCTTTGAGTACGAAGAAATACAGCTCTAGCGATTACTTTGATAAGCATACAGAGCTCCGGTTTGCTACGAGGATTGTGAATCGCAATGATACCTTTTCTAATGATATGGCTTTGTGGGGGCACAGATACAGGTTTGCGCGAGAATCTGAGAATGAGGATAGCTCTGGTTCGGAGAAAGATCGCGATGACGAGGAGAGTGTGGATAGCCTCCTTGCTACGGTCGAAGTGGCAAGATTGGAGGTTAGAAAGGTCAGCAGCATGCCTGAGCTGGAAGATCTTGTTTAGAACATGGAGATAAACGACGTCTTCAAGCCGAGGACTCAAATACGCCCTTGGATTGAGAAGCAATACCGTGACTCGCGAGGCTTTGAAATTGGCACATTCAGCTTTACCTTGCTTTTCACGACTATGAAACAGCAATCTGATCATTGGACACCAATTGCACGCGGTTATATTAGCGATGTGGTGACCATGACGCATAAATTCATATCGAAAGCTCTAGATATAGTTTGTCCAGATCATCGAGTAAGGCACAACTTGATGTCCGCTTTGATGGACAGGCTGTTGAGCCGATACAAAAATGCAATCGACAAAGTGAACTTCTTCTCAATGTGGAACGGTCAGGCACGCCTATAACTCTCAACCATTATCTCAACTCCAACCTCGAAAAATGGTACTTATGCCTAGACAACCACTCATTCAGAATATTACTGACTCTGAATATAGTCGACAAAACCGGTTCTCGTCCGCTATAGCAAAGAAGACGTTCGACGACTGTTCACACGGAGAGGTGGTCCGATTGCAAGATTTAAACCATCAGCATCATATGAGCAATGAAGCACATGCTGTGCAGGATATACATGATATCTTACAGTCCTACTACAAGGTAGCCCGAAAGCGATTTGTGGATAATATTTGCATGCAGGCTGTAGACTACCATCTCGTGACAGGACCAGAAACGCCAATGAAGCTGTTTTCTCCTTCATTTGTGAAAAGTCTTTATACAGAACAGCTTGGGGCTATCGCCGGTGAGGAAGGGGCACTGAAGCGTAAAAGGCGTCAGCTGATTAAGAAGATCAAAGATCTTCAGGAAGCTAGAAGAATACTCTTCTGAATTGATACTTGCTAGCGAGATATGTAATCTTATGCGCCCAATGAAATCTTTCCGCTGCCTCAATTTCAGGCAACTTAATTTCGTCTGAACTTCCTTTTGAATTTTCTATTTCCGCTCTTCACTTAGCACTTTTCAAGTGGGAAGCGAAAATAATCTTTGAAGGTGTCCCAATCAAGGTGGTAGATCGCTTGAACGTCACTGTCCTTCAAGACCTTGCAATCACCCTTGTGGCTATTATTTTTCCATCCGATCTGTTGGCACTCCTTGAAGGAAGTTGATTTCATTTCATGAAAGCAAGCGGAAATCTCACCTCATTACAGGACCAGAATAATGAGCATTTGGCACACTTGCGGGGAGAATGAACCTTATTCCCGCACCCGTGACACATATATTGTATGAGGGCAATGCCGCATCGTACTTCTCAGCGCATCCTCTTCTATCATCCTTCTGTTGCTCGCTCATAGTACGATTTGGAGACGATGCGATATGTTTCAATGAGAGGCGGCAATTTCCTTATATTCGAATTTGGCTTAATAGAAGGTGAAATGACACGCAATCCATTAGGCAGAAGCGCACTAGTGTTTCAAGTGAAATCAGTCACTTCATAATTGGATCTCCGTCTCCACATGAGGGTAGCAAAAATACATCCGCAACAAGAACCCCGATGAAGCAGTTCATCACTTGAGTACAGATCTCAAAAAGTTCCGAGCAAAGAATATAATTCCAGCTTGAAGCTACAGGATCTGGGGGTAGCCAAGTAGCTAGAAGGTTTCTTGCATATCCACATTCATGAAATTACATAGTTCATCCATCCTGTGTTTCCTTTTCCCATTCACTTCGTGATCACTGAACCGGGCAATGGGGAATCATTCATACGAGGCGATCGCTATGAAACGTGACTCGAACGGGTGCCCCCCTTCGACAAGATCACAACAACTTTGCCGTCATGGGTGTCAACCTGCAAAGAGCTGTCATCGGATGGTAGGCGGATGTTAAGAGAAGTACCCTCAACACATTTCAACGTGATATGACTGGATTGATCTATCGCTTCCTGCCCTGTGCCTCTTTTATTTAGCTTACTTCACAAGTCAGGAGGAAAGTTTCTCACTCTTTGCTTCATTCAGCTGTTGTTCGAAATTATTGTAGAGGTCTTCCAGGAACCGTTGATATTCTTCAATCGAAGAATATACATTCATGACGCTGGCTTCATAGACCGACTATAGAATCAATGATTGTATCAAATTTGTTGATGTTGCTGGATCGAGTAATAGATGTGGCTGAGAGCCTTCCAATATATACTGAAGTAGAGAAGGATTTTCAACCAGAATTCTCTAAGGATAAATAGGATTTCCTAAACTGCACAAGTTCGACATCACAGTGTTCTGTTTCTTTGTTGGAATCATATCTTGGCAGCAACCACACATATCATATTCTCCGAGTGTCTGAGGCATTTCTCTTTATAGTCGTTTGCGTCGGTCGTTTTTGATGCATTAATTCAGCAAGAACAGCACGACTGTTGGCAGCTGCAATGTAACTCAGACAGATTCACGAGCGTGATATACTGGATCCATCCACATTGCGCTACTGCAAGCGCTACGCTTTGCCTCTGGATGGGTACAGACCTCGTGATCTGTGATAGCCAGTCTCTGGTGGCTGAGACACCAGTCGAAGTGTTCGTACTGGAAACACTTGCCTGAAATTTGTTGTAGGCACTGAGGGCTTGGTTTATCAGCCATCGCATCAGCTAGAATGGATTTAAAGCTTAGCATTTGTTTTCACAAGTCATACGATCAATCTCGGTAATAATTTCTGTGAAGAACTGGCCGTCGTGATCCATGATTCTGCAGCTTATGGGATTTTTCTATCGCGTGTGGTATAATCAAAGAAAACCATGAATGTGATCGGAGGATAAGTAGGTAAATGTCTGTTTGGATCGCTGCAGGTGCAACCGTTCTGATATACCTTGTACGGTCATTCCGGGAATAACCAGCTGATGGTCCACTCCGATCGAGTGGGGCAGTCTTGCACATGTTTAACACCGCAATGTTGAGTCCTGATTGGTCATATTGGGTCAGAACAAACAAAATAAGCTACTAAAATCAGGACGATCGAAAACACCGTGCCGGCGGACAACTTAACGCCGAAACAGGCAATGTAGCGCGGACAAATAATACAGAGGAGATTTACGATGTCTCCAAGGCTGGATCCACGGAGTCTGGACTGTGACTCGACCATTTCCGGACCATGCCAGCTTGCGCAATGCCTAAGCATTACGCCCCAGAGCGAGCCCCTTTCGAGTCATGAAAAGTCGATTCGAAGTCGGTAAGAATAAATCTATCAACTAAAGCAATTTTCAACGGAAAGATTACTTCACCGAGTTTGGGTGACAGCTTGTTGCAATGCATGGGGACAAGGAGACGTCAACAAGGAAGCATTGAGCTTGTTATACATTTAAAGACGCGCAGCCAAATTGATTCAAAATGAACCAAAGGAGAGTGTAACAATCATCGGCGAGCGCTCTATAGCGACACCTCAAGCGACAAAAGGTCAAAGATTGGCAGAGGTGACGAATTATTCATGGATCCTACCTGAGAGTTCTCGTAGTCAAGGATCAATACTCCCAGTTGCGACCACCAAGAACCAAAAGTGTATTCACGGCTGGAGTTTATGTTGCCCGTATTGGATACTATGGGTTTCACAAGTTTGGTGAACTCACGTGGAGCCATGGATCGTTAAGTAGGTCCCTTGCCGTGCTTCGGTGTTTTGGTTCCCATGTGAGCATCCTTTTTACAAAATTAATGAACATCCTCTTTTCTTCTCCACTAATTTGGGTAATATTAGTCTCCGAACTCATTGTTGGTATTCCCGAAGGTGGTTTGAGGTTCCCTAATAAAAAGATTAGCCAGTCCGATTCATGTAGACGCTATTTTAGTGAAGACTTACCGTCGGGATCATAGAACATTGATGTCCTCCGACCCCGCAAAAGTAGCTCTTTCGGCGGAGGTCCTAACAAAGCTGTAATGTTCTTCATTTTCTTTCACCATTCACCTCTCTCAGAGCAGTCATGATGTCTTCCGCTGCCGCCAGCCCACAATCAACCATTCCCCCAAGCCAACGGAGACGTTCCCTCCTCGAGCTTTCCGAAAAGCTCCGAGAGCTGGCTAATATGCAGGTCCAGCCAGAATCAGACAACATAGGGAGCATGCTTGAGGTATAATCCAGACCATCATCATAGCGGCAGCTAGCTAATGAAATAGTTTCGCGATCTTATTCACCAGCTCTGCCAGGAGGAACCGGCAGTTGCACAAGCCATCGCTATAGCAATACGAGAAAACATTCCAGACCTGGCTTCGCGACCACCCTCAAAACGAAAACAAAGACAAGATCCGCCTTATCGGCCGAGTCACGCGATGCAGTCAGCTCCAAGGAAGAAGCGATGTACTGCCGACCAAAACGCACTTGAAGAGCCTATGACTCCGGAGAGTCCGATACTAGAGAGCGAAATTTCGGAAAATGAGGAAACGTTAAGTTTCACGACTTGTCTTGACACCGATGGGCTCAGACCCGTATCTCAGCATGGAAGCAAGGTAGACATTTACTCGACGTCGCTTGCCATGGATGAAGAGAACACCGCAAGAAGCGACTGCAACACAATGTCCATAAGCAACACCAGGCAGCGAACAGAGTCGCCATCCGTGTCTGAACAGGATCCCAGCGAGAGTGTGTCCTTCCTGGATACGGTCCACCAGATGGTCGACATCATCCACCTGCTGAACAAGTATCAAACCGATCTGCCACGCACTGTCCATCAAAGGATCCTGCAGAGTCTTCACACCACTCAGGAGCCAGTCATGGACTTAACTGCCCATCAATGGTCGGACGGGAGGATGTGGATGAAGGTGCTGGAGAGGGGATCTGCCACCAATCGGCGGTGTTCCGTACTCAACATGCTGGAATATATCGGCGCCTCGAAGTGGTACGACAGTCAGATTGAACATGCCAAGCGCACAGTCTATACCAGAGAGAACAAACCTGTGGGTGAGAAGGGAGCAGCAACGCATGTGCTGGACCGCATCACAGAGTATAGTTTGCTGAGTAGAAAGACCATTACCAACCAGTGCTCGAGGGGGAAGAGATTACGCGAGCTTGTTGAAAAGGTCGGACTAGGAATTCTGATTAGCCCTAAGATTTGGTGAGTTACGATGAATCAGGTGATTTTATATGCTGACCACGCACCCAGGGAGTATACAAAGAGAAAGGGACATCAGTTCAATCAGCTGGTCCAAGACTTCCAAGCAGATACTCAACTATTGGCACTGTTTCGAATCCTTACTCCACAGGTGGAGCAACTGGTCCACGAAGGCCGCACGAACCCGGAAGTGATGTACGGAGCTTTAAGAGAGAACAATCTGATCTCTGAAAACGAATTGCAAGAGATGAAAGCAAAACATCCATCAGAATCTGTGAGATTCCCATATCCAGCTTCTGTAGGTTTAGGATTGGGCTAATAACCACACAGGACTCCATTTCCGCGGTCGCCTTGAACAAGGCGGTCGATCGACTAACCAGTCAGGTCAGCACTCAATTATTCAATAAGCGGAAACTAGATGCAAACGACACGGTCTCAATCAATGGAAGTGTGGAACTCTCGATCGATTTATTCGCGCGACTCCGGGCAGGACAATGGCTCGATTCTTGGGCCCTCATGGCAGTCATGCATATCTCAGACCGACCAGATTTCGTCAGATTTGGCGAGAGCATTCCATTGGACAGCATCGGAAGACATGGCCAGATGCGGCTGATCAAGCGACCTTTTCAAGGCTGGGCAGGAAAGATCGCAATGTTCTGGACAGAAGTAGAAGACAGCACGCCGCTTATATTATACTGTCCCGTCAATCATAAAAATTCACATTTTACACTGCTCGAGATCAACGACAGCGAAAAACCTATTCGACATTATGACTCACAAGCACCACTGACCGCTATGGATGGCACGAAGAAGACAAGGGTTGCAGCTCTGGTCGAGGTCAGTCTCTCCGCAAGTGGGCGAATGCATTTGCTGATGATAACATAGGATGAATTTGGTGATCTAGGATACGAATATACCGAAGCGGTAAGCGCCTCGCTTTCATTTACCTTATAGATTGATCACCACTGACATGTGTAGCCGACACCGCAACAGCGCGATGGCTGGAGTTGTGGCGCTCGAGTGGTTTGGAGCTTCAGACGACTAGCCAATGGATTGGATATTGGGTCATGGGAGACCGTGCTGAGCTCGGAGGACATAAACATGGAGATCGTGAATGGGCTCAAGGCATCTGTAGAGTCGAATGCTATGCAGAAATATAGCCGAAGACGCAAACGTGATATTTAATCATCGGCATTGCTGGGTAAATTAAGAGCGAGAGCAGAGCTGCGTAGAATTCAACCGACGGCTAGACTAGTGCCTAAACAATGCAAACAGACCGAGCTGGGCGATGAAGTTACGGGTCACGTGTATTCACGTTATCGGTACGGAAAATCCATAGCTCCTCTACTCGATGTTAAATTTACCGAACTAGGTCTAGTGTTATTTTGACCAGCATAGCGACTCGCCGCCACTTTGTTTAGCTTTACACACGCCCACTCAAGCCTAGTCTAAGTCCAAAATAGGAAAGCGGTGTGAAGCTTAATATTTCCATGAACAGCTTAGCGTTTATCCTCGGGATAAACAACCCGCAATTTGGCAAGCTTCCAACAAACTATGGCATCGTTTCTTTTCTTTCCTCCCTTCCTTTCGTTCACTGTACTGTCTACGAGTCTACATAACACATTACCCCCGTTCCAAGTTGAAGTCTCAGACCAAACATATTACCTGCTACAGATAATGAATCGCCGGCCCGATATATGAGGTTTATCTCGCCCGATCTACCTTCGATCTAACTAGCGCATGCTTCTCAACCACCCTTTCGCACATCACTATATGACGCATGGCTTCATCAAATGTGGAAGAGTTACTTCGCCAACTCGCGGAAGAGAGAGAACGTGCCGATCGAGCAGAAATCAAGATTGCTGAAGAAAGAGAGCGTGCCAATCGAGAGCGAGAACATGCCGACCGAGAGCGAGACCGCGCCATCCAAGCAGAGGCAAAACAGGCCCCCACAACTCTTCAACATTATTTAAAGCTTGTTCAACAGCGCCTTGTGACGACCTTACTAGTCGAGTCCAACCCTGTCAGTTCAGCATCAGGATCTGTGACGGCCGTGAATGAGAAGTTTTACCCTTTAGAGCTATGCCGGTGGGACGATTTTGAGAAACAACTTGAGCGAACCTTCATTGAAATCAGTTCGGTTTTCTCGAGCAGACCTCTTTTTCCTTCTGAAACAGACGTGCTTGGTGTTCAGCGCGAACTCTCGCCTACCAGCCGAAAGGATGAGCAGGATATCCGACCATTTGTCCGAAGTGCAATCGAGAAACCAGCCGAGCGTATCGTGAGAGCTTATTACGACCTGACGAATCGGCCAGAGAAGTTCAACTTCCAGAATAATGCTTACAGCCTGGAGTATCGAGATCCTGAGACAGAGATCGAACGTAGATCTCCTAGCAAAAGAAGATCGCCAGAACGCAAGAAAAGCCAGCCCATTCCCGACCGCTGGGGTATCTGTGAGGAAGAAGGTGGTCTGCGTCGGGTCTGTGTTGGAGAGTATAAAGCAGCGCACAAGGTACCGGACAAAGAAATCAGACAGGTTCTTAATACTGCATCCAAAAACCTGTTCCTGGAGGTGCTCTGGCGAAAGCAGTCGGGAACGACCAATTCCGAACAGGATAAAGCGAAGGAGCTTGTGGCACAGATTCTTTGCCAGGCGTTTCATTATATGATCCAAAGTGGCCTACTCTTTGGATACATAACGTCAGGCCGGACTCTAATTCTCCTTAGAGTTGACGAGTTCGCACAACAGAGGCTATATTTTCATTTCATTCCCGTGGGTTCAACTGGACAAGCTCGTGAATTTGAAGCTCAGTATGCGCCAGCGACTCAATTAGCGGCCTTTGCGCTCCTGGCACTGCGCGCAAGAGAGATGCCCCGTGATTGGATTGTACAGGCCGAAAATTGCGGCATTTATCAGTGGCCCCTGGTTCCTCACCCACCATTACACCAAAACATCTCCCTGCACCCTCAAACATATGTCGAAGAAACAAGTGAAAGTAGTGGAGAGAACGATGACCCGAATGACAGTGATTATGGTGCATCTCCTCAAAGACAATCTAGGTCCCAGCCGGACCAGCAATCCCGAACACAGAACGAGCGTCGACGGTCTCCGCGGAAACGAACTGAACGTTCCGTCGGGGAATATTGCACCCAGGCTTGCTTGCTCGGCCTTGTTCAAAAATCGCTGCTAGACGTGAGCTGTCCCAACTTTTCCATGCACAAGCAGAGTTCTGCTCGTGTGAAGCACCCGATCACCAAAGATGATCTTTGTTGTCTTCTTCGAACGCAGCTTGATCGGAGCCTTGATCAAGGTTGCGAATGTCTAGATAGGAATGGTCTTTTTGGAGATGTGGGTGTACTTTTTAAAGTCACTCTGACCGAATATGGATACACATTTGTTGCCAAAGGCGTGCAGAAAGCAAATGAGCGCGACTTGGCTCATGAAATGAAGGTATACTCACACCTTGTGCCTTTACAAGGGACGAATATCCCGGTCTGTCTTGGCAGCATAGCTCTTACTCGGCCATATCCTCTTGTCAGTATGGCAAAAGTGACGGAGATGTTGTTGATGTCGTGGGCTGGAACGAGTTTACGCTACAATACCTGGCCTGAGGATGCTGACATCAAGAAAGAGACGGACAAAACATTACGGACATTGGCTCAGTCTGGTGTCCGTCATGATGACATTCGACAGTCCAATCTAGTATGGAACGCTGAACGACAGCGAGTGATGGCAATTGATTTGCAGCAGGCAACTATTATATCTGTAGCAAAGCGAAAGGCTTCACCCTCTGTGCTAGATCTTCACAAGCGGAGGAAGCTGACAGCTGGATCATCTCATATCAAGGCTATCACTATTTGATTCAAGTGGGATCTCATAACCCCCCTGCATCTTCCAATCAAATTTCGCCATGTCGCTCCAAGTCACTTGACCATCTATCAGTTCATTTCTCTGATTAGCGCGCATCCCTCAAACAGCACCTGGACAGAGATCTGGACCACTACCATGCCCCTGGTTGGGAATCCTGGACCTGCGGTGATCCTTCCAAGCTCAGTTTGATGCCGTACGGATATACAGTACTTGGAAAGGGGACTACCAACGGCCGGTGGCCGGCCGTACGGCAGGAAGGAGATGTGTATCGTATCCTCCATTCATTGCAAGGGTCTGCGGTATCCGTTTGTCTGGACACTTTGATCTAGACTGGATTTACTTTTCACAGAGGTCTAAGGATCACTCATTTCTTGATCTTACCTTGGAGTGGAACTCATTTCAATTCACTCTGCGGCGATGAGCAGCGGTGGAACGAGTACCGGCGAACGAAAAAAGATATCCAACGCTTGGGCGTGATACATGGCGATCTACACGATTCTAATATACTCTGGAACGCGGAACGGAGTCAGTCCCATCAATTTCGACAAAGCTAAACTATCGCAAACCAAAAAAACGCAAACAAACAGCTACGAACTCATCGCGTCCCACAAAATGATCGCTACGAATCTCGAAAGCAACGCCCAGCCCATTCCGATCTAGATTGGAGCTCAGCATGGTAAAGATCTTGCCGACCTTGAAGAGTCCAATCACCACAATGAAAGAGTCCCTCCCATGGTATTATTTCAACATCGTTTCCCGCCGCTTCCAGCTTCTCACCGAAGTGGTGAGCTTCAGTAGATAAACAATCTACATGCGCATATTCAACCAAAGTTCGAGGCCAGTCACAGAGATCTTGAGCCGCTGCAATTCCAGGGACAGTATAAATTGTGACATTCTCTTCTTCATCTCCAAGGTACTGTGCCCACGCAAATCTGTTGTTGCACAACGGCCACGCCGGTGACTCTGAGAATTTCTCCGATGCCATCGTACTTGTGTGGTCAAGCATAGGAAAGGAGAGTATCTGGCCGCATATCCGCGGTTTCCCTTGGTCCTGGCTGTCACGAACACGGAGAGCGACACCGGCGGCCAGATTCGCACCGGCAGAGCGTCCAACGAGGAGCAGCCGATCATTGATCCCAAAGGATTCTCGTTGCTTCCACACTTGTACCAGTCCATGATAACAATCCTCAAGCGAAGTAGGGGCATTCCACTCCGGTGCAAGACGGTATTCGACAGTCACACATATCGCATTGTGATCGTGGATCAAATGAATGATTGTTGCGATACCGCTCCACCGGTTCCCAAATATGAACCCACCGCCGTGGATATAGTATACACACGGCCGACCGCCGGCTGTACCGTCGTCTGGCGGACGGAAAATCGTCAGACCGATTATGTGGCCTTGGCGCTCAAATGACCACTCGACGCGTTCAAGATGAGAACCGGGATATCGAGCGTGGTACGCATCCAGAATCGATTTTGCGTTGGATTCAGTTGTTCTCTCTCTGACTCTTGCCAATTGTTCTCTGGTCGTTACTTTGTATTGCTGTTGACGAATTGTTTCAAGCGCTGGTCTTAATTGCGGCTCACATGCTTCAATTATCTTATCGACCTTGATGTTCTCATCCGTGGATCTGCGTCGCAACCAGTGCTTTGTATTGATATACAAGGGTTGTTCATCTGACATCGTAGCTGAAAGATGATTGCTTATCTTGAAGAATAAGAATGGTTTGGGTGAATATATGAGAGCTGGGTTCGGCAGTATTTATATCTACAGTATCGTGTCTCGTCTCATTTCTTGACAGATGTATTGTTCCGATGGCGCCTGATCTAGGTATCACGCTTTAGTACGATCAGATGCATTTCTTGTCAGAGGAATCAGATAGATGTGCGTGAAAGCCGATTAAAAATTTATCCTACACTAATTTCTTAGGATACTGCTCCACCTCTTCATGCTCAATTGCCCTGAAGGAACTATGTTGAATAATGATAAAATGAACGATACCACTGTAGAAGACAATCAGTTTACATTAAGGCCACTCTCATCACGTGGCATGACACTCCCTGACGCGTTCAAACTCCTTCATCAAGTAACGAACATTGCCTTCATTCAATGTTTTTCCCCATGGTTTGGGCTCGTTAGGTATCGTGACTTGTTCGAGATCAATGATAAAAATGCTTCCATCGTCACTAACGATGAAGTTATCCAGCTTTGGATCCCAGTATAGAGCATTTTTCTCCGATAGATCGGAGAATACCTCTCGAAGCTGGGATTCCAGCGCTTTCGCTTCAGTAATATATGAGCTGTTACGCGCAATGAAGTCTAAGGTTGACCAGACCTTTTCCTCGGTATCGAATTCATTTTCCCATCCCTCTTTGCGTTGTTTGATAATGACATTCCTCAGTAGTTCAGGTTCACAAGGAGACGGTGCTAATCTCAAAAGATAAAGCGTTTTCCTTTGAGGATAGAGTTGCTCGGCCTTCTCTATGCTGATGGGATTCTTTCCTATTCGAAGCTTCAACGCGTGAGCTTGGTCTTGATCGCTCTATCACATCTCTTGATGTACCGTTTTGTCAATGTGTGATCCTCGGGACAACCGCACCACATCATCGGAGCATCAACGTGGTGACACATGCTGGGAAGAAGATATCAGTAGTAGATGGCCAAGCTTGTGTCAGGATTTTCTGTAAAGCGTTCCCGGTGGTTGGAGGCGCAGTGATGGTGAATTCAATACTTGACGGGTTCAAGCTGTATTTATAGACATCTCGGGAGGCTTGAGCGCTGTGGTATCCTTTGTTCGAAGTTGAAAAGAATTCAGAAAGTTGATTGTCATCATCAGCCTGACAAAGAAGGGGTGTGGTCCAACTCCGGTCCTGTTTGAGCTGCAGCTTTTTGGTCGCCGCTGAATTAATCCCAGATGCCATGAATATGTCATAACTTCACAGAACCAAGCTAAATGACGGATTTTTATTACACAGTTTAACCCCTTGTGCCTGAGTGGCATCGAATGCTGGGTATTCTTTACACGACCGCTCCCAGCCTTGACGGGGTGGGGAGTTCCGACGGGGCTAACATAAATCTGTAAACCAATGAGATCGAGGGGCTGCTACTCGTAGTGTTGTGAAATGGTCAATCATGTTTAATCTCCCTAATCTCCCTAATTTCTATATATGCCTTCTTTTCGATCATAGTACACATGTCCAAAATGGAAAGCCAATAGAAAGAAGTCATGGATTAGATATTCAGGCAGCTATGATGACGTGCAGGCATTAACGTACTTGTATATGATCTAGTTTGTTACGCCTAACGGGCCCCACCCTACCGTCTGTGGTTTTGTTTCGTCACCGCCTACTTCTTCGGGTGCTACCCCTCCACCTGTCTACTTTATTACTCCTATTTGGTCGTTAGGCGTCATTAGGCGTCGTTGAACATATTTTACTTTGAACGTATGGCCTCAGTTCAACGGTGTGAATGCATGTTTAAGTTAGTTACGGATAGGTATGTCTCGGTCAATTCAGCTTCCAAGTCATGGGAAGGCCGTCCTAATATTTATTGAATGGCATTCCAGCCAGTAGGTTAATCAAAACAACTGTGCGCTATGTCCACGAACGAAACGACCGTCAACCCTTTCGAAAGCGTCTTACCGCAAACTGGCGTCTCGAGAAGTGAAATATGGAATGAAATACAATCAACCGCTGTCGCCGCGGTGGGAAAAGCGGTCGAAAATAAGGAGGCCCTTGCCTCCTTCCACGCGCCCACCGCATTCGCAGAAATCATCCGTCAGATTCGAAAAGATTATGCACTAGTGAGCTCTGCAGGACGTTTACTGATTCGTAATTACTGACTTCACTCAAATAGCATGCCGAAAAGTTCGCCGATCGACCCCGCCAAATTACACGATGCCAAGGTGGAGGACTTGTGTTTCTGCCTGGAATAACGCAGACGCCTATAGACTTCATGATACTTGAACCAATATTTTGCAACGGAAAGGCTACAATTGGAGGCATTAGTGTAGATATGGATCATTATTATGTCCTCCTGAAGAAATGCGATGTTTTTGTCGAAGATGGTAGCCAATTAGTCACAGTGGCTATGATGTATATAGAATGACAATAAACGAGTGAACTTTTTGATTGACCAGTGGATCAATTTTGTCTTTGAAGGGAGTGGACTATTTACAGGTAAGAAGCGATAGGAGTTTGCATTTGCGTGCTGTCATCATCTTGGAAATTGAAGGTATCAAGATTGAATTGCGTGTAGTCGTGGTCCAAGAAGTTGAAGGTGTCAAGATTAAATTGCGTATAGTCGTGGTCTAGGAAGTTGAATGTGTCAAATTTGAAATGCGTGTTGTAATCTGGATGACATTCCTGGTCGCTCTCGAATGCGCCGAGGTGGGTTTGGACAGATGTCGATTGTTGGGTGGTATCAATTACGGTATCAGTGTTAGCCTCCAGCAAGTCGTCTGAAGAAACTCCTATTTCAGAGGCGCAACCAGCTGCAACCAAGGGCACATATGTGTCTTCTTGTGAGAGGGAATGTAGGGGTTGTGCATGACCGGTATTCATACTCGATCTTGTCGTCTCCACCGGAGTGTCAGATACAATGGACATTGGTCGTTGATCACGTAAGGTTTTGCTTGAGTCCGTAGTATGTGAATCCGCATTTGAAAATTCATCGTTCAGATACGCAACACTTTCTTCTGAGGTGATTGTCCGCAGTGCGCTATTGCAATCATCACTCATGTGCGCTAGGATCTGTGCAACGTGTGTGGTACCATCATTCACTCTATGTGTGGCCTCAGAAGAGTTGGATAGAGAAACTTCAACAGTGTCGTCATATCCTCCCACATCACAGAATAATTCGTCATCGATGTTATCAAGTTGTGTACAACTTTGAGCGCAGACAGGTTCGGTTTGTCTCAGCCTGTTGCGTCCCCTCGATTCGAGTATGGATAGGCTGGATACAGGCTGTTGACTTCTTGATGGAGATAAGGCTGTAACGTATTCTGTATGTGCGGCATCACTATCGTGTGTTATCACCTCGGGTATGATGGAGGCTCTGGCGGATCGATCATCGGCAGAAATAGATTCACGCGAAGATTGTGGTGGATTGAAATTGGAATCATCTTCTTCTTCATCTTCCCCGTCTTTGTTTGCACCGCAAGTTGTTATTGCGGCGGCCCCGGTTCCAGTTCTGCACACACCAACACGTCGTCTTTTTGACCCAGGCGCGTTCTGACTATTTTCATGAGACCTCTTGTGCGTCCGAGTGGATTGATTTTGGCCAGGAGTATTCGTCTGAGGTATACTACACTCTCCATCTGGTTGCTCCTCCGTTGAAGAGAATTGAGCCTCGCTTGATAACTGCTTTGACCGCAAAATAGAGAATATCTTGCTCACAGCTTCACTATATTCAGGATCCTCGTCCACGGCTTCATCATGTTGAGCGTCCTCCTCGACAGCTTCCTCATCTTCCGTATCCTCGTCGACACGGGTGTTCTGTCGATCGTCTTCCATTTCGGTATATTGTAGTATGATAGACCCCAGCTTTGTTCGTCGCAAACCATCAACATCGTCGACCATTCCTGCACGTGATAGACCGGACCGTAAAAATCCTGCCGCTTTTAGGTCGAGAGATCTCGATTGAAGAACTTCCGGCCTATATCTCTTCAAATAGATCTCCATGGCTGTACATTCTTTGCTTGTCATATTCACCCAGCTGCAAAACATCAGTCTGCCTGGACGCTAAGAAAATGAACTGAGAACTCACGTAGAAATACCCCCACCGAGTCTAAGGGCTACGCCTGGACCATGTCTCTGCATCAGAGATATAAGCTTGTTCCACCCTTTCACAAGTTTTCTCACTTGGTCGGTGTCAAGATCGTGCGTATCCGCCAGGTAGGCATTGCTCTCTTTTCGACCGCCGAAAGTTGTCGCTTCGTTATTTCGTGCTTTGTACAATTCCAGCACATTGTCGCGCTCGTGGATCTGCAACAGAAATAGAAGTTGTTCAACAATGATACCCTCTTCCTTTGCTTTTGATTTTGCCTTGCGAAGTCGTTCATATCTTACAATCGGTTCGTCTGTAGGTGAGAAATTGTCTAGGATGGTAACTTCCCTCACCCAGAATGACCCGGGATCTTCATATTTATCGAAAGTATCAATTGCTGTGACATTTCTAAGAACGCTAACTGCAGATTTGATTCTGATGTCCTTTGGTTGCTCGGAGGTTGTGCTCGGTTTCGCGTTTGTCTTCGATATACTTGATGGAGCGTTGGGTAGAATCTTTGATAATTCTTTGTCTGACGCACGCGCCAAAAGACCGCGCAATGCAAGCTGTATACTGTCATTTGTGAGAGGGAAAGGTAATCGATTTAAAATATAGATAAGTAGTTGTTGCAATTCGGTCTCAGATAACTGACGAACAATGTCAGGTAGATTGTTAGATTCCATGCCGAGAGAGGATTTAAAATGCTAGGTTTACTAGGTGAAAAAATACTTACATCTTTAACACTTCAAAAATCAGAAGTGTGCCTACGTAGGCACACTTCTGACATAAGCAGAACAGATTAACTAGTTAACTTAAGTTAAGTATTTCTAAACAAGCTAAGTGCTGTGCAAAGTAACACTGCCACTGATGCTAGCGCGACGCTAATATTGCATGAATGTACATAGTAGGCCAGTCACCTTGGTCCCATACGCACGATTTATGGTTAGTGTGTATGTACAGCCCCTGCTACTATACTTGAAAACCGCAAGAAGACGCCTGATTACGAACTTTGCCAAAAGATCTTCATGCTCCGTGGTTCAAAGATACTCGATTGGACTGATGATCTGAGATGGATTCTAGACCCGTCCGCACGGATGGTGGAGAAAGACGGGTCTTCGTGTTTCCTGTACCCGGCGTAGGAAAATCGAAAAGTGTGAATATGGAGGATTGGAAGAGCGGTATTTTGCCGGCAAAGAATCCTACTGGTTGTGATCAGATCAACACTCGGCGTTCTAGGACACAGTCCGACTATCAGCTATACTGCATGCTTAGTGAATTTTGAAAGAAACTATCACACGTTTCATTCGTAGGGATACCAGTGTCGTATACTTACAAGACGTGATAGGACTAGATAAGGACAACGATGGAGCAGATCATAGTTTCCACCTGATATGTCATGGTGGATGATGTATGCATGATCCATTTATATTATATATGGACATCAGCCTTGTCCTACTGTCACCGCAACTTGACAGACACAATCAAGCCTCTTAGCGGTCTCGAGCTCAACCCTTTTGAAGTCAATGAATTTTCGATCACTCTTTCTTCACCCTGCATATTTCGCACATGGATCTCGAGAATGCGTCAGAGGCCCTGCCGCCTGACAGTCTATACATCGAGATGGAACACCCAGAGGATTTTTTCTCCCACAATGCTTCAGAGAAACTACCGCCTGAAGATCTAGATTTAGAGAAGCAGTGTACTGTACCTGGAGACACGAAGCCGACTTGGTGGAGACGGATATGGGGAAGGATCTTTTCCCTGATTTTCAAAGCCGAAACGCCGGCAGCTCTGTGTACAGCTGATAGCAACTTGCCTTCAACGCCCATTGAGAGGCTCCACTCAAATCGACCAACTATCGAGACCGTGAGAGAGCCAGTGGCAATATATACAGCAGGTCCTCCGCGAGGTATACCTGATTCGCAGGGTATACGGACTTTCGAAGAGACGACCAGAGTCCGCTCACCCCAGCCTCCGCCTCCGCCTCCGCCTCCACCAAATACTCACGACCCCTGTCAAGACGGCCTATTGGGTGACCGCGAACTGGATGATCTACTTTCGTTGGTTAAAAATGCAAAAAGCGACATCTCTCCATCGATATCATTCTCTGATAGGTCGACTGCAAGAGGGAGAGACTCAGCAACAATTCCACCATCTTTGTTTCCCCGTCTGTGATTGGAGTGTAGATGGATACTCGCATGATCCGAAGATTAGTGATAACAAACATCTATGATCGCTATTCAAAACCTATTTTGTCTGACGCACCGACGTGACTAAAATGACGACAGAGACGGATTCCCAGATACAAGTAGGTACTCTACAAGGACTACGAAGGCTAGTAGTAACTCGAGTCTAGACAATGATGATCCTCGTTCGCCAGATAATCCTGGATATCATTGAGATTATGTTACCCAATCCAGACCATCGCGAATCTGGGAAAAGCTTGATTCTGGAGTATTGTTCTATATCATATACGGTGGATGAGAGAGACTATTACGTGCTTCTGGCGAACGCTAGAGCCGCGCTTGACGAAAGAGAATGGCGTTGGAGAGATAGAAGAACGAGATCCTAAATCATATTAGGGATAGTCTCCTCGCACGCTCTAACCCATGTTTTATTTTGTTATGTCTTCGGGTAGCCGATGGTCAAACCAAGCTATTTTTATCTCGCTTAGTCGACGCTGGGATTGGGTCTGGGAACCGCAGTCTCAGCATATCCGTCACCGGCACTAGGATTGAAATAAGACCTGGGTTTCTGAAAGTCTTACACGCGGGACATCCTGGCTCCAAGAACATGGATTCAACCTTCACCCAATAGTGCCATTAGGACGTGGCTAGTATCGCCTTTTCGATATCGACCAAGAGACCCTAGCGGGGCTCAACAAGGAGTATCCGTCTCTCAGAGACCCGAGACTAGGATTGGCGCTACTCACGCAATCCTGGGACAGACATCTTCTGTAACTACGTGGACAATTCTAGCCAAAAATTATGCTTTAGGTGATCATAATTCAATTGCTATTGGTCGCTTAGATTATTTCTCATTTAGGTCAGGAGAACTAAAGTAATTGCGACCAGACTACTACTTGACGCTTTGGGACAAATCTCCGAGTCGTAGTCATTGCATAACCCTGACCAAAACATAAAAGGGATGCGTACGCCATGTATGGACGGTGCATGATGCAGTCCAAATCCAAATTGATCTATCCAAAATCTGAGTTGTCAGAAATATGGCAGCTATCCAAGTCAAGACCAATATCACCGTGTCCAGCTGCAAGGGAAAGCTGAAGAGCCCAGTTTACTCTGTCCAATGCGAAACACGTATGTAAAAATCAATGGTTTGGTCAACATCTGCTGATAATCTTAGCAGTGAACCCTCGAAAGCGATCTATTCTATCATTCATCATCACGTTTGTCAACGCATGGACCGAACAACCAGTTCATATGTACGCCTCTAATTTCGATGTCGAGAAAGCGATCTTGCCCTGGAATCAAACGACACCTTACAAGTCTAGGCCTGTTTGGATTATTCTGAAAATCATTTGCTGGTGCATCCTGCTTCTCTGCGTGATCCGATTTTCCATGTACTACTAGTCTCCGCTTACATAACTGTCAGTATTAGATGCCGGAAACATCTCCTATTTAGCTTCTTCCATTCCCTGATTTACCAATTGATTCTAGGTACATGTGTGTCAGTACGACTCAAATCGCTGTGAGAACTTGTGGCGGCGCATGACGACAGATCTAACACCATGACCCAGTCCAACAAAGAGATACCTATCGAATATATTGGTCAGACAACAGATGACAACACAACATCTGGTTTTGTCGCTAAGCGAGTGGTTGAAAGAACAGAGATAGAAACGCTTCAGTGGGTTCAAGATTTCAGGATGCGGCTATGTGTGAAGTCTGATTGACTGACGGTATGATATAAAGAGTGGAAATCCAGCTCTGGAAACGGCGATTTATGGATCTATCAAAGGCGGCGCTTAATACTTCTGAGACCAATACCAACCTAATGCAATATATACGCTACTTACAAGGTCGGCTTGTTAAGACTGGCGTCGCGTTCTCAGACTATGGAGCCAAGACCTCTCAGTCCAGCCTCACTGCGCCTTCCCTGACACAGGCTGTAGAGCAAGTTGAGTAAGTTGTTATTCACTGCGCGTGTTGTATGATACCCGTCTAATTACAAAAAAAGGGCATTCTGTAATTAAACCATATTTAAGCAGCCCTTTTATATCATCACCTTTCTTAAAGTCACATTGATCCCACGCTAATATGCTAATATGAGAGACTGAAAAAAGAATATCAGGGGTCTAAATTCGTTTGTGACATGATTACGCAATATGGAGATGGAGATATTTGCTGCAGAACAGGCTGATCTTTCTTATTTCCGAAATTAGAGCATATCAGTAATAGAAAAATATATAGTCTGGACCTATAGAAAACAGGGAGACATTTTGGGAACGAATATGGAGAATGTTGCTTTCCCTGGTTTTCAAGACCGGAACATCGGCAACTCTGGCTAGAGCTAATGGCAACATTCTATCAACACTGAATACGAGCGTCTCTGTGGATCCGGTGCTCAATCGTGATTGCGTGACAGGGCCAGCTTTGGGGGAGCCGACGGCAACCAACGTAAATCCACTCAATGATACACAAGCCCAACAGGACTCGCAGAGCATGACAAGTCTTGAAAATGGGATCAGAGTCCACTCATCTTCGTCAATATTTGGTGATGACGATCACAGTGAACACCGCATACTATCGAAAGCGAATCATCGACGCATTGACTCGAGAACGATTTGTCCATATGCACGCCTCTAATGTTGAGATCGAGGAAGCGATTGGGTCCCAGACGGAAACAACCCTATGCAAATCTAGGCACGTCCAGACTGTTCTACCAATTCTTTGCTTGTTGTCTGTGCGATACGATTTCTCAAGTACATGTACTCCTAGCTTATGCTACTATCTAGATAAGCCGAGCGCATGCAACCGCTTACTCCTTCACATATCCTCATTGGTAGAATATGTTGACTACTTGCTCTACTGGATCTAGACCCAGTCCAATAAACGGAGTCTTATTCCAACATGTATACTCTTTCGAACGCCAGTAGTCTTCTGCATCTGACTAGATATTTCTGACTTTTGGAGGTAGCAATGAGGCGATTGATCAAGGCAGTATCAAGATTAAAAATAGTGAGATGATATCAATGTACGTGAGCACGATCGGGTAAAACCAAGGAAACCTGTCTGAATTCTGTTCATTCTCATCTATCCTGATCTTCCTGCAATCATTACTTAGTATATCTAATTGAGATTTCTGTATATAGGAATGCGTTCCCCCGTTGATACAAGTTAGTTAACTAGTCCAATGTTAGATTATCTAATGCCAATCACATGATCGACCCCGCACAAAATGGAAGAATCCGGCGACAGCATATTCGATGACTTCCTCCAGGATTATGGACAAGGTGACGAAATCATGGACGACCTCATCTCGAAAATCAAATTCGTGTATCGAAAACCGCCTTCTGATGACCTATGTGATAAGGTACAGGAGTTACTAGGTGGTTCTAGAGTGATTGACTACGGTGGTTTCAAGTGGGTCGAGCCGGAATGGGATTCGAAGGAGTTCAGATTACTGGAGAAATTTCTTCAAGAAGGGGTAAGCGTTGTAATATTTGCAGAGTCAGTGTGACACTAAGAGATCATAGGCTCGTGAAAACGAAACGGAGTTACTCGGCCACCGGATGCGCGGACCCATAAAGCTCGTCCGCTACATTCCTCAGGTGCCTGACCATAAAAGATCTCCACCACGGCCCTATCTGATATGTCCATCTGGCTACGACGATGCAGCTGTCTTGGTCCGATCCGTCCAAAAGGAAACCCAGCATCTTCAAATATATGACATCGATCCACGCACCACAGTGCAGGAAGTTCAGGAACAGATTGAGTTATTGCCGAAAAAATATGGCACCACGCTCGACAACCTCTTACTCCTTCCACATCAAAGTAAAATTGCCTGGCCGATCGAAAACGAATTGATGTTTGTTTGTCAACTTTACTCCACAGGCGGTCCGGATATGTCGGCTGCATCGGCAGATCAGGAAGATGATGTCTCCCCCTTTATGCGCCGGTTCTGGTGGAAATGGTCAAGATAAACACGCGCTGGGTTTTGTATTGTTAGTTAAATGCGGCGAGAGCTTCCACCAATCAAGCAGACTTACTAGTATGCGGCATTTAAGTTTGACGATTGATCCTTGAAATCATGACTCGCCGCCAGTATGAGCGGATACTCCTCCATTAGCATAGCCACTTTCTGCAGTACCGGCCACGGAACCAAATTCAAAGACGTAACCACTCGAGCAAGCACCGTCAGAAGTCCCGGTCCACCAGCGGCTCGTCGCAAGTACTCAAGTTTTGACCCCGTTCTAATACAACGTCTCATTACAGCGAGCTCCGCATTGACTTTATCGCAGTATGCGGGTATCTTGCCTAAATAGAACTCTTCGCGGTTTGACGATCTTGTAAGAGGGTCATCTGTTCCATAGCAAGCAATTGCGTGATAAAGTGCACATTGGACGTGTAATTGGCGGTCGATTTCGTTACTTCCGCGGCCGAGAGAACAAAACGCAAGGCTCGCGTTCTCATTCGTGGAGAGAGTCTTTCTACGCATTGCGATGATGACGAACTCGACGATGTTGCAATCCTGCATATCGTATGTGGCGTCCAATGATGACTGCACCTTGGCTAGGAATTGATGAGCGGCGATGAGCGGTTGCGATTTGTCTGTCCTGTTTGGTAGGCTACGGACAGCGCCAATACGACTGACTAGTAGATTCATCTGTTCGCCATGACGATGGATTTCATCCTCAGTGCAATTGTAAATAAAATCAATCGCGTGTGTGATCTGTACATCTCGGCTGTCCATGGTCATCTGTGAGTTATAGAATGAAGTTGTGAAATGCGCGCGGGTCGGCGCTCGGATTCATCCTCTATGTGGGTCGTGTAACACTGCATATATGATTGGCTGTACTAGCAATGAGTGGATATGTTTTTGAGAAATATATCCACCAAAAGCTAATCGAGACCACACTTTCTTGCGTTACGTTGCCTCGTCAAGTATACTAGCAGTATAGGAGTACTTGGCAAAATAATAGTGCAATTGCATTTACTTTGAATAGGAATCAAGGAATGACTCCGCCTCCACTGTCAACTGAAAAGTTAGGACGGAAATTGAGAACTGAAGGCGACGTTTCATTGTCTGGTACGGATCCAGTTGAGGATCCAATGACCAACTCTCGTTGCCAATAGAACAACAAACCTTGTCAGTGAATTGAATCAGAAGATAGAATCCTCCACTTAGAAATACTCGGCGATCGCGCCACTCGTGGAGACCGTAAGTTATATTTTGATCCAGGAGCATTTTCCAAAAGAGGGGGCTCCTACCGATTAGGAGATCTTGTGGAAGATCCGATTGGTGAGATTATATCTTTGAAAAATGGACCTAGAACATTACCGTCTTGCATCCGAAGCAGCCTTGTGCAAACAGAATCGTCCCCAACCCGGGCTGATTAACCGCCATGTCGCAGTTATCGAATGACAACGCTGGGTACTCCTCAGAGAGTTCACATTTGACTGAGGAATGAGAACCTGAAAAGGCTGCCCAGATACAAGCTGATGCTAAGGTATGAATGCTGAATGAGGAACATGTATGATGTGCTAATGAGATTTTAGTACTTGTACTGTAAGTCCGGAACACCCAACATTCATAATACTGGCTAAGTTTTAGACGGTGGGTGTCTGCACAAAAGCCCATACAGGGAAGCAAACCGACCGCGGGATCAACAAGTGCGGCGACGCACGATGCTTCTCGACCGATAAATCTCAACTCTGTCGGTCAAGCGAGGCATTCGCAATATCGGTCTTCAGATGTTTCGCAATTAGGGCAAGGGGCCTCGAAGCGCAGCTATCAGGAATACAACCAGGATCGGATCTCAACGTCGGAACCACCTTCGTCAAAGATGCAACCACTCCCTCGCCCGGTATTGGAGCGTGTGCGTTTTGATCTACACACGATCAGCAATTCTTCAGAGAACCAAGAACCTTCGTCAAAGTCTGCCGTCTACGGATTTTTCGGTCTCAACTTGTGACAGCATGACCCGCATCGACTCATGTGGGCAAACATCCACAACGGCAGAATCGCGACTTTCGCACTATAAGAGGGAAGGTAGATAAACCCCCACCCTCTACGAAGAGGTTATTTTCACTGACATTGACCAGTGTTTTGAACCCAATTTTACCTTGGAACAACACTACCCGTACGAACGAGCGCCCACACTATTGCTCAGTGCCTGCCTGCTATCAGCGGTTCAATCGGAGTTATATTCAGAAAGCGCATATGAGGACTCATGCAAATGGTTTATCTTGGTTTTGAACGACCAGAATCCGTGATGCCAGTCGAGTTTCAGATATTGGGTGTCTGGGCAAATCTCCATGTCGAAATCTGCATAGAAGATGGGAAAACATGGAATTTGTATTACCAATATGTACATTAGTTATTATTTGTCTTTCGCGGAGATAAGCATACATGTGAAACAAAACCTGGGAGATTTTTGACTTTAAATGCACTAGCATCTAGAACCACGGATACCGACGAGTATTGGGCTGCGCATATGGCAATCAGTCTATCGCTACTTAGGGGGTGTCAGGTTCAATAACAATTGCCTGTTCACACTATGTCCGAGCGAATACTAGTCATGCACTGTAGTAGAACCAAGTAGGCTTTGTGCAAGCCGAGAATTTCCATTACCGGAAAAGACTGAATAGATCCCTGCAGGCGCAGTTGAGACAGTTGGTCATTTAATGAAGCCCATCCCCGGCTCTGCGAGAGTATGTCTTCTCCGGGAATTACCACAATACAGCGTGCACTAAACTAGGAAGTACCATACATCAGCCGTCCGGATCAACATGGAAGGAATTATCGCAGGATACAATTTATACATTGAGTACGTTATCTTCCCATTTTTGATGGCCGTTTCTAACACTGTTACAGGTGTCGGAAATCTTACTTTGATCGAACTATCCTATCGCTGGAACAGTATAAACAATTCCTGTTGTCCTCAGCTTCCAAGGCGCGACAGGATCTGCTGCTACACATCGTTGATTACTCCAAGGCGGGGTACAATACTTTGCTGCTTTGCGAACTTGCAGCACTATGTCCATTCTATCTTCCCTCCGCTTTGAAGGATATACAGGAGACACAGCAAGATTTGACACTCTGGCTTGGAGCAACACATAACGGTAACTTAAACCGACAGACATATGCTACCTTATTCCGTATGCTCCGTCTATTGTTGCCAAAGTCTCAGTCACACCTGTTGAACCTCCTTGATGCGCAGATGTCGATGCTCCAATGCCGCATCAGTCGCTTAGATTTTACTCTGCCACTGCTGATGACAACGCGTATATTGACACAGCAACTATTGGAAGAGAACCCATGGCACCCTATGATCGGCAATCTCCATATTATGGATTTTGAAATATCGAGAAGGCCTCTGTCTTTAGGGAGGTTCGAGAGATTTTGCATCGTACTTCACAGTCTTATGGCTGATATTGTTCCTACCAACCAGACTATTCCAATATCACTTGGCAGGACTTTCGAAATGAGCGGCACATGGCATCCACGCCAGCTAGAGGCTGCGCATGGAGTGTTGCAATGGTAAGTTACACGATCCTTGCTCTTCTTGACAGTTTCGTGTCTTACGATCATTTAGGACTGAAAAGCATACTGCTTGGTTTACATGCCTCCCACAAATTCCAACGGATCTTGCCCAATTTCGACAGCACCTTGCTTCATGTAACACCATATATGTTCGAAATATCTTGATTTCTCTTAAAACTACTGAGAGATTTTTACCAACGCAGTGGCTCCTGTCACTGTATGCATTAGCTGCTCTGTGTCCGCCATGGCTTTTGACAGCCGGGGTTGAAGGGGATCTTATTCTTCTCGTTCACGCTTTTCACACATGTCAAATGACTCCAACAAGTTTCAAGGCACTCCATCAACTGCTGAGCATCACATCTTTTAATAATCAGCCACCAGAGCTCGCGCATGATCTGGAAATTATCCAAACGAGGATACAGTGGTCACCAAACGCTTTCGAGCACTCTATTATATCGGCTGTGTCTCAGTTGGAAGCAGTGTTTCACTGCCAAGTCCAGTCATATGGGCCGAAGGCGATACTGGCGTTGAAGGCGATACTGGCGCTTAAGCACCAACTCAAATCCATAGAACCATTGAAGAAATTTGTTTCGCTATTACGAGGGTTGGAGTATCTTCAAAAGCAGCGCATCCAGAATTCTTCCAAAGGTCCGGAACTTTTATCAGAATCTTCTGGGACATGCTCTATTTCCAGCCCTTCAGCTTCGACCCGTGGAACAGTTTCTGATATCGATTCTGTTTTGCCCTTCTCACATCCTTCACCCGATTCTGCTACAAAGTGTGGCTATCCAAATGATACAATGGCAGAAAAACGGCGTTATAAGTGTTGCTGGAACGACTGTGGAAAGGTAGATACAACCCATGTTCAACGTTTTCTAGTGGACATAGTATAGTTATACCAGCATTAACCAGTTGTTTCGACGCAAACACGATTTGGATAGACACTACCGTTGCCACAAGCAAGACCGCCGATATCGTTGCACGGTGCCTGCTTGCGACAAGAGCTTCGTTCAGAGTAATGCTCTTACAGTCCACTCGAGGACTCATACTGGTGAGAGACCTTATGTGTGCGAGTATGAAAATTGCGGCAGGTCCTTCTCCGACGCAAGTATCTCACTATCCAGTCTAGCTAAGTCATATATTTGCTGATTGATTGTCAAAGTCTTCGAGCAGGGCGCGCTATCGCCGCCGCATACATTCAGAGTGAAAATGCCCATTTGCAGAAGCCGTCCGTTCAAATGTCACCGATCGCTCATATTAGATAGATGCTGGCTCTCTGCACTAAGGCCAAGCGCTTCTTCACTAATAATGCTACCAAGTAGCGAGCGGATTCAAGAATTAGTTTGGAGAAAAAATGAAAGCATCGAATCATATTATATCATGTCAGAGGGCACAGAAAAGAGGACGTAGGATTACGAACTGAATGCGTTCTAAGGGGGGACTTCGTTGTCTATATCCAGTACTTTGGCATACTAGGCAATCGTTCATATACTTCACTTGACCCTGACTATTCTCGCTAACGTCTCCAAAGACTCAGCACCGTCGATGAGTTGCAGGTAAGCCATCGGAAGAGACACGGGGCTAGGGATACAGTCGCCTAGACCAGACTTTGCTTTTGTTCGTCGATGGGTAAGATATGAAAGCCTATTTAAGACCTCGAGTCTTTAGATGAGTCACTCATTAGCTGTGTTCGGAATTGGAGTGTGCTCTTGAAGCATGTATACCGCATGCTTAAGCCAGGAGGCTATATCGAGTGTCTGGAGCAAAGCCACACAATCGGAAAGAAACTTCGAAGGGCGTCGCAAAAGCGAGGTATGCAGCTTGATGTGGCGCTGAGACTTGCAACTCTGTTTGAAAATATAGGCTTTTCGATAAAATTTCTGCACAAGAGGCGTCTCTATGCGAGATAACCGGGGCCTCGAACGACGTAGATTTACGGCCTTTGCAGAAGGATTGCTAGCTGCCGATCAGTCCAACGTGACTCTAAAAGATGTTCTTGCCACAGACCAACTACTGGACGATGATGATACGGTACCATAAGTCTGGAACACAAGTTTCATATACTAGGTGTGCGCGCAAAAGCCCTGCATCATAGTATCTGCAGACATGTATTACAAGTCTCTGGGTTTGTTGTCTTGTAGGTCTCATGTTCTCAAATATGGGTGTATCGCAGAGACATATGTTTTGTTGAGTGCTATTCAAGGACGTGGGTCCCTCAGAATTCAGTTCTTACAGGTAATGTAGTCGCTGATAAGGGCTGTGGTTCAACCGAAGATAACTCTATTACAGCCCGTGTAGTCCGTATGTAACCTTGAATTGTAGAGATCATGTCTTCTGAATTATCACGCGCTACCGACTGCCTGGCGCCACATGGGCTGGCGGATGGATCGTGGGTTGGCACGTGATATTCACTTAACATGCAAGGATATAAAGCTTGCGGAAATACCTGCAGGGATTGTACATGCATTCTCTCCGTCTGTAGCTGTTGATTATGATGGCTGAACGGCGATTTCGGCGTCTACGTCCCAATGCTGAGCAGATCCCGTTTTACATGAACTACCTCATTGGCACAAGTCCACTGTACTGCCACCGTTTGACCGAAAGCTACATTGCATTTCTCAAAAACAAGTCTCCATCGCATAGTAACGAATGGTGGTCCCAGGACGTCAAAAATTTATCAAATTCAGGTAAAGTGATGCTGACAAGGAAAGTAGCGTAGACTAACAATTCCCAGATATACAGAAGCTGCTTATTCGTATCGTCCTGGAGAAACCATGCAACGTCACAATCACGGAGCTCTATAATCTTTTACAAGAGCTGGAACCCAAGAAGGCTTGGAAGCAATTCGACAGATTGTGGAACATTCTCCATCTACAGGATCAGGATATTGTTCCGGCAAACTGCAAGAAACAATCACCAGGAGTCATGTCGCATGACAAAGATCTGAAACCGGTAGTGGAGACTAGGTCGTTGCCCGCATCCTTTATACCATCCTTTGTTGTACCGGATCAAGCTGTCTGGTTGTTCCCAGGCTATCCTATATGGCCATCAATTGGTTATAGCCGACAGCCAATCTATCCTTGTTGCGATTCAATTGTGTCGGAGGATCCACAGACGTCTTGCTTTCCACCATCTATGAATGGCTACATATCAAATCCGTTGTCCCACCCCCTCGAACTTTGAGCTCTGTTCTGATTACCTCCTTTACGTAATATTATGATAGCAATCATTGGTCAATCATTTCTAAGTGGCGTATTTAGTATCGCTGAGAATGCCCCCTAGGCGCTTCATTGTCTTCATCTATTGGTGAGAACGCTAATACTATCAGCTCCACTAGATTTTCCGATATTTGAGACCATCAACTCATCTAGCCGATTTGAATTTTGGGCCACAGGATGGTCAAGTTGGGGCAGCGACCATGCTGATGGAGGAAAATTGCATCTTCAAAATCTGTTCTCACTATGATGCAAGGATCTAACAACAATTTCGTGATCATGGACGATGAATCAAGTAAGGCCTCTTCGGTCCGTGTGAGTGACCATGTAACCTGGAATTATGGGGATCCTGTCTTCCGAATACCATGCTTCACGACTATATCGCACCGTATGGACTAGTAGATGTAACATAGATCAAGGATTACATTGAAATTCGAGGAACATTTGTAAGAAACGAGATGTGCTACTCGATAGACCAGGGGCGGAAAATGGTGATAGATGCTGGAGTTCAATACGTATACGGAACAAATGGTAGCTCGACACTGGCTAGATAGCTTGAATCCTCTGTTCGGCTCTTTCATGCGTTGAATGGTTACAGCCTTTCCGTGCGGCGGTTCCTAGGAGGACCACAACTGATCCATACTTACTTGGATACCAATTTGGGTTGAATAGGAAGAGACGGGCAACAATCAAAGCCCCTGATTGTACGACCGCGGTCGAATTGGACGATAATCAGCCTGGTTTCGTCTCCACCTGCATGGGGAAAGTGTATAGGCTCGAAGAGGTGGAGACTCGTTTTCGCAGCTTCACCTGACGACATGCCCTATTATTCAGCTAAACCGGCTGCCTAGCTTGCGCACTAGCCGCGTGTAAATATTGATCAGGCGAATGAGGCAGCGTCCACTCGCACGACCAGGCCAGCCACACGAGCTGGGATTGCATTTTCCCCTTGGAGTTTTCATGGCACCGCAGGGGTTTGTGGACTTTTCCCTTGTGATTGGGGCTGTTTCAATTTTTGGTTTTGCGTCGTCCAGTACCACCCTAATACCTTCTAAGATATTTTAGCTTTGCGCTCGTTGTTCACTACCTCGTTTATTCCGTCTTTCAGTAGCGGAATGCAGCTATAGGATTCTCGTAGTTTCATGTACGATGTAGGGGATGCTAAAGAATTTCCCTTGTGGTCGAATACGACTAAAGATACGGATATCTAAGATTAGTGTCAAGCTGGCAAGGCGTCTCGAAATTTTGCGGTCGATTTCGAAGAGCCTTCGCCCCTTTCTTGAGACGAACTAGCTGATCATGCCTGGTCTTCTGACATCGACTTACCCAAAAAGTGGATTCCCAAGTGGTCTTCGGTGTACCACGTGAGTCAGGGACCGCGTACCGCAAACAAAGATCGATCAGTCAAAGCACGGAATAATTACAAGACTATGTTTGGTGGAGTAGCCTAGATGTCCCTTGGTTATGGATCTGCTTCCCTAACCGGTCAAGTGTAGCTGCATGATCCCAAGCATCCGGTTTCATATAATCCGTACCACACCTCGCCCATTTCCCAATACTTCAGGCATCCGATAACTTCGCTTCCTAGACCGGATCTGGAGTCAAGTCTCGTTTGACCTGCCCATAGAAATCGATCATGGATGGTCTTCCTGAACATCTCATAGCGGGTGTACCTAACGGCCCAGAGAGTAATTATGAAAGTTCTCTATGGGTGACATACCAGCCGCTAGATAGCCATATTCCGTTACCACATTTCACCACCCATCATTACTTCCCCGCGACTTCATGGCCCATGGCTCCCTCGGGCTTGTTAGACCCCCAGTTAATGCCCAGTCAATCTTTGCATACGACTCCGTCTGCGCCGACACCTCGCAAGATTTTGACGGATGAGGTTCGTCGTCAGATTTGCTTGTACCAGGAAGAGAACAAGTCGGCGAAACAGGTGGAGATTGCAGGTAAGTTTATGCTGTTCACTCGATAAATTGACCGTAAAGTCGAAATTACTGATATAATCCTATAGATTTATTCGGGGTGGAAAGGAGGTAGTGTAAACATCTACTTATCAATATACATTTATGCTAATCATCTATCAGCACCGTGTCCAAGATACTCCGGCAAAAGGAAAAGTATCTAAGCATGCCTGATGGAACTCAATCACCCATCAAGCGAGGCAAACACAAAGAGTCTAAAATCGAGAAAGCCCTCGCTAACTGGGTTCAGAAGAGTAAGCGCCAGGGACGTGTATTGACTCGCAATGATATCGAGGAGAAAGCAAAATTGTTTGCTAAGAACTGCGCTACCCAAGATCAAAAACTCAAGATCCTCACTGAAGGCTGGTTGGATAAGTTCTTCAATGAAAACCCAATTATATGTAGTTCTCTAGAGAACTCCGCCGATACAGTTGTCAGTGATGGAGAAAGTACGCCTCCTATTCTACCTACTGGGCCTCCCCTATGTCTTTCGCCCTCTCTGAGACAAGGAATGAAGAATGAAATTGGCGACAGCGCCTTCAATATTTCTGGGGATTTCGCCAAACATGATCATTCAAGTACACTAGATCCAATCCCATCGCCGTCCGCCGGCAGGACTAGTGCGGCATCACCTCTGGTTTCGGAAAGTCCATATGTTCCAACTGCGCATTCGCGTCATTCTTTAATCAGCTCTGCTACCGGTGGGCTCCTAAACCAGACGTTCGGAGGCGAAATATACAGTAGCACCTATTCAAAGCATTCCACGAATGGACCATTCTCCGATACAGTGCTTAACTCACCCTTGGACGAGAAATTGGAAGAGGGAAACCTGACTGATACCTGCGATGTCAGCAGCAAGGGTTCAGTGAGATATCATGAAAGCAATGCAGACCTAAGCTCGATCGGAAATACGATGCAGCCACCACACTTGCCCCCTATTACAAAGGACGAAGCGCGACATGCTCTTGATTTAGTCATAAATTATGTCAAGAGCGAACCTGGGTCAGAGCTACCGGATCAGGTCTCTATTACACTAGACGAATTGAAGGAGAGACTTAACGTGGTGCGCAACGATTGGTCAAGCTCCGGAAGCCACGTCGATAAGGATAAGGATACAGATAGTCTTCGACTGACTGAAAGGAGGAAGTTTCACTCCTTGACTTAGATATGGCCTGTTATCTGTCGTTGTTTACTGGTTGATTTCCTCATGCACAGGCGCTTTTCATTTTCTTCCTTAGTTTACCTGAATTCCTTTTTCAACCTATTTTTTCTCTGTTCTTTTTCTTTGCTATAGGATTCATCTTCGAAGGAATGAAATCATTGTTATCGTGTTGAGAGATATAAAGGGATACTGGATAATAAGAGGAAGGCAAGACGAAAATATCCTTATCAGCATAAGCAGTTATCTGGACATGGAGCAGTCAATTATATGGTTGATTGCGAAATACATACACGCTTCTACCAGTTTTGTATGTCAATAAAAGGCGTTTAAATTAAGCCTGATAGGCGTATCTGGAGTCTCTGCAAGGCAATCAACGGCTGCCAGATTGTCTTCTCCGCCCTACGTGCATGGTGAAATCAATGCATGTATTTCAGGAACTGCCCTGTCCATGTAATGTCACCTGATCCAGTATATTATCACAGTTCATTTCTCCAAAGTATTCATCGACCAATCTAATAATAAGAAAACCTTCTCTGATTATCCCAAGATACATGTATCGTGACTTTGCCAAACGTGATATTGGGGTAGTCCGTCTAACGTTGCTATCTCAGGTATCAAATGAACCATGCCTATACTGTGAAAGGACGACGAGCGGTACTATGCAATTGAAGTCCGAACGTGTGAGAGCCACTAGAACACTTGTATAGTACCGTCCCAATGACTAGAAATAAGTTGTTGTGTATGTCGTTTTTGGGCTAACAACAACAAGTACATGTCCGGTTACTGTAGGAGCCAAATATGTCGTAGTCATAGTGGATAGATCACTTGATGATGCGGTTGGAGATGTGTTGGTTGCAATAGTGCTGGGTAGCGCTGGTGTAGATCTAGAAGTGCTGGCGGTGAGCTTGCTAGATGAGAACCCTGTTGGCCAAGCGCTGTTCGGTAACAGTGGAATCGTCTGACAGGTGAAATCTGTTACCATTGTCGACCTGTCGGAAGGAAGTAGAGACACATCAGGCAGACCTCTGTTAATCCATAGTCGCTGACAAGTGAAAGGCGGGACATCATGGCAGTCCATGCTACCATTGAGACCGGTATAAGATCGTAGGAAATGCGTGCAATATGAGCTTTCCGCAGTGGATCGGTCTAAACCTGTACTATAGCTCTCGTTGAGGGCTACAGACAGGTCAAGCTGCTCCTTCCCAGCAAGCCCACGCCCATCCAAACGAAAACTGTGCGCGACAAAAGAATTGGAGACGTTTCTCGGCATGTAGTATAGCGGTGCATCATCAAAATTGACCACTGTACAGTTACCCTTGCAATGCGGCTGATCCCAAGCGTAGAACCTTATCGGTCCGTACACCTAATTTTATCGGTCAGTATCGATCCAGCAGTAGATTGTGACGTGCGAACCTGATCATAAGCATTGATGCTTTCAGTGAGAATAAGAACGCTGCACATCATGAGCACATTGAAGCTGGGTGGAAGATTCATGATGGGTATCGATTCGACGCTTGAGACTTTGGCAGGAGGAGAACAAAACAATTCATATGCACGGAGCCCACACTTTTAAGATCAAGGGAAAAGGCTCCACCAGGGAAAGAACTTATAACAGGGATCGGTTGTACCCTCATCAATAGGCAACGGAAATAAGAACGTGCTCCTTGGTTGAGTCTGGAGAGGTCGACGTTTCAGCATTAAGTTTAGGGTTACTTCCTTTTGTCGGTATCATGACCACATTGCGCAGCCGGTCTTTCAGTGGGGAACTTCTTCCAAACTTGGAACAACTGCAGCAATATCAATTCACACTGTCAACAACTGCTTCCGGATTGCTGCCACGGAGGGTTGATCGGACTCGTGTCATCCCGAATTGGATCGAATGTTGCGGGTAGATTACCACCATTTCACCCGGAGTAGATCGTCAGCCGTCATAATCCAAATCACTCCACTTGTTCAAGTAGATGGATCACCGACTGTCTTGGCTCTCAATATATTACTTGTAACCGCTGACTGAATTAAGGTCAAATAAGTTCCTGCAACTTTCCATAGCTAACCAAACGAATCGGAAGACTGAGAAATAAATACCACTTTTCCATTCCTCTAGATTAGCGAATACTACCTGTAGCTTTTGCCCCCTAGTCTACAAGGAATCTGGAGCATCATGTTCAAAAAGCAGAAGCATGACAACCTCATTGAAGGTATTGAGAAGGGCATTTACCGCGATGTTCGAAAGCAGCTGGACAACGGCGCAGATGCAAATTCTCGTTACTACAAAGATCTGCCACACCGGAAGCCACCGTTGTCATACGCCGCCATGCACGGTTATATAGATATCATGAAGCTACTCATAGAGCGCGGGGCGAAGGTGGATAAAACGGACTTGCACGGCCGAACACCACTGTCGTGGGCAGCTCAACACAGCCAGTTCGGGGCTGCCAAACTGCTCGTTGAACATGGAGCAAACTTTAATGCAGAAGACGGGGAGTGGACTACACCTCTAGCGTGGTTGCTCTATGCTGACGATGTAAACGTGAATCATGGTCTACAGGAGTCCCGGGTTGAGTTATTTTGCTACTCGAAACAGACTTTGCTGAGTCCGATAGACATATTCTGTGGTATCACCGTACTCAGACCTGATTGTACGGCTGTCGCAGCATCTGTTGCGACAGCCTGTACAGTACAGCGGAGCTGATAACAGTCGGTGCAGCTTGGATATCAGACGTAGCACCTTCCACTGCGGTGGCGATTATCGGCGGGATGTCACCGGAAGAAGCCTCCGGGATCGACAATAACTCCAGCTCTCGCTCATAGTGAAGTTAGGTAGCGAGGAGACGCGAGAAATTGAACTTCGTTCGTTAGCAATAGTTGACTTGAACTGAGAGAACTACATACGTGGAAGATGGAGACACCGGATTCGGCAAATTTAGGGTCTAAGAGCACCGATAGTGCCAGTGCAATTGAGACAAAACCGGCTACTGTAGAAGTTACAGTAGTTTGCACCTTTAGAGTAACAGCTCGCACTCTGTGCTCTTTCCTCTAAAACAGCGCTAATGATTACAAGTCCATATACGGCTGGATCCGGAACAATTCTAGCTCGTGTAATTTTCTTCTTGAAGTATTGCGCATTCGCATATTTGATACGCCCGTAAATTACATGTATCGCCGACTGGCTTGGGTACCTTGGTACCTTTCATCTTCATGGAAGTTGTAAGCAAAGATATTAACTAGTTAACGATGTGGCGGCATAATTCAGATCTTCCTCAAGCTCAAATCTATGCAATACTGTATCGCCAAGTTGAATTTCAAATTGTTCAGGAAGCAGGAAAATATTGATGAATCCAGTAAGACCGGCTAATTCTACGCTGACGGTAGCACATATTTCCAGGGATCTGTCTTCGAATTAAAAAAGCCACAGTGCCTGTATCTCTTGCCATACTCTTCAGCCACTACTTCAATTCTGTCTCTCCAATATATAATCGACACCACAAGGTACTGGAGGGTCGTATGACGTTCAAGGAACTTCCCAAAAAAACGATCAAAGCTGCGGGTTCGAACTCGCAATTCTCGAAGATATGGTAACCGGATTTCATCAAGGCACTCGAAAGAGTCAACCGTCAGACATAATTTATGGAGGTTTGCGCAACGCGAAAGGAATTCAGGTAATTCGTCCCCATTAGGTGCATGGACAACGAGTTCTTCTAATCGCAACAGCTTGTCAAAAAGAAGAGATTGGAGCTCTGGCAAAAACCCTCCATATGCCGTGTCTAGAAGGATATTTGAGGCTAGGCTAAGTTTTCGAAGTCGAATCACGGGATTTAGTGACACCGCAACTAGAACAGCCCAGAGAGTACTCTTCTCAGGTTCCCATATGCCAGAGGGTTTCAGCCGTGGGCAGCACTGGCATCTCAAGTAGGTGTGTTTGATAAAGATACTTTGTGTCCCTGCTAGGGCGGATTTGAGTTTCTCCAGCAGGTCGTCATCATCTCCTTCAGTTGACCAATCAGCCTGAATTTCGTTTACGTTGTGCCAGAGGCCGCTAGCAAGCCAATTTTCAACATTCGTAGCTTGGCTATGGCAAACGAATGTGGAAAACAGAGACCGTGTTGTTTCAGGGTACCACGCTCTACAGACAAGGCGGCAATGTTTCAAATCTTCAAATTCAACATAATATAGAATGTTGTGTAGAATCTCGGGAGGGAGTTTTAGCCCAGGCTGAAGCCCCTCGGATGGAAGCACGCCACCCCGCATAGCCACGTCTTTTGAGTCTTTGGCCTTGTTGCAAGAAATTTATTTCCACCCGAGCCTCGTGCAGTATGAGAGTCTCCTCCCGTCGGTTTACTTGTATTAGGTCGCAAGACGCAAGGAGGACAGCTATTCCGACAAGCTGATGGGCCAGAAATATCAATGGTATTGAATATTGTGACTCACTCTTAAGAACTAAAGGGATGAGCCGTAGTTGATCCTCATGCGTGGTTAGCACACGGATAATAGTTATCCCGTAACGGGGATCGGGTCGGATCGCAATCGGGCATATAGAATCTCATTATCCTATCGTCGTAACGAGACCCGTATCTCATAGCTATAGAAAGATATGCTAGCGAGCTTAATATTAGCGTTACACGGTTTGTTGTGGGGCTACATTATTGTATAGAGCTGCAACTGACAGGCTGCAAAGAATGACTCGCAGCTATATAAGATGATAAGATGTACGTTCCTCTACAGCTAGTGCTCTGGAGCACTACAGTAGCCGTTCTGCATATGACAGAAAATCTGGGCTAAAGATTAACAGTTCTATACCTTGTGATGGCAACAGAACATGAGATAATTGCCAATAACCGAGTGTCAGATTTTCAGGTATTATCTAGATATCTCTCCTCACAGCGCCGCAGCTGGGAGGTGGCTTCGGTCAAGGCTTCTCTGGGTACAGCTTCGAGGGTCCTGCCGTGTAGACGCATAAGCACTTGTCGTGTCTCTTTATTCCATGCAAGCTCCGCCTTGAGATAGCTATTCTCGTACGCCAGCTCTTCCAGCTCGTCCCTGAGTACCAGAGATCTTTGGCCTTTGGTTTGTTGAAGGCGAGAAGGAAGTTGATCCAGAGTGGATGTGGAGCCTCCGACACCTAAAATCTGGTGATCAACAGGGGTCACCTCCTCTATGGGATAGAGCGGGCTGGGTTTGAAATGGTCCATGACAGGTACAAGAGACGGCAATGCCTGAGTAAACATTAAAGCTTAGGTACAAAAACTATTACTTTTTATGTGTGTTTTATATATGACTAGTTCAATAACCTCAAGCCTGCTCGTCACTGAAGTGTCCAAGTCGATGATGGTGGTCATCGGTCATCTCCGAACGTAAAGCCTCGCCCTAATCTCACGCAGAATGGTTTGAATCACGAATGTTCTTCCGGAATGGTTCTGCCTCTGCAGTTAATCCGTGTTGATCCAAATATCTGCGGGCGTGATGCACTGGCAACCACGTCAATGGAGAGGTGCTATCAAGCTTCTTCATGTCGGAAAATTGCAGTGCCAGGCATGCAAATAACGAACAGCACAATGCAGGCGAGGAATGTATGTACAATCGGTCGTCTAAGCTGACACCCAAACAGTGGTAGTGCTAGTGACGACAATAACATGCGTGGACAAGCTGGAACACGGAGTGACAGATAGCTGTTGGTGGTCAGGACTTTCGCTAACCGAAGAAGATCGAGACAACGTGGAACTACTCGATGGCATGCTCACACTATTTGGAGCTCTGTCAAAGTAGTTGAGGATGCCGTGGAAAATGTAGTAGAGATGGAGGAAGACTTCCGATGTGGCAAACACGCGTTGAGAGGACCTAACAAGGGACAAGGCCCAAGATTGAATGCAAGTGAATTGCCAAGCAGAATGAGAATGATAGGAAATAATTTCATTTTGACATGGCCATCTAGCAATGAAAGGCGGTAGGCGCTCGATTTATAGACTCAATTTGACCCAGAAGGGTGTAGACCAGACCGTTTCCTTTCCGCATGACTCCTTCTCATTATAGAGCCATTGTACTGTACATAATGATTCTTCTTGATTTAGCCCATCGGCAATACCAAGGACACCCGAGACTCAGACGATGGGTACTCACTCCTAAGTCCACTAGAAGAAACTAGGATATTACCTCAACGAGGACATGCTGTATGCCATTGAGGATAAGCTATGGTATGACCATACCGAGTAGTGTATATACCATTTTGATAGTGACTTATGACACGACTCTGAATTCGAGTTGGTAATCGTGGATTAGACTGCTGAATCTTCTCGGATCCGTTAATATCATAACGCTTGAGCGATATGCTGTGGGGCAATGCTGTCCCAGTTCAAGATCACTCGGAGTTTTCATTTAGATTTGACTTGTTCCTGTTCGGATTCGCCAACTCGTTTCCAACTCGGAACGATCCGGCCCAATTCTTGGAACGTTAGCGACATAATTGTCGGTCAATGGGCTTGTTTTACACCTGCGAGATAGCGGGTCACGAACTACGAACGGACACAGCAAGTTATATATAGAGAAAACAATATCAACAAGTAGAGGGATCATTATCATTAGCTTTAACATGTCATCCAATAGACTTCGAGCACTATCAATGGTAAGACTGTACCCCTCGTTATTTTTAAGAAATAACTAAGCCTTCCTAGTTGAATCTTGATGCAGAAAGGGAACGAATGACGGGGCAGGTAAGTCGACGTCCTTTGCGCGTTGATTCTAGCACTAACTTTGCTCAAGCTCGCTCTATGCCTCGCTGAGAACCTGAAAAGCTTGATGGCAATGGATTCCACCGGCCGGCAGAAAACGATAGCTGAGGCACAGCAATGGTTACCTCCAGACATTAAGGCCACTCTGGCCGAAGGCAATCTACACGTTGCCGTGATACCACACCGCTCCTACGAGAATCCAATGTCTCTACCAAGTATACTCCAGGATAGTGACTTGGATACACCTCATCCTCCCGCTCTGGAGTTATCCGAAGAGCCTGACACGCGAGATGAGTGTCTAGGTACACCTACTGATTTCGAAAGCTACGTTGAAGAGATGTCTATCTATCCCGAAGAATACATTTGGGACAACTTCGATGTAGTGGACTGCCCAAGTTGGATGGATAATGATGTTCTCTCAAGATACGATTAGTCCTTGTGATGCTGAATTGCAGAGTGTGAGACTTTCTCGAGCGCAACCTCTCGTATGTCGATAGTTTAAATCATAGCACCTGTCATGAAAAGAATGTACAGCATCAGTGCACAAGACAAACAGATATGTTCCGTAGCCTTGAAGCGCTCCCTCCTGAGATCCGGATTTCAATCTTTTCTGCGATAGACATCCCTGGTCTGGAAAGCCTCGTACGCGGCGCTACAGTCTATCACCAACTTTACGATCGAAAAAGAGTTCTTCGCCATTGCTTAAAACTTGCGTTTGGTAGCGCCACTCTAGAAGCCTACTCTGCCTACATATCTAGCACTCAGACTTTTGCAGAAGCACCACGTTTCGAAAGGCAAGTGAACTCTTCAAGTCTCATCAAAATCAAAGCCTCCAATGTGCACGGTGTGCTTTTGAAGGACTTGTGACTGTACAGTAGACGATCTGGTTCATATGACCAAATTTATTTCACCGCATGATAGTGGCCTGGTGCGGTTCTATGCTGATTGGCCATGCATGAAAAATCATATGAGTCTCCATGTTTTGCTGATGAGTCATGCCAAATCATCAGTGTAGGCGTTCCTTACTTTCTTGCATTTATTGATGCCATGGTCGCTTATTTGGCGTAATAAGACCACGGTGAGGATGTGTTATGTGGGATTCTAGAATGTTAAAGACAATTTAGGAGAAATAATTGCTAATATTTGCATATTTGACATTTCAAAAACTTGCAAGTCGATGCATGATGGTATATTGGACTGTGTTTAGGAACGAATGATAATTCCCAAGCTGGTAGAGTATCTGGATAATTTCGACTTGACCAGATAGGAGGAAAGAGTGGCCTTCTCCGTAAAAGCAATACGTAAAAAACCAAACGTAACCCATCTTTCAACTAGTTTCCTAGACCGGCTCAATGGAGGCAGACCAGGCAATTAGAGATCACATTGCCACCAGACTCCTACTTATTGGGACCTGGCACCTCGACCGTTAAGTCGCAGACTGCACTCAAGGATGGGACTTGACAGGATAGTTCATCACCTGTTTCGCCCATCTTAGCTATCTAATGTCCAAATGGTCTTTCCGGGGCCATGCTTGGGTACAGTAAGTTGCATAATCAGCTTGACAATCAAATAAACACTACTCCACACTATGGATGGGGAGCGGAGACACGCCAGTCTATATATGGCTAGCGCCGGAATAATTCCACATGGTTTAATACAGAGTTCGTAGTATTAGCTAGTAATAGAACAGTTCCACTTGTAAATTACCTGTACTAGCTTAGCTAGAGATTGTGGCCAAGCTCCCTTCGTGGAACAGAAGTAAAACGTTCTCGAGTCCATTACTATATGATTATGACATGGCACCAAGACTTGCATTATCAAAGATCCAACTTATCTGTGATATGTTAAGCGATGGCGTCACAGTATCAGAGGTTGCCAGCACTGTTGATTGCAGTCGACAATCAGTTTATTATATACAATCCAACCTGAACCAGTTTGGCAACGCCAGAGCTCCAGTAGTTCCGGTCGGTCGACCACGCATCATCACATCTGAGGTATTGAGAGCTCTTTGTGATCACCTCATCGAAAAGCCTACTTTGTTTTTGCATGAAATGGCTATCTTCTTATGGGATGAGTTCAATATAAACATAACAACAAGCAGCATCAGCAGGGCCCTTGTCTCGATTGGTTGGTCGAAGAAGACAGCACGGAATAAGGCAAAGGAGCGCAACCAGGATTTGCGAGACGAATATAGACATTACATCGCCGATTTCGAACTAGATCAGCTGGTCTTCGTCGATGAATCCGGATGTGATAAACGTGTAGGGTTTAGACGAATCGGCTGGTCTCCTCTTGGTACAACACCCATGCTGATATGCAAATTTCACCGGGAACAACGGTATCAAATTTTGCCTGCTTACGCCCAAGATGGCATAGTGCTCTCTCGGATCTTCCAGGGGTCCACAGACGCCGCTATGTTCGAAGATTTCATTGAGCAGCTTCTTCAACATTGCGGGAAATGGCCTGAACCAAAATCAGTTCTTATCATGGATAACGCGTCTTTCCATCACTCGGAACGGCTAGAGGAAATGTGTGCATCTGCAAGTGTTAAGCTGGTATACTTGCCACCATACTCACCAGACCTGAATCCAATTGAAGAGTTCTTTGCTGAACTCAAAGCATTCATCAAGCGAAATTGGACAGTGTTCGAAGAGGACCCCAATCAGGACTTTAGCCGCTTTTTAGAATGGTGTGTCGATACGGTAGGGGCGCGAGAGCAAAGCGCGAAAGGTCATTTCCGGCACGCTGGTCTGACAGCAGATGAAATGTGAGCTTTGATTATATATTCAGGTTATAGTATAGTACTAATCTCCGCAAAAATAAGGTAATGAGTATATGTTTCATGTCTATCAGATAGCATAAGATAGGCGCATTAGGATTTCCAGTCTCCTTTGGATAAGAGGTTTTCGATGTGATCATGTTATCGACAAGTTCCCCTAGTTTTTGACGGGCGGTGTATTTTTTAACAAATTGCGCAAAAAAGAAATAATCTCCGGAGTTAAGACTGAGGAATACATTAGAACTGCCAATAACGAGCTTCGCCAGCAAAGAGCGAATTTCAGACGATCACTCACCTCCGGGGGGGGGGAACAGATCTGATGGTCGGGAGTTTCTGTTATCTTTCAACCCCAAAGCCAGGGCCTGTGACGGTAGACAGAACAAGAATAGCACAAGACTTTAAGCCAAAGCTGAATTGAAAAGGGGGGTTCATTCCCACCATTCCCCCGATCACCACTATACACGTAGTAATCGGTATTGCTAGACACAGTGTATAGCTTTTGTTCCAAAGCCTGAAAACTCCAGATCAAATTGCGCAAATTGGAAGCTGACTCCTGGAGTTGTGGTAACATATTCCCCATACTCGCGATAATTTCCTGTTTCCTCCACAATTGACAGGGTGCATAAGTATCAGTTAACAGAGAAGATAGGATGCGGTGCCTGTCGTTCCGATATGTCTCTCTGGGTGCTCGAAGTATGTAGCTGGGATGAAAACCTTGAATGACGTTAATTGTACGACCATAGAGTTGTACAGTTTTAATTGCGCGGTTTTTGGCATTTAAAACACTTGAAGAGAGGCCCCGAACAAGAGGATGGTATACGAGGGGTCCAAGCCACTCAGGCGCCTTCTGTGTAAGACACTGGCAAGAAATGACTGTTTCCAGCTGATAAGTCTTGAAAAGCTCGATCGTTAAGTCCAAAGACTCTCGTAAAGCTTTTTCCTGGTCTGCTGGCCCCAAAGACCTCAACCAATTCTCTGTAATGAATGGGAATAGGTTGATGGTGCGTACGTTCTTGATACTGAGTCCGAGCGGCCTCAGTATGCTGTTGAGCCACTGGAAAGTTGGTGAACTAGCGACCAGCATGTCGAAGGGTAGCTCCTCGTTTTCGGGGGGGTTTTGAAGAACCAACGCTGGGAGACATATGTATCCTTCCAGCCTCTTGATATAATTATCGAGGTATTCACTTGGACGGTTCCATCGTTCAAGATATGCTTGACAATTCTTGACAAAGTCGCAGCCGGAGCGTAAAGTGAATTTCTTAGAATGCATATTACCATTCAAAGAATGGATCCATTCTTCCCGGATGAAAGTTTTCAAATTTATATTCTGAGAAGATACTGAAGAGATTGCCTCTGAGAGCTCCGATAGATCCTCGAGTCCGGGCATTTCGGAAAGTGTAACTTTGCAGGTATGTATTGAATGTGGCTGAAATTGATGAAAGAAGCATCCCGTAACTCATCCAACGTGGCACGGTATTTATACTTTCGTTCATCGTTCGCTGATCTATGCATTTCCGCAAACGTTGGAGATATTGTCGAGATCGATAGTTGTTCGGGGTGAAAATCATGAATCCAGTCAAAACAATGTACGGTGCAAGCCGCAACAAGTATTCAGTTGGCAGTTGGAGTCTCGATGCGGATATAAGTCAATTGAGCCTATGTGCTGTGGATAGCTGCTTTGAGCCTACCGCTAGCCAAGCCTAGAAATCCCATACCGGTACTGGTACGGAGCTGCACGCGGAATATCACGTGATGCTCCACATTTACCAGTAGGCTTTTCAGGGTGGAGGGAGATCCTCCCGAAGATCCATACAACGTTAATCATCCTTCGCAACTGACAACTAGATACCAATCCAACATTTGTCTGACCCGATTTTGCGACTTACGTACACATGGTATTGAAATCCTTGGTGGGGGGTAGGTTTCGAATGTCTAATTACAGTCCATGGTGAACTCCAATGACAAATCAGTGTCAATTTGCTATGATTAATTTAAATACGTGTAATAAATAAGTAATCTAAGATAGAGAAGTTCATTGTAAATGAGGCCTGTGCCCCCATCGAAACGATATGCACCCTCCAGATTTGTTGCTCAGTAATAACTGTGCAATCATGAGCAGGGAGAGAAGATGATGCTGCCATTGGCACCCACTTGTCCTTTCTTCGGAAGGCATTGACGCTTTTTGGCTTGGCGGTCAACCGTTGTTAAGTGGCCTGCTAAGCCCATGCTATGCAATTAAAGCCCAATTGACGTCTTCTGCTGCAAGCATGCCAAGGTACCATAAAGCTAACAGTACGGATAGCTGCCCTATGCCTCCACTTGTCCATGGAATTGCCATAGAGACCGCCAGACGGCCTTCTCCATCTAGACGCTTGATTGCGACAAACTCAGTGTTCGTGAGAATATACCCGTGCCGGGCGTTGTGCTGATCCATGTAGAAATTAACCTGAGCCAAAACCTGTTTATACTCTCGCTGGTCTATCGCGGCTCGAGAGGACTGCATTGAAGACTGCCATTTCCAAGACACCTTCAAGTCCCCTGGAGCTCGATTAGGGCTCGAGGCGGCATTTCCCCCAATTACTATGAATGCGGTATCGGGCCGGAACTGGTCAATCAGATCGGCTGAACTTCCTCCATCGAAAGTAACTGGTGAAAGTCGTCGTACTAGAAGTTCAGGGGCAAGTTGCTCGAAACCAGCGCGAAGTCCGCGTCTAACACGAGGCAAAAGTAGCTCTGCAAAACGAAGATGGAAGTGGGGTTCATCTTTTATCGCAGCAGGAGGAGATGTGAAGGGGTCTGGTCGAATTAATTTTGAGTTTAATATGGTTCCATATCGTTGGATAATCGTCAAGTAATTGAAGTCCGGCCAAGGAAGTATGCTAGTGATGTCATCCGCACCATATCGAGGATTTGTTGTATTGCGAGATGGAGCAGTACCACCCACAGGAATCGCTGGTAAAGCGATGGAAAGAAACTGCAGTAGAGTTTGGCTCATTTTTTGGTTTTCATAGGATATACCAAGAGCAATCCGAACTTCCAGCAAGCAAATGCCGTGGTTGCGCAAGAGGGTACGCGCACTTCAGGGCCTATTTGGGCTCCGCTGATCCAGATTAGCCATGGAATCATGTGATTAGGCACCAAAAAAGACAACCAGGCGGCCCCGCCTAGTGGAGTCACCTTTTTAGGCTAGTGGTAATGCTTATGGGATAGTTAGTTATCCACGTGACCTATTCATCATTATGTAATCGCCATGACGGCATTGCTCGAGCGAAAACCAAGCCAACAGTAAATAAACCTTGGCTCAACACAAACTCATATCACAATGCACCTAAGAAAGCATCGCTTCTTCGACTTTGATCCATCCAATATACAAATTATCAGGGAGCTTGGGCGCTCTGATGCCTCTTCAATATTTGAGGTAGAGCTTAATGGGGAGAAGTACGCGATGAAACTCGTAAGTCTGGGATGCCACTTCCGTGATTCTTGCTCACATTCCAGTTTCACGACAACGGCGACCCTGGATATACGAAAAAGGGCCGAGATCTGAATCGGTTTCGCTGTGAGTTGAATGCGTACAATAACCTTGAAAAATTCGGTGTCTGTGAGCTCGGTTTCGTTCCATACTTCTATGGCCACATCGACCGAGTCGACCCAGTCGCGTTTCAGCCAGCTCTCCGCCATTTCGCACACGACAAGTTCAAACCCAGGGCTATAATACTCGAGTATCTTCCAAATGCAGAGAAACTGGATTGCGAGAACTATTCGGATGCCCGCTACCGCAATGCAATACATGGTATGAAACAAATACACAAGGCTCTCGTTCACCACCAAGATATATACCCCAAAAATGTGCTTGTGGTCCCGGGACAGCCAGAGAGAGTGGTTTGGGTCGATTTTGATGTTGCAACAACCTTTTCCAGCATGGGAAACCGTGAGCAGGCCTACTGTGAATATGAGGATGAGCTTGTATCGAGTTTTGGAGAAGCTCTGGTTCGTTCGCTTAATTTTATCTTGGCCAGCGGGTACTGACATTTCTACGTTCAGAGAGAGGACCAAAGGCAGGGGCTTCCCCGAAATACGAAGTACTATTGAACCCTCTAACCACGCTGTAAAAGTTCTTTCAGCCAAAATGATACGTTTCAGTGACATAATAAAGTTCACAGCATCGCTTTCCATCACGAGATATAGCTATGCAGATGAAGGCCGTCAAGACTGTCATTCAACCCACCGAATAGGGATGGAAAGGAGAAGCCAGAACACTTGTGGCGGTTTGAGGAACCATATTCCGAATAATATGAGTTCGGACGTGCCCACTGCGGCGATTCAAATTCCAAAACTTTCTGTACAAGTTGTTTATAATTGATACCTGGAAATGGAGCTGTCGGCCTGGGTGAAAGCAGATCATTTGACTGCATCTTCTTTGCGAGAGCCCCGTACAAGATTGAGCTGCACTCATAGCCACATCCTCGAACGCCATTTAAGAGATCTTTGTGTATCTGGTGAAGCCGATAGATCAAGTTATCGATAGCCTCCTCTCTGCACTTATTTATCGCTCCTGCAATTCAATCAGAGACAAACCAGTTTTAGAGACCATATACCCTTACTTATGACTTGATCAGGGATTGGGAGTCCCAAGCCGCTGATCCAACCATTACTCCGTGACATAGCAATCGATGTTGCGTACTCGAACTGAGTAGAGAGCTGGAAAACCCAGGAAATCCACAACCACAGAATTAACTCTCGAGAATATGTTTTTGGAATCTCTCCCTCCAGAGCGTCGATCCATGTAGTTGCCCAAATATATACAGCCTCCTTGCATTCATAGTAGTCAGCTATGACAGCAACTTTAGCGAGCATCTCAAGTGTTAGCTTTCGCGGTATATGGTATTGTTGTCCATGGATGGCGCGAAGGAGAATTAAGACTGCCTCAATATCCCAACTCTCCGCAGTAATCTCGACCGAGCTCGGCGCTAGACATGCGACGCTTTCTTTCCAACCACCGGTGAGCATTTTTCTGAAAACCGGGGACGCGAGTTTTAAGTGCTTTGCAGATACTTGGATCCTGAAGCGACTCCTGTCCGGTGAGTCAACAGGCTGTTCGATTGGTCCTTCTTCAGGAACATGCTCTTCGGCAGGAACATTCTCCTCAGCAGGAACAGGTTCATCGGCAGGAATAGGTTCATCAGCAGGAGTAGGTTCATCAACAGGAACAGGTTCATCCACAGGAACGGGTTCATCAACAGGAACAGGCTCTTCTATTGGCGTGGGAATTCGGTCTAATTCAGCCCAAGCATTTTTATGTCCCTTTTTCTTCTTCTTTTTCTCCCGGCGGTTCGGCTTCGGCGTCTCCGTATAGTCTTCGAGACGCTTTATGTCTTCGCTCAGTTCTGAAACAGTATTATACAACCCATGGGCAATCATATCCTCGCTCCCTTCCGCGAATGCAGTATCCACATTCAGCAACACTATTATCACTTCGCCGTCTGGATCGATAACGTGAGTTGGCGGATCCATGGTGCTGTTTCTGGCACTAGGAGTCTTTCTAAGCGAGAGAATAGAAGCCTTGAATGTGAAATGCCAGGATATGAATATCGGTCGGGCCTGTTATTTAAGTTTCGATTTCCTTATCCATACAGTGCGGACGTGGCAGTCGCTGATTAGCGTCATATTGACAGCACTCGCATAACTACGTGGTCATTAATTCATCTGCACCGAAACTCAGGTCGTGTATGACATTGACTGGCTCGGCAACTTGTGTTGGACCATTACTAGGATGCCGCATGAACAAGGGTAAGATACCACCCATACACACCCACCCCATCAAAGACCAAAATGGGGTTGTTGCGGGTTGGCATGAGTACTGCATGTCGACGTGGCCAGCACACATAGGTTATTGCTGAGCTATGTGACCAGGTATGCCCAATCAGAGGCCTCCGATCTAGGCGCTTGTACGCCATTAAAATCAGGCACTAACCCGCTCCATACATCATATTTTCCATGTTATTTCCGACGGTCGTCGCGAAACAAACGCGGCTCCTTATGCGTTTGGTATGGGCTGCACAAGGTTCATGTTGAGGACCGGCCTAAAAATCTCGCGTTCGGGTACTTGAAGTACAGGCATTATCCGATGTCTGATAGAGCAGTTATTTGCGAGGAAGTGGAAGGTTGATCCATTGGCGAGTCCGAGCTTAACGGGGCATTGTTTTCGGCCGTTATACTGTATTTTCTGATTTTGAACTTTCTTTGATTTCTATTCCCGTGGAGTAAAAAAAAAAATCCAAAGCGTTGCTCACTCAACTGGCATAATTGGAGTATAGAAGTGACGAATAGGAAAAGTAAAGGCAATAGTAGATATGCAGGGCTTCATAAAAAAATCAAAAGAGCGACTCATAATTGTTTGACCACTCGCGAATATCTTCAACGAAACGACGCGCCACTCCCTCCATCACACCGCGTTCAGTGAAGAAGCTTGGGTTTTGATCTTTGTCTATTTGCATAAGATCAAAGCCATTTGCTAATGCCATCTTGCAAGCATTATCGACATGGGCTTTCATCTCCTAAGAAGCCACCCTTGATTTATGCCAAGTAGCATACTCTTCCACTGCTACATCTAGTGGGAGATCCGGAATGACTATAGGGTCACGAGGGCCGGAACTTGAATACGGCAATAGGGGTGGTGTAGCAGCCGGGGTAGCCATCGTAGAAACCTGTGGTGATTGTCCCGGTAGGAAATTGATATGAATAGGCGGGCAAGGTGAGTCAGTGGATGAGTTTCTATTGGTATTTTGTCGTCCTAGAGATTGTTCGTCTTCTGCATAGAGTTGTCGCCGGATATCATCTGGAACATCACCATGAGTTTCGAGACGAAGGCGTTTTTTCTGCACCATATCAACGAGGCGTTTTAGGTGATGTGTCTTTAGTCTATAATGTTTTTTGCCATGAGGGTCCTGCCAGCAATACCCCTCTGCGTTCTTGCACGGTGGTCCAGAGCAACGCATTTTGTTATATACATCCCGCCAAGGTGAATAATGACCAGAATCCTGTTCAGCATCGATTTGAGCATCGCGTTCGGTAAGCATGGCGTTTGTAACTGATCGTGTGTTCCGCTTTTCACCATTCCTTGATGATGCTGATTCGTTGTCATCTGCTAAGTAATTAACACAAACGTCAAGTTTGAGTCTTTTGCCTTTCCGAAAAAGTTCGCTCCAACTCAGGATATGCCTCTCGATATTTGTCCAGTCAATATCTGTACCTTCAAATTCTTGGTGAAGCTTTGGTGAACGATCATTCAGCACAGAGGCTATTATCGTAGTGTAATCTAACCGAACCCGTCGGTTAGTGAATGCCCTTCGGCGTTTTACGTCCTCAACCTTCTTCTTTAGAACTTTTTGCCAGTATACGCTAGGCGCGAGGACTAGATCCGGTTCTGTAACTCTGGTGACTGGACGGTTACTGTTATTCAGAGTAACCTTCCAATCAATCAGGTAATGAATATAGATTGGTGGTTGTTCGTTGTATATCGTTTCCTTATCCCACAAAGCAAAAGGGACGAAGCATAATTGAACTGATTGTGGTTCATGTGGAGAACATGTTCGTTCAACATATGTGTGGCGACAAGGACTACGCATGCGCGGAGTGGACGTTTGGCTGACATTACCAGGGGTGCATACAAAACGTTGCTATCCCATGAATCATGGAGCTGAGGTGATTCGTTTTCGGCATAGCCGGGAGTGTAACTCATAGTCTCGGTACGAAAAGTGCTGCTGATAAACCTAATATTAGCGTTCCCGTATGTTAGCTGTAACCATCGACTAGTTGCATGAAGGCTGCAGCTAACAGGCCAAGAAGAATTACTAGTAGCTGCATGAATGATGCACTTCTCTCCACCAGTACTCCGTACTCGAGAGTACTAGCTGGCTTGCGTATAGAGAGATCTTGCCTAAAAGGCCAGTATGATGTTGTATTGAGAACATAGCATGCTTCCAACCTGCCCGATTGCTGGTAGGAGGCACGCCTAGACAGACACGTGTTCAGATATGGAGTGGAATCTTCTAGAATTGGTACACTGTTTACCTGTATTATAAAATAAAACATGTTACAATACTGTCATGCGTAACTTTCAGATTAACGTTATTACTGAGCTAAACCGTATATAGACTAGCGTGTCTCCGGTCCCGTCTATAATGCAGAGTGATGTTAATTTGATTGTCAAGCTGGTTATGCAACTTACTGTAACTTCCAATAGACATTCTCTTGTGAATAGAAGCATCACCCAGACTGACGCAGATGTCACGTTCCGAACGATAGATCTGAATCTCCCTAGGAAGCATCATTTGAGCCTGGTCAATGGTGTCACTGAAACTTTCATCGTCCAGCTGCTTTAGGGTCGTCAGGTGGTTTGCTAGGGAAATAGCGAGCTTGGGCATAGTCAGTGGGCGTAAAATATGGAATGAGGAGTGATTATGTACCTCATATGAATCCATTGCTCTCTGTGTACATCTGTCCAACACCAAGATCTTCATTGACCAAGGTCTTTGCAAGTTATATACTACCTAGCTTTCCCAATTTGGGTCTCCTGAACGGGGACAGTTATTTGTGGACCTAGCAATTGGTGTGAACCGAGGTGCACCCGTTCCGGTCCCGACGCATTGCCACTGTGTTTTATCTTGAATATATAGTCTATGGTGAGTTCCGTTTCTTGTTTTATTCTCTCGCGAACAATTCTTTCGATCCATGAACTCGATCGCATTGTTTACAACTACCAAGCCTCAAGTCAGAATGCAATCAGGAATCAACATGAGAAGCCTTTACATCATGGCTCTAATGAGCTGTGTGATACTCTTTTCTATGGTGGAATGGGTACATTGGCTTTTTCAAGGTAAGGTCTAGTTACAGATGCTCCTGCTGTTCTCACTCTCACCCATCAAGTAGCTCAGTGACGCGATCCCACGTACCGGCTCATTCATCGACACTCTTTTCTCCTCGGAAACAATCGACGTGTCAATTTATACGACTCTCACGGCGTTCGGACTTTATTGGTGGTGGTTGGCATTATTTGTGATTATAGCGTTGTGGGTAGGGGAACCAATCGGGTCGTGACAAAGGCATTACTTGTTCCAGCCAATTGGCGTCCCATGGTTCTCGATGGCACTAGACCCTCTAGTAAATTAGAAAAGTTGAAGCTATCTCCATCACGGATAAAATAAATTTCAAGAAAGAGCATTGTATAACACTAAGGCCTATAAGTGTACTTCCTTAGATAGGAAAGCACTCTGAAATGTGAGAAGCCTAATACCCACAAGATCTCTCATTTTACAGCCAATATTGCCTAAAATGACAGTACCTGGGCACCGTATTCTGTATCCTGATGGTTGACCAAAGAAATTCGCTGGAGCTCAGCCCCTCCCGTCAAGTTAATGTCCCATGCATTCATTTACTCCTCTAAGGGAATCCTCTTTGGTCGATGTGTAACGTTGGCTAGTCGGCGAAGCGGTGAGCTACGGAGACTACACAATATGCGTGGCAGTTCTATTCACTTGATGAGCATCACTGCAAGAAATGTAATCGTACCAAATGCAAGGTAAATACAGGCCAACATAAACAATTCCTCCTGCCTAAGATTGCCAACTTGTCATCATAGCGTTTGCACATATTTGATTGAACCACAAACACCATAATCGTCAAGATCAGAAGAGGCACAACCAGACATGTGGAAGCCAGGGTCCTTCCTTGACACGGACTTTCCGGACACCCCCAAAACAGCATTTGCAGAAAGAAGGTTCATAAAACGGCTTTCTTCAAGTAGTATCACCGTAAGAACTACGTATTTCTCGCATAAAATATTGAATAAAAACGGAACCTAACGGGATGCAATCTCGAACTTCTCTTCAACCCATGACTCATCCGTCAATACACACGTAACATTTCGAAGCTGTCTCATCTGAAATCGCAAGCGTAGCGTAAGTAGTTCGTTTGCACGGATTTGTGCTGCGTACTGGGACTCAGCTACTGTCATTCCTTCCTGAAGTGCGCGGTATTTTCTCTGCAATCCATTCAGATGGTGCTCCAGTCTCTGTCTCTCAGTTTGCTCTTTTATCGATTGTTGACGTAGGAAAGCGAGCTCCCCTTCAGCCTTGCTTGAACGCGATAGCAGACGAGAGATATTCCCATGAGAATGGTTGGTCTCTTCCGAGGAAGCCGGGTCCTCTGTGTCCTTTCGAAGGTATTAGTCTTAGGCTTTACCACATGGAGGTATACTTACGACCATAATGACGAGATGGTAGGTGATAATCCGCTTTGGCTAGGTCTACTTGGAGGCTACAACTAAATCTTTATGGGGAGCTCAAGTAGCGGTCGCTTTATTATCGGGAGGCGCATGTGACTGAGCTGGTCTGAATCGATTGTGATATGGACGTCGTGAATCAAGCTTGAGCGAACCGCTTTGAACCAACCGTGACTAGTCGTTTCCAAGCCAGTATGCGCTTCGAGGCTTTACTTCAGCTATGACTAGACCGGTTTGGATCAATGGAGATGAAATCGATCCGGGTCGGTGTACCGTCCTATACTGAATGAGACTGATTCAATTTGGATGTTGCTAGACCGGACCATTTTCGGTTTCGGTCAACGCAATCAAATTGTTTTGGATCACTGAACCGGTTTTGACTAATTATGGACTGTGCACCGTTCCGAGTCAGTGACGGATTTGAATCGTTCAAATTGGATGTAACATGACCAAGCTCATTTGAGGAAAGGTACCATAGGTTACGGAACGGTCCGCGTGAAATATAACCCAATCCTAATGTCAACGGACCCTTGCTATAAATCCCGCGGTCCAATCAGATCACAATTGGCAGTAGACCCCTTAGTGAGGTTTCTCGTGCATCTGTTACCAGAATATCTAAATAGTGTAGAGTCTTCCCACTCACTCCTGAGTCTAATTGCAAACCACTTTCAAACAAGATGGCGAACGAATTAGATGACTGGCTTAATGCGTATAATTTTGACAACGATTATATGCCAGTGGGTGTAACGAACGAACCCAGTGCCAACCTTCAAAACCAAGTACATCAAACATCAACAGGTGCGCCATGGGTTGGAAACGCACCGGCCCCGGTGGCAGGGATGTATCCCAATGGAAGTCAGGAGGAAGAACCATTTGATGAAACTGAGACGGAGAGCAGCCTGCTGGAGGAGCGTGTCCGATCTCTCGAAGAAAGCTTGAGGTAAGCCGAGCATCTTTCATATACGAACTGACCAGCTCACTATCATCAGCAAATATCGGAAAGCCACTGTTCGAATGAGCGAGAAAGTTAAGGAGTTGCCATCCGAGGGCACGTTGAAAAATCTACAAGTCAAACAGGGCGAAATTTCCAAGAATATCAAGGACCTACAGTCCAAAATTACCGAGATCTACGCCAGAGATTTGCAACATACGCAGCTATCTGGAAAGGTTGATAATCTGCAGGCTTGGGCTATCGACATGAAGGGTACTCTGGACAAGGCCGTCAATGCAATGAAGTCTATGCGGGCCGAGAACGAAAACACCACTGCGTCACATCGCCAAAGGAACAACCAGCGAATTCGTCGGAGTAGGGTAGTGTGAAAATTTGATTCCCGTAACTGTTGATGATTTCCTATGTATACGTGTTCTGACACCGGTTTGGAGACTGTACGTAGACATAGTTGATTACATGAATGCTAGCTTAATTTCATTCAGTTTTCATTTGTAAAGTTTCGATATGGGAAATCCCTATTTTAATCCTAGTGCTAGTGCAGAGACGGCATACGAACTTGGGTCTAAATTAAGACCAGCCATATAAAGGAATTGGTCCCAACGTCGAATATCATGTCAATCAATACGCAACGAACAAAATGCGCCGCATTCGAAGCGGTCGCTGGTTGGACGTTGCCACCATCGGCGCAAGTGGATATGCCGTTCTAGAGAGCGCTTGTCTCAAATACCTAGTGGAAGGGTTGCCAAATCCAAACAAGCAATACCCTCAATTATGGGCCTTTCTGGGCTCTGCACAGAAGAAAGAACACCTGCGCGATCTATTCCCAGGCAGCGCTTTGACGCGAGCGGATTCAGGTACCATTCGACTACGAAGCGACGAAGCTACTGCAGCCAGTGACACACCAATTCTCTTCGCCGATGGTGATCCATGGAACGCTTCCGTTTTACCTGGCTCAACTCTCAGCAGGGGAGACCGGCGTTACGATTTTGAATACCATGTAGGCGGTCCCACAGATGTCATTCACGGCTTGTATTCGAGGGTACTATTCTTATTCGCCGATGTCGTTTGTATTTTTGCCGAGGATGTCCCGAGGGGCACAGATCTCACAGCGCTCACAAAGCATTGTTCAGCTGATGGCCTGCCACTTTGTGCTCGTCCCCACCTAATTATTGTTACATGTGGATCTTGCCCTACGTGGTGCGCTACAGGTGGTTCCGCACTGCGTTCCGAAGCGTTCTCCGCTGTCACTATTTTGCCGAGCGAAAGCACTCAGGGCAATCTCAAGGAACTGTTAGCGAACCGCTCGCGAGAGGTACGTCAGCTGCGTATGCAGGTCATTGGACAACTATCTGGGGTGCAGCTGCAGGGTTTTCTCCGATCAGCGATAGCGTGCTTGGCGACGACCCACAATTATACGTACAACTTTGTTCGTGCGTCTCGCACACAGGGCATACCAGTAGACATTGGAGATAGCATTAGTGATTTTTATCGAAGGTGTATGGACGTAAAGCTTCCTGATTTGGATGCTGCTCGCTTCATCGCCTCTGCTCTGATGATGGATCACTACTCACCGGAGATGCCGTGTGAGTTTTTTTTCTTTGTTCTCTCCTACCGCACAAACTCACTTTTGAGACTAGTGATGGATCCAAGGCTAGTGTTCCAGACTTTATATCGCCCTACGATACTTGCCACGGATCCTTTCCCACCGCATACTCTAGTCGACATGATTGAGTCTGAAATGGCCGCTGAGCTTCCTCGTCTTGGTACTTCTACTTCGCTGGACCGACGGAAAAAATTGATGACGGCCCAAAAGGGTCTATACTCGGCATTAAAGTCCAACCGCATATGTCTCTATTGTCTGGTCCAGGTGGCACAGCATTTCCCGCCATGTGATCATGCGCTGTGTGATCTTTGCGCCCAGAGATTTGGAAGCGTCTCGGTCAACACGGAATACCAGTTTACGCTGGACCAATGTTACTTCTGTTGCGATAGCACTTCGATGATTATCGACGTCCTGCCTCCCACCATGGACCCCAGTATACTGGCCATTGACGGAGGGGGTGTTCGGGGGATGATGCCTATTCAATGGCTGATTCTCATCCAGGAATATCTGGATGAATGTCCCCTTCAAGACGTGTTCGATTTGGACGTGAGCACTAGCTCCGGTGGTTTAACGGATTTCGGCCTCCGAGTTTTGAAATTGCCCATTCAAAAGTGTGCAGTGATCTTCAATCGCCTCGCCCGATGTTTGTTTGAAAAGCGCCGGCGTCCCGCTTTTCCATGGTTACCTTCATTTATTCTGGGCCGCCCTCGCCAATGGTACTCCTGGTGGCGACATGATAGCTGCTATGACGGTTTAGTCTTCGATGATATCCTACAACAACTATATGGCAAGCAAACTCTACTTCATAGCCACTGCTGTGATTCATCCGGATCCATTAAGTCTGGACCAAAGTTTGGAGTAGTGGCAACAAGCATCGGAACAAAAACGGAGACGGTGATGCTGGGAAATTTCAATGCTGCTACTGGCACATCTGAGGACTGCGGTATGTCTGTTTTCTGCCACGCTTCCCCTCGCTAATGGTTCAGGCTATCGACTCATTCGACCTAAGAATATTAACCATGAGCTTGAAGTATGGAAAGCGTGAGTTCTCCGTCTCTGACGACGTAATGAAATCATGCTGAGGCCGGATATAGGGGTCGCGCAACTGCCGCGGTGCCTGGGTAAGCCCTCCGTGAGAAAGTAGAAACTAGGCTCATATCGTTTAGCATGTTTTCTCCAGTCGACACCCCAGCGGGTACTTTCCAAGATGGAGGTTTGACGGACAATTTTGCTGGAGGGATCGCTCGTCGCGCAAGTCGAACCATCTGGCCAAACTGTCGCGAGCCGGCAAGGTTGCTTTCTTTAGGTACAGGTAGTCGTCCACTGTCGGCCAATGACGGCTTCCCTCACTTCCGAAATTCGATTGTCGACGGATTTTTCCGTCGCGCTCTCAACGCCTGGATGTCGTCTTTGGATGGGGAAACCAAATGGCGCGAGATGAAGAGCCAACTGGACGAGTCAATCGCCGGAAATTTTCGCCGTCTAAATGTGCCTTTGGAAGAAACGTCGTCCGCATTGGATGATCCTGCGATGATGGACCATTATCGGGACCTGGTCATACGCCACCCTGGAAGCGCACGTATGGCAAAGGAAGCTACTGTGGATTTGATTACGGCGCGTTTCTTTTTCGAACTCGACTCGGTCCCCCAACTCCACTATGTTCCGTTCTGGTGTCATGGAGCGATTCGGTGCAAGGGACAAGTCGGTCCACTTCTGGCGGCGCTGCAGCAGCTAGTCCCGGATCCACTTGAGTTCGTAAGTGATGCTCACCGTCTTGGACCGGTCCGTGTTGGGAGGGACATCTGCCCGTCTTGTAACCGCTTCTGTTGGCCGGTTTCGTTGCGCTGTCACGATCCCACCCAGTGTATTCAAGTCTACATCAAATCTGGTCGTTACGGTAAATGGAGGATTAACTCATTTCCATCCACCCCTATCAAGTTGATCAAAAGACAACAACTGGATTCCCCTTTTGGAAAAGCTGATCATGGCCGCCCCGTCCGAAGTCCCTGTCCTGCATGTGATGCCAGTCGGTTGCCCTTTCGAGGTAGGCGCCGGAGACGTAACTCCAATCTCACTGCGGAACAAAGACGAAAGAGGGTTTGTGTGCGCTAAGTTCAGATGATATATTTCGTCTTGATTCCCTGTTTCCTCCATTATCTGTTCCTTAAAACAATCGGTTCATTTTCATTCATACGATGGTCCTTCACATCCACGATCGCCGAGTCCGCACCAAGTACGAAAAGAGAAAACGAACCCTGCTGAAAAAAGCTATGGGAGTTCTTCACTTTCTGCCATGTAGATTTTCACATCTTCATGGTGAATGGTACAGAGGTCACTGTCATCACTGTAGGCAACTATGGGCTAACTACAGAAGGATTGATTGTATGGCTCCAGTTTGACCATGGTCCCTAACAATACTAACATTGCCATAGGGAAATGGATTCACTGTTGAAAGACTCAACGTAGAGGATCTCGAGCGGACTTACGGCCGGACTACTGCCGCATCTCGCGGAAATCACATCAGCTCCGAACTCGACGTGGAAGACTCCGCGGATGATCTGAATACGAAATATTCAACAGATGGAACTGATCTGGAGGATCTCACGGAAGAGAACAACATCTGGGATATTGTCGTCCCTGAACCACCTACCTAAACTCAGGTACATTTTACTTAAGAAGGATCCGTCGTCACTTTGAATTTGAAAAATGGACTTTTTGCTGGAATTCTCTGTTCGTTTGTGTGTATTTAATTTTAAGAATGACACCTCTAGGTGGCGTTGACATCAGCCAAGTATATTCATTGACTGTTGGGTGCATTGCCATCTTCCTACTTACATTTCGCCTATCTCACACCGTCTTCAATTATCTGTACCCCAGGTTGGGCATTTATTGCATCATCTCAGTCTTCCACGGCCACGCAGCCGTCTCTCAGTCGTGCTTCCCAGGAACTGGTCTCGTATCGCTCTTGTGGCGATATACCTCGGTGGCACTGTAGCAAGTAACGTGGTTCATGTTTCAACCCTCAAGGATGCCAGTTCCCGGGCAGCTAAGCTCTGTATTGCAAATGTCATTCCTCTGATGGTGTGCAGTCATGAGGTCGGAGCTCATCTCTTTGGGATGTCTCTTGACTTGTTTCATGGCGTTCACCGATTGTTGGAATCATGGCCTTTCTTCAAGGCCTTGCCCACGGGGCGTATGAGGTAGCCTCGTCTCCGGTACAATTTCGTGACAGCACAGTCGTGTATGGGCTTTCTGTATGTTCTCGATCCCATTCTACAATGCTTTACGAAACTCATAAAATACAGGCATCAATTATCTTCGCGTCGCTCATGTTGTCATCTATCTTCAAGGCACGTGTCTACGAGCTTTTTACACATTCACATCGTGTCTGTGCCTTAGGTCTAATATTCGCAACTTGGAGGCACATTTACAACAAGTCAGCACTATCTATATGGTGCATCGCCGCTGCCGCTGCTGTATATGCCGCTACTTTCTTGATTCAGGTCTTACGGATAGCAGTCCGCAATCTAGCATTTTCCAGAGGTGCAGAATGTTTGATCAATTACCAGGGGAATAATTTAGAGGTCATTGTGTTTCCAGCTCGCCCATGGACGGTGCGAGCTGGAGAGAGAGTCAATCTCAGTATCCCTAGTGCAGGGCTGATGTCTGCCTTTAAAATGCACCCTTTTGTGATTACGCGGTGGGATAACAATGAGTTGGGGGAAATGGAATCATTCACGCTGCTCGTGAAACCGTGTTCAGGATTCACCAACAAGCTGAAGATGTTATCTAGCACTCGTCATAGGGCCTGGATTGACGGTCCATACGGGCCGGACCGAGGAATGCGCACACCTATATCTGACTATGGTCATATCTTCATGGTTGCAACAGGAATTGGTATTGGGGCTCAAACCCCTTACATCAAACAGCTCTTAGAGGGCTATCGGCGCGGAGTTGTACGGACTCAAAAAATATTTTTAATATGGCAGATGGACTTCGAAGGTTAGTCCGAGAACTACAAGTTGCTCGGTATGTGGCGGATTACGATGATGTACAGGATTGGCTACAAGAGCTCGTCTCGCAGGACAGCGGATATGTGAGTCACCTTAGCTAAGCTCGTGCGGCAATTTGCTGATAGCATATGAGCATTTTCGAGTACGCATATTCGATCCTTCTCTACGGTCGTCTCAAGATTCACATGACGTTGGTCAGCACGAGTTGATCAAAATTTGGGGTGGAAATGTTGATTGGCGAGAGGAACCGAGAGAGGAAGTGCAAAAGCAGGTGGGCAATATGTTGATTACAGGTACAGCCGAGTTCCCATCCAAGTAATGAATAGCTGACATTATGTAGTGTCTGCGAAATCGGGGGTGATGTTTTCCGTAGACTGGCTCGAAAACATCGATCGGTGGACTTGTTGGAGTTGGAGTTCCAGCCGTGGGAGTGGAAGCGTAGCTTTTGGTCGTATTTTTAGTATTCTACTGATCTAGAAGGGAACCCTATGAAACGGATCATCTGAGGTAGAAATGATGGATTGGCGATTTCATTACTGAAAAGCGGATCAAAATCACGGCGTTCTTTGCTGCTCTATAGCATATACTTGAAATCAATAGCCCCAGATCTCGCTCCTAACCAGATACACAACATGTTGTATACCTAGTAGACGAACATGACCAACCAGCATCGAATGAAAACTTGGCATACGCAATGGGGTATCACCGTAATAGACCGCAAACATGTATCTGTGGCGGGTCGTGATTGCCTATCGAAGTTGCTGAGGTTGGGATGATCGGAGGTAATAAAGAAATGGCCGGGGTCGTCACTCCTGGCAGATCGCTGATTAAGATCAGTAGCAAGTCGAGATTTCACAGACGCGCATCGACTTGAAATGGGGCACCGAAGAGAAGCTCAATTTGTACTCGATAGAAGATGCGTCACCACCATCTTTACGGTCGTCTTTTCTTGTGGCACTCTTGAAGTGACATGCATAATCTGCGATTGGTAATGGACAGATCTCGGTTCTTTCGTTCCAAGGCACTAATTCGGAGAGCGATTTTCCGTAGGGTTTGCCCAGACGGAACAGCAGCGGACTGTTCAGATTCAATGGCGTTCAACTCTATCCGCTCGAATAGGACTGACAAGCTAATGTGAGCAGACATGAGGGTGATAGTTCAAGGTATAGACGTCCAAGAACAGAGCGTGTTTTTAAAGATTCATCGTAATCGACCATTGTGGTACGGGTTCCCATCTCGTTACGGTTCCCGTTTGGTGCCGGGTATTTGGGAAACCAGAAACGAAATGCTTTCGGTATATATTGTCGTCCGCTCTTAATTGTGAGACTTTGATAACTACTTTCAAACATGGCGCCAATCCTACACTTGCACGCCGCCCCGCTGAGAGCAGAAACCCAGATTGTCGTTCAGACCCGGTACATGATTATGCTCGAAGAATGTGATCGAAGAATCCCGCTCAGTCACAAGACTCTAGCAGCGGTCGCACAATGGATGCTTTTAGCAGGATACTTAGTTATTCCCGGCACGTTCACTTCACTTCAACGATCCAACTTGCTGACCGGGGCGTCGGCCAGAATCGTTCACATAGTGAGAAACCCTCCACTGGTAGCGATTGCCTGCATCTTTTTTGCTTTTGGGACAGCTGTATTGCTCTGGCTCGCGTGGAGATGGCGGTTCAACTACATTTGGCTCTCTCAATTGTTCCGGTCGGTAGCCTATGCCGTTTTGAAAACCACAGCGGTCCATATCCAGATAAAAGAGTTGTGCTTCATGAATGAATTCCAAGACCGATCAAATATAAAACAGGGCAACACCATGACATCTCCTACGGTTAACAACATGCATGATGGCTCAAGACAAGGGCCCAACTATCCTCATTGTGATGTGGACGACCACTTCAATTGCAACACTATTCGTCGCTGCAAGGTTGTTCACACGAATCAGAATCTTAAGGAATATTGGCCTCGATGATTACTTAATTGCATCGTCCATGGTAAGGATCCCAATTTTCGTCATTCAGTTGTGAACTAACACCATTAGGTGATTGGCCTTCTATTTGTCAGTCTTGCAACAGCCGCTGTCACAGCAGGTGATGGCAAGCATGTTTCTGCGCTGTCACGTTACCGTTTCGAAAGAGCAGCGATGTTAAACACGGCGGCGTATGCTCCGGGTATCGTATCCTTTGTTCTGCCCAAGTTAGGGGTTGTGGCCCTTTTGTGTCGGATTTTTAACCCGACTCGGTGCTGGAGAATCTTCCTATGGGCTTTCGTGGGTGGAAGTGGGTTGGTTATTTGTGGATGCATTATCATACTTTATGCTCAATGCAGCCCAATGAGAGCCATGTGGACTTCCGGCCTAGGAAATTGCTGGAGTCCAAGTGTCGTGGTGGACTATTCTATATTCGCAGGAGGTATTTCGACGCTACTCTACCTACCTACCCTGAAATCAAGTCTGACTGTGGGTAGCGCTCTCGGCATTTCTGGACATCTTCCTTGCAATCTATCCTGCAATAATACTGTGGAATCTCCAGATGCCGATCAGGAGAAAAGGCCTGCTCCTCATTGCCTTCGCTTTAGGATCCTGGTAGGTCTCATGGGTGTTATCTAAGAAAATTTATGCTCATCCGTACAAGTGCTGCTATTGTGGCTGTTGTCAAATGTACCCATATTCCAGGACTAGCAGACGAATCCGACCCAACATGTGAGTAGCAACCACACTCATCACACATCACATGACTGATCTTGAAATACAGATAGTACATCAGAACTCGTCATCTGGACTAAGTACTTTCTTCAGCTCGCCTCGTGGCACAAGTAGTGTTTCTAACTGAGCCTAGTGTCGAGTCGAATTCAATCATCATCGCCGCCTGTATTCCCACTTGCATCCCTCTTCTCGAGAAGTTATTTTACAAAAGAGGTGCCAACGGCTTCCATAATCAGCAGGTTGCGTATAATCCTAAACCACCGCGGCCACAGAACAAGGAATTCTTGTTCCAGGCATCCAGGCACGCTGTGGATACTGAAATGGAAGTGTCCAGAATTCGAAGAACTGATGAGATTATCATTGCCATTGAATAGATTCTTAGATAAGTGGACGATACTGTGAAGTGAGGAATCTACAGGCAGATCGTCAAAATTGTATTGTCTTTCCCTTGTCATGATAGAATAGAGTAATAGATGAGCATACCACAGGAACGAAGGTGGTGAATGATACTTTCTGCGTCCCGACGTGCTACTACTGGAAAACCTTTAAATCGATCAAGAGTAGAGCGATTTTGGGGCATCCTCTGCTGCAGATGACTCGAACCCGGGTGATAGTAGCACCGGTAGAGTAATCGTTAGTTCGCCGGCTCCAGGAGAGTTTCACCTCTGTCACGATCCAAGTCTTATTCTGAAGCGTGATCTTTAATCTAGCAGACCACAAGTACTGAATTCCGCACGTAAAATGAGTCCAATTCAATTTCAATCTATGTAACATTCTACAGTATAAACGTTTTCATACCACAAGCTGAGTGCAATCAATCCGGCGCGATGCCTACTTATGCAGAACAAGCTGGCTCATCGTGGTTTTAAGCCATTCAATGTCGTCTTTTAGTGTGCGCAGCTCATCTGTGTGCTTTTCGAGATTTTTTGGAACAGATGACCCGTTGCTTGGTAGTTGACGCATCAAAAAATCTGCCAAGCTTTCGTCCTTTTGTCCTCCAAGACTTTCGACTATGATATTGTCGAATGCTTGAGCCCCAGCCACCTGATGCATACTTGCGCGCGCAACATGATAATCCCCTTCCTCGGTAGAAATGCCGGCAACGATTAGGGGCATTTTGGGCTCCCCTTTCTCGTTCAGCCGGCTGATATTCCACTCTTCAGCGGCAACATATGTCAATTTCCATCTCTTTGTCCCGAGGATTCTTCCAATATCTCGGGACGAGATTGTGCGTGGGACTCCTGCTTCTTTGGCAGCCGGGAGGACTTGCTTGCCACCAGCACGTCCACTATTTACTAGAAGACGCGTGCCATCTTCGGCTTCAATGACATACCGGGCGCTGAACGCACCAATCGGTAGATACGCAATGATCTTTTCCTTGTAGCGAGTGAACCCTGGGTCCGCCGTTCCATCAACCGTGCGTGGTTTGATTGGTATTACATATTTGTTCTGGCCGATTTGTCTAGCCTGAAGGGTGCCGTCCATCCTAGGGTTTAACTCTGACCCCACCTCTTTCTTCTCCTGACCTGTACTTGACGACTGATTTGGAAGCCATTCCTCCGGAAGCTGCCATGACACCAGTCTGCCCTTCAAATGGCGCACGAGATTGTCGAATTGCTCTTTTAGGGACTGTCCCAAAAAGTACTTTAACCCACAGTAATGGGCCATAATATCCTCAAGGTCAACAATGTTCAATTGCTCCGGTCGTCCACTGGACACGTTCGACTCAGTTATGGCATTCTCACAGGCTGCTTTCGCAGCCAGGATCTCCTGGACCACAACGTTATCACTGGTGTTTTCAAGGTAGTCCTGCAAGAAGGTGTTCCAGAAGTGTTCTAGGGTAGTGGTGATGCGGGATCTTATTGCAGCCCAGTACTCTCCGCGTTCCAGGTCGTATGTGTAGTCCTCACGAGGCGGCTGATACGCCCATCCCATTGGATAATGACTGACTTCACAAAGTTTCCACAGCAGTACAGGTGCAGTCTTGCGGTTCTCTTGTTTCCAGCAGTTCGTCAGTTGATCAAGTTCGATCACGCCAAATTCTGGGTCATTGTGGATTTCCATGTTCTGCGTTCTGATTTGATCGTTGATTGCATCGAGGTTGTCATACGCTGTTTTCACCTCTTTTGCGAGACTGGGACTGGCTGCGTCTATTGAATCTCCTCTTCGGAAAGCTTCATATAGCCCGATGAGGTCTGCTGTAGCCTTAACGTGGGCTTCTTTGTGATAGTCTTCGAGAAAATCGACCAGACAGCTGTCTCCTTCGTTGAGACCCTTAATCTCTGCTGCCCGATTTCCATGCAACGCTTCATCCACTCCTATAAAAGTGTCAGACGCACCATTCGTATGTGGAGCTGGCTTATCACCTACTGACGAAGGCTTTATGTGCCATCTGTTTCTGATCGGCTTGGGGAAAGCGATCGGGGTGGATGGCTGCCATCAACTGCTTTCCACTAAGGACCAAGCCTTTTGGCGCCCACCGTCTAACCTTTTCCACCGGGTCCTCGGTATCGGACCCAGACAACAGCTTGATCAATCCGAATCGCTCCTGTGGAGTCAAAAAGCTTCTCTGGTTTTCGTCTTCATCCTCATCCGAGTCACCATCGCCGTAAGCGTTAGGGGCGAATCCATCTTCCTCAACTTCATAATCCATAAATCCTTCGCGTGATTCTTGATCCGTCCATTTGGACGGATCGCAGTATTGCTCAATCAATTTGGCAACTTTCTCGGAAGCATGAATATCCTGGCGTCCTGTGGCACTTTCATGTTCATCTGTCGTATCGTTTGTAGGCTTGGTAGTGGGCACGGTGACGGTACTTTGAACTTGATGAGTTTGGGTCAGATCGACATCATTCAGCGTCTTCATGTTATTGACAGTTGGAACGGCTGTGGTAGGATTTGGGGTTCTATCCGGTACCGAATACGGAGCCTTACGTTTTTGTCCTAAGAACTGGTCAGTTATTTGGCTTGCTTTTGTTGCATTATCTGGCCGCTTGACCTCTCTTCTTTGAGGGACGGTTAGGTCCTGCTGTAGTTGCGCCATAGGACCCTTGGACACCCTCCATCGTGAATGCAATCGGATGGGCTTGGACGAGAATGCTTACGAGGAGGAAGGGATATTCATTGATATTTATATTAAAATATTCCGGGTTTAGTGACGTAGGGGTAATCAGGGATTTGGCTTATGTCGCCAAACTCGCATTCCGAAACGGTGACAATAGCATAAAGCTTCTCAATGCTCCTCGTCCAGGTTCTGCCTCCAGCGTCGAAGAGCGGCACGTCTCACCTCTTGCTCGTGCTCTCTTTCAATATCCGCCAATCTCACGTAACGAAAGTACGCTGTCAGTGTCGCGGACCCGACCAGCACCACGACGGTTAGGATCATGGTGAGAAGTGCCATAATAGACTAGTTCCCGTCTTGAGTAGAGTAGATGTTAACTAGTGATCATTTCAGAAACAGTTTGAACCCGGATGAACTTTCTTCCTCACTGGATGCAGTTGCGACACAGGCTGGTGATGTAGCTGCCGTGCCGCATCTGATCAGGGACATGATTCCATATCTAAACCTCCCGATGAATGAACATCATCGTCTGCATTTGCTGCGAGTCGCTCGCCTTCTCGTTCAGGCCTTGGAGACCCCACGGGAGACTGTGATTCGACTGTGTTGGGCAGAGGTGAGGTTTTCCCCTGTCTGAAATGGCTTCTTTTGGCTAACAATTTAGCCAACCCTATAAGGTGCGATCCTTGACGCTATCGACTGTGGGATTTCTCCTACATGAGCGAGGCCCCGAACGGGCCCGTACCGGTTGAATATCTTTCCCGGGTCACGCAGACGGATCCAGTTCTAACCAGTCTGTCTTCAGTTCTGCGATGATATTTCTAGACCGACTTCTAATCGCTTTGCCCTAGGTCGGCTCATGAAACATCTTTCGGCGATGGGCATATTTCGAGAGAGCACACCGGACCTCTATCTTAGCACAAATTTATCCAAAGCACTATCTCTCCCCAATTACGCTGGTGGTTTTACTTGCATGTAGGACTAGCTTACTTCTCCACGGAGTGCTAGTGACTGACGGCTGTGACTGTAGGGCAGAAGGGGCAATGAAAGCGATTTACAAACTTCCGGAATTCTTTCGATCTACTGGATATCGCAACCCGGATGATGCGACTGCCGGTCCTTTTCAGTTCGCCTATGAAACTTCTCAACACTGGTTCCAATGGGTGTCAGATCGTCCGGCAGTATGCCAGCAGTTCAATCACCATATGAGCGCATATCATCAAGGTCGGCCGAGTTGGATGGATCATGAATTTTATCCTGTGGAGAATGACCTTCTCAACCTCGTGAAGCCCGGTCCAAACACTGTCCTCTTGGTAGATATCGGTGGTGGGTTCGGCCATGACCTACAAAAATTTCGTCAAAAGCATCCGTCGGCCCCGGGAAGACTAATTGTGCAAGATAAGGCCGATGTAATTCGACAAGGTCCTATCGAACTGGAAAAGGTCGAGTTCATGGCTCATGACTTCTTTACGGAACAACCTATCAAAGGTCTGAATGAGCTCCTCGTTCCATCGGCACCCACTAACTTTGTACAGGTGCAAGGGCGTACTATCTTCACTCAGTCCTACATGATTGGCCTGATGCAGAATGCCGGCGTATCCTATGACATATCTCGGATGCAATGGCCCCCGGATATAGCAAACTACTCATCAACGAGAACGTTGTCCCTAACCAAAAAGCAGACTAGCAAGTTACCAAGCTAGACTTAATGTTGATGACCCTTGCTTCTGCTCGAGAACGACGAGAAAGCGAATGGCGTCAACTACTTACGGGCGCAGGATTTAAGATTGTCGGTATTTGGAGCCATATCAACGGCGGGGAAAGTTTCATAGAGTGTCAGTTGGCGTAGTAGATCAAACCATCATATCTTTTTAACCATTATTGATAGAATTACACTTTACGACAAGACCCTGAACCTTAATTGCAACTCAACATACGATGTAGACGATGGTAAAACCCGCAACTGCTGACCTTGCTCGTGGTCCATAAAACGAGGAGCGGGACTGTGCCCTTACGCCCTGTAACAGAATTTCTTAACCTCACGTTATGATCCTGTCTCGTATCATCGGTGTTTACAAAGCAATTTCGTTTCTCATTCGATATTAGCATGTGGACCCGTTTGGTGTCCCAAAGGATCCGGAAGAGAAGTAGCGATTGATTGTGATTAGGATAACTTAGGGTTTACACGCGAAGAAAGAAAATAATAACTAAAACCCATCCCTTGAACATCATATCTCTTCTTAGGGTTAGCACATCACATGGTAATGTCACGTGGGTGGACTATACAGCACCAAAAACGGCTTTTTTTTTCCGGCACCAAATAAGCCATACGGCACGAAATGGGATTCTTGACAGCCCCAAACGGACCGTTACCGACTACTACACTAAATGAGAGAGCAGACTGACACCAAACGGGAACCTTGGTGCTAGCGCGAGTTGGTGTCAGTCCGAGTTGGTTAACTCTTTCTTCGGTCCCTGTTTGGTGTCAGTTCAAGTTAGTGTCAATTCAAGTTAGTACCAATTCAAGTTAGTGTCAATTCCGAGTTGGTGTCAGTCCAAGTTGGTATCAGTCCGAGTTGGTTAACTCTTTCTTCGATCCCCGTTTGGTGTCAGTAGCGTTCTCGTTCGTATCAGTAAGCTTTCCGTTTCGTCACAAGTGGTCTCCCGGTGATTGAAACATGGTCAATGCGGAACCATTTCGAACGATATGGCCACCAACTTGGACATAGACTTTACGTTTTTCTGTGTTATTATGCTATACGTTCATTAAAGGCTTAGATGTGTGAGGTAGTTTGCAAATAATAGGTACCAGAGACCATAGTGAAAATTAGTAAATTGTCGCGAAGACCGCGATTGATCAAAGAATATAAAGCATTGGCTAATAATTCTATAATCAACCAACGATTTCTAGCCTATAGCTTCTACGATATCATTTCTTCAGTATGTCTCGAAAGGAGGCTTCCCGCAATACCATCCTTCCCAAGACTCTGAAAGACTTACGTCCTACAAAGGACATCCCAAAACCCCCTCCTGGTACTGAAAAACAATCCAGCCCGGATGACCTGTTATGGAAGGAGGAGGATCCCTCTATGAAATACCTCTTGTCTCATAAGTTCAATCAAGCGGGCCCAGGATGGATTGGTTTCGAAAATTGTCAAGGACTCCGCACGGTCTTTGTCAAAGTCGTCAAGGCCACGAGGCACCAAAAACTTCATTTCCACAAAACCGATCAGGCCAACCTGATCAACTTGCAAGAAGTATTTCATTCAAAGGAGTTCACCTATCTGATTTATGACTTTGATCGCTGCGATCTACCATTGTCTATGGTCCATGCTAGTCCAAATGTTCAATTTACCGAAGTTGATATCGCTATAGTCTGTCGCCAAGTCCTCACAGGTCTTCAATATATCCATGAAAAACTCAAGATCAGCCATGGGTCTATAAAACTTTCAGATCTGCTGCTAGGTCAGTCAGGACAGGTCAAAATAGGTATGGTGCCCAATTGACTCAGGATGATGAGAGCTGACCATGTCTAGCCAATATCGGACAAAGCATGCTCCAAGGCAAGACTTTAGAGCACAAAAGAGAAGACCTAAAAGGACTTGCGCTGGTTCTAATTCATTTAAAAAATCCACACACGATTTTGGAAGATGGGAGAACACATGTTAACAACCCAAGAGACGTGTCGCGTGAAGCTTACGAGTTCATCGACATGACAAAGAGCGCCACCTATCGAGAACTGTTTCAAGTAAGTTTGTCCTAGGGAAGGCGAACCTTGGCTAACGAAATGCAAGTGCGATTTTCTCCTGAAAGCCCCTCCCGAACCGGCAGCGTGGTGTTTGAAGCCTCATAACCTGACTGCTTTTCCGTTTGGTGAACGCTGGTACTTTATGCACGAGGAATGCAGGGATTGGTCGAAATTGAAAACAAATTGAAGCCATAGGGCTCCACCATTAGACTTTGCAATATAAATAGATATAACCTGCGTCTACTTCGAGAGAAATTTCTACACATTGTCATCATGGATACTAGCTCATCAGATTTAGCCACATATTTTCGTGGATTCGCCAAATTACATCTAGGTCACATTGTCAGTGATACCTACAATGAGAAGAACGTGCGTCAATATCTTCGCCTCTTCAAAACCGGTCAATATTCACGTGAAGATCCATTGCATACGATTGCGGTAACCATAGTGTCGGAGACCCTAGTTAGAGCGGTCTCACAACATGGCATTGATGCGAGCACACTGTACGATCCACGGACGCCACCGCTTCTCACTCTCGAGCAAGATATTCAATTGCCGTGCCTCCAAGGGCGAGACCTTCTGGAAGCTGCTAAACGCTCCCTGGGTTTTGGTGAGAAGTGGTGGGTCGTTCGTCTCTACTCAGCTGGTAGGTTCGATTTACTGATGACTGAAAACATACTTACGCCGGCGCTCAGATATTCCACCGCACCTCAGGCGGTACTTAAATTACAGCTATCCGGTGTCATACCGGTCTGCAGATTCTGAGATTCTTCAGTCCTTGTGGTCACAAGATAACCGAAGTGTCATGGACTGGAAGGCAAAAACCGGCACAAGTTATACGTATGTCAGACGCGTCTACGAGAACCGCGATTTGCGATATGCGATTGGCGCATTGCTTCCATACACGGGGCTATGGGATTCATTCACACTCCGCAAGTTAGATTATGTGATAGGCTCACATAGCCTTGAGGTAATATTCGAAGATACAGTCCTTACATTGGCTAACGCACATTAGGAGATGGCACACTATCTACAGAAGATCTATAAACAATGGTCAATTCTTGAAGCACCCGTCGTCGAATCGGCCTCCGTCGATCTGATTGAGGGTATGATGCCTTCATATTCCACTAATGACCGGAGTCAAATTCGATCATTAATGGACGATGGCACTTTGTTTCCACGACTGACGAACGACTCTGAGCGAGTTAGGGTCAGGGATCACTTCTTAGCTGTGAAAGGAAGGATCTTATCTTTAAAGCTTTTTTTCTCTGACGCCTCGCTCATCAAGCGAATTGCACAGCCACTGTGGCAATTTTCAGGCAAGGATTCAGAGAGAACGCTACGTCAAGCATTACTTGGCTCGTGGAACCAAATACCCGGCGAGGACGTAACAATTCAGGATACTGAATTCTACTTCGATAAGATCTCCCTTAACAGGGTGGTTTCCGAATTAGAACACCGGCACGCTGCCTGGATATCATACTTGCAACTCTGGATGTCTGCCTTCCGGCATTTCATCGATCCGCGACGAGGAAAAGAGGGCGAAGAGCCTGGCGTACAGCCCTTGTTGGATATCCAAGGGAAAGCAGATTTTGAGTTTGTGGCTAATAAATTGGGATTCAACAAGCGATTTCCACGTTCCACAAGATACCCTGTTTTTCAGTACATATCCAGAACATTAACGAACAACGGTTCAGTGGAGTCTGAGAGAGTGAGCAATGTCAGAGATAGATTTGTTCAGACCTTCCCAGAATCCCAGGACTTCAGTCGCGCAAGGGATATATCTCACGAATGGAGCACTAATATTGACGACCAAAAATCCACATTCCGAGCCGGGAGACCAGAAGTCGAGGAATTTCGAAAATTACGGCAGTACTTTTATTTTAAAATCGTCGGTAATGATGATGGATCGCCCAAGTCATACCCGACAGCTATTGCTGTTATGAGAGAGATATTCTTCGACTTTTTTGGAAGATTTTGGCTGGAATCAATTTCAAGTCCTGTAGAGATGGAGCATCATCCGGCTGTCTCACCATCTATTTATTCAGTCAGTACTGAATTGGCTGAACCGGCTCCTCTACTCATGGAAAGCAATGGAGTCACAGCTGTTAATGAGGTCTCAAGGTTGGCAACGCAAGCCTTAGTACCGATGAACGATGTGAGTTTGGAATCGGCGCCGCCAAAAGCAGCAGGCTTTGAGGACGATGAAAACATAGGTCCACTTGCGGAATTATGCTATATTTCGCACCACCGCGGGAGCCGTGAGATTATCGAAAAGTGGTACCATGACCGTGATCCAGACCTGGTAGTGCTATTTTTATTCGATCGAAGAGCGTTTTATAAGTTCCGACGAAACTCTAACAAGGAGCTCAGCGATCGAATCCACTATTTGGCGCAGGAAAATTACTTTTTCGCAATATGCGATAACGTAAAATCTATACCATACCAAGAGACTGTCGCAGCGCTGTTGAAGTTTAGCCTTTTGTTAGTGGGATCAAAGGATGGTCCTACGAGGACTATAGCTCGTGAAGGAGCGTTGACTTTGAAAGACCTTGAAGAATTTGTTGTTCTTTTTGATCCTAAGACAGGAAAGAGAAGACCTGATTGAGCGGCTCTTACACATGTGAAATACTTACAGATAAACAGCATGCTCTCTCCATCTGTATGCTATGCCCTTTCCATATGCACAACTCTTACATTTGTACAACTCATACATATGTATGCTCTTTCCATATGTATGCTCTTTCCATATGTA